TGATTCTGTTCTTTATTCCTACTTTACATACTCCTTACTACAATAGCCAATACCAACATTACTCATATTACATATTAAATAGTGTATGTAATCCTCCACGTACTCTGTATCATACATATCAATTAATTAATATAAATCTACTCCATTCAGGCTAGTGACCATTCCCCTATATGGATAGTCACCCACGAGCGATGCGTTTCTTGCCGATCACGGGCGGACCGGCAAGGCGGGTACCCTAATCCCAGTTCAGATAAGTCGATCACCCACCCCGAGATCCTCCGAGGGCCAATCAAAGTGCTTTGTGGTGTGAAGGCCTGATCTCAACGTCGCATCCTAGATTCAGTTGGAGCTCAGCTGGGTCCACTTGGGTCTCCATCATCGTATCTACAGGTCCTGTCAGGACTCAGGAGTAGGGGCTGTCTAGGACTAGGAGTCAGGAGACTATCTACTCAGACTAGTAGGGGGATGTGGGAAATAGATGGCTGTGCTAATTCCTGTCCCTGATTGAGGGACCCTGATCGGGTTGATCATATTACCTGTATATGGACTCTGTAGTTACATAGTGATAGCATATAAAGATGGTAGGTAAAGTATATGGTATATTATCACATGACCTAACATCACACCACCACAAGTACAATATCAACAGTAGTGAAGAAGACAGTACCACAAACAAAGGACAAAGCTCATCTCAATCAACAACGAATAAAACCCCCCGGAAAAGCATACGGACAGTCTCCGCACCACACTATACTCAATAAAGTATATGCAAAGGCCCGAATTAATATATTCTTAATTCCTCAGCCCCCCAGCATCATCCAATAAGCGACCAATCCAGGTCCAACCCGTCCGTCCATCTCCAGAAACTTCAACGACAGAAAGACCGAGTCGAGACTCAGGACCAATTTTCAGATCATCTTTCCATCCTGCTGCACGTCCTTTGGTTGATCGGATGTACCCGACGCTATGGTACCGCTGTCTGCATGCCCAAGGGAACGGAAAAAGTAGGAAATATACTTTACCGTGGAAAAGTTAAGCACGTACGGAAAGTCAATTGAACACACACACGAAGAAAAGGGGGAGAAGAGAATTAACGTCAAGATGACTGCTAGTATTCTTCTATTATCCACTATATCAGCCACCATTAAGCTTGGGCAACGACTTTTATCAATCTGGGTAAAATTTCGCGAGGGTTACTGTGAAAGGAATGGTGGGCCCCACCTGTTGAGCGCTTTCGTTCTCGTCAGTCGGTTTTCTTGATGTGTCACTGTCAGTGCCCTCATCGATCGGGTTCTGCTACAATCTACTAGTTACTATTGCTTTAGAGACCCTACCTAACACCTACCTCCATAATCCATAGATACTCCTTGGATATTTACCACTCTACGGAGTACTCCGTAAATAATGAATAATCGGAGCCCAAAACATCCGATCCCGATCCCGACACCATCCTCTTCCACGATCCATCCCCCACCAAAAAAAACCCAACCCCAAAAGAAAAAAGAAAAGGAGAATACTATCGATCCAGCGAACACCAATAACCCCCCACCAAATTCGAACCAAATCGAATAACTCTCCAGATTCCATTTCGACTTCCTCGATTCTCGAATCCCAACCGTGGACCACCCTCCAACGCGGCCGTTTCATATCCCCGCTAGTCTATCCCCGTCCCCATCCCAAATTCCCAACCCTGGTTCTGGGTCTGTCGGGTCGCTTGGAGACGTTGGACCGCAGGGACCACGGGAAGATCCATCCTACTACCTACCTACTCCCTACCAATCCATGATTCAGATCGGGGAAATCAAGTTCGTTGGGCGGGCGGCGTGTCCGCGTGTTGAGGCTTTTCTGGATTGGGGAATCGGTAGGGTTTCATTCATTCATCATGCTTGGATTATTCATTATATTATTCATATAATGAATAATAATAGTACGGAGGGATGATTTTGTCGTACATCCGATCCGATTCCTATCCTATCCTATCTTATTTTCATGTTTCGGATGTGGATGGATGGATGGATGGATGGATGGATGGATGGATGGATGGATGGATGGATGGATGGATGGATGGATGGTTAGGCGGTAATAATAACGTTGATTATACATAGACTACTAGTAGACTACTGTTAGACCAGACACACACCAGTTCAGCTGCCACTCATCTATCTATCTAGGTATCGAACAATAATAAGAGGCGCAGCGTGGCAACTCACATGACATACACAATATCCGTACATAGTAGAATAGGCAGGTAGGTAGTAACCAATCTACCTGGAACAATTCGTCGATGCATAAATCTGCATATCGGACGATCAAACCGGGAAAATTAATCTGTGGGAGGGCTGGAGCCTGGAGGGCCCTCAACGCTCTAACATCATCCATAATCCATTCCCAAGCTAATGGTGCCCCAGGGGTCGGGTTCCTGGGTGATTATTGGTTGATTGGTTCCCCACATCTTTTGTGGTGTTGCTGCACTGTTGGGTTTGCGACCACTACCATTATCTAGGTATCTACCAGTAGGTAGTTGGATAGGTGTGGGAAATGAAACAATAGCATGGCGTGGCATGGTTTAAAATAACCTGCCATTGCTACAGACAGAATTGGGTGGTTTGGTTTCAGATTTCAGCTGTCAGAGATATTATTACTGCAGTGTGTGCAGGTGCAGTAGTAAATAACATAATCAATTTAAGTATAATAATAATAATCCAGTTTAAGTATGTACGTAAACTAGGTAGGTAGATAGGTACCTAAATCAATCGCTCATTCTACGTAAGTAAGTACCCTCTTGACTACTCCAATTAACATACCCCGTATCCATCTATCCACTTACTTATCTACCTCACAACAAATCCCAAATCCATCGTGGAGATTGTGTAACGGTCAACCTACCTACTACCTATCGACATCACTGCCCCTCCACCAATCAATGATGAAATCCCGCCGCCCGGAGGGTACGTCACGTTGTGCATCCGAAACCGGATTAGTGGCGCGACGCTAGTGACCAGAATTCCAAATCAAATGTTAAAAAAAGATCGGCGGGGAGTTAATTAATGCGAGAATCTGTTCTACCGGGCAAAGCAAAGGTCAAGATCTCTCTCCCCACTTTCCACTCAGTCAGGGCTGGGCCATTGTTGGGTTGGTTTATTGTTTTTCTTTGTTGGTTGTGCAGGGCACTTATCTACTTAGGTAGGTATGTATGTATGTTGTGGTGTAGGGGATATTGTTTCGTCTATTTTAATCTGCAACGACTACGGATGAATGAATGTTGAGTTGAGTTGGTCTGTGTAACCCCCGGAGTCTTCCTTGTGTTAGATCGCTTGTTTGGTGGTGTAACAATGCTTTCATTTTATCTATGGAGTATGGAGTATGTCATGTGTACTTGATACGAAATCAACGGTTAGGTAGGTTAACTCTGCTTCCCCCTCCCCCATACGAGTTGCATCATGCTGGCCTCACCTCACCCTGCAGACTAGACTGGATCCACACCGGCTGAACTGAATTGTACCAGTCCTAGGTATCTAGGTTACTCCGTAGAATCAAGTTCATACCCATTACATTATTCATGTAGCCATGCTGCGATAGTTGCAGCATGATTAGATTGGCGGAACAGTACCCTGTGCATGCACAATGTGGATACCAGCTCCTCTGCCCTCTCCTCCTCCTCCCGTAACCTTCATTCTTGATCAGTCATGGTTGCCTGATCGGCATACCTGCATCAATGGCTGTGGCTTGGGTATCCGTTTTGTGGCGATAACCCTGGCACTAGATAGGCCTAGCACTAAGTAGGTAGGCAGTAACAGGTTGTGTGTGTGTGTGGCACATAACCCTGTGGCGGGAATGGAGGGGGTCGTCTGCATCCATCGCATCGTATTTGCTTTTCCTAGCCTGCTTGCTCCCTACCATAGGGTAGGTAGTAAGTAACTACCTAGGCTTAGTCCACTTCTCGGGGACCGGACATGGAATGAAGCCCGGCGGGAACCATCCAATCCATCCATCCATCCATAGGTCAAGGGCATGCAGCCAGGATCCTCGCGCGAAAGAGAAAAAAAACGGGGCTGCTTGGAAGTGACCGTTAGCGACATGTGCAAAGGAGGGAGGGAGGGGAGGGCGGACAAGCAAGCCGGCAGGCAGGCAGGAAGGGAGAAAGAGAGGGAGAGGGAGGGGCACCGACGAATCATCCCAAACAGTTGGGGAATCCACATCCTGGAATAAACTTTTGTCTGGGTATCAACCTTACCTTGCGGCATCCAGCATCGAAGCAACAAAAAAAAAGGGAGGGGGAGTAGCCATTCATGACACTGGCAGTTATGCATGGACCATCACGACCAATGTCTATCAGGTTGAGGATTGGTTCGGACGTCAGCTGCGTTCCTAATGGAATTGGATTGGACTGGACCTATCCATTCATTCATCCTATCCCATCCCATCCCATCCATGAGTGAGTGAGTCGTCGCGAGGGTTTCCCTGCGTGTTGTCCAGTTTACCTTGTAGTGTGTGTGTGGTGTGGATGTGTATGTGTCGCCATCCTTCACCATCCATCCATCCATCTATCCTCCTCTTATCCTTTTTTTTATTATTATTTTCGTATTTGTATTATTATTATCCTGAATTGTGAATTATTCTGATTTGTGTTTTTATTTTGTTATCCGCCTGGCCTGGTGGCCTCGTGTCTCGGGCTCGTAAGTTTTGGTTCGCCCCTTGCGTGTGCTGGACCTCTTGTTTCCGCGGCTTCACGGCAGACAGGAGCTGAGGATGACAGCCAGCCACCCTTCCGGAGGATATGCGGCGTTGTCCAGTGGATTGGATTGGATTGGGAGGTGGATCGGGTTGCCCCTATTCCATTCGTCTCGAGAGTTCCGAAGGGCGCGGCGCAACGGTCAAACTCTGTTGGCCCCATTGGGAAATCTTATCCCAGGGACTGACTCAATCGACGAGATCACAAGGAATTCAGAGCGAGGAGGCTGGAATCTACAAAGAATAATAATCAAGACATTAGATGATAAGTGATGATGTGATTGATTAGTCATTAGAATCATCGTAGCGATGTAACAAACATGGGTATTATTAGTCCAAGCTCAATATTCCAGTCCCCCAAACATATACAGCCAAAGCAACCACCAACCCCTCTATACATGATTATTACCCCCCAATGACAAAGAAAACAAGGAGATGGGACATATGACACAAGATGATCCCGAATGCTTTTTGGTACCGTAAGGAAAACCCGGTGTGTCCACGTGACCCGCCGTGGAGTTGCCGAGCCGATCCATCCAAAAACAATATACATGATGATGATATAATACAAAGGAAATTATGCCAAACAAAGGAGTGACGAGGGTCGGAGGTCATGTACATAAAATTTCCCAAAGTTAACAGAAGAAAAGTCGTGATCATTCAGCAAGGTGCCGTTCGTTAGTTGAGCAAGTTGTGCAGACCCATGCGCGAGTCGCGCGGGGCCTCTGGCTTGTCTTCCAACGGTGCCCCCCATGTCGGCGACAGGGGGCGGTGCTGGCTCCATTGCTGGTGATCGGCGAGCCATCGTTGCTTCAACGACAGCTCGGAGAAGGATTCCAGGGGCTTTGGTGCATACCCGTAGATCTCGTCGGCGCCGCTCGATCGGCGGAAATCGTATTGTTGTCTCATGTCCACGGGAAGAGGAAGAAGCTGTGGGGATGCGATAGTCCTCGGGGAGGAGGAAGAGACTGAGTTGTGGTCCGAGATCATCGAAGGAGGCTCCATCGACGGGGTTTCCGAAAAGGCCGGCGAGGTCAGAGGAGTTTCTACGGGGCGGTTGAGAGCAGGAAGGGTGAAGATGGGGGTCAACTGCCGGGGGCAGTCAATCGAAGCAGCGGAGATGGATTCGCGCCGAGACGAGGGCGACTTGGTCCAGGAAGTCAGAGAGCGGTCGTTGGAGATGGAGGAGTAGCGGGAGCGGCTGATGGGGCTGCTCATGGCCAGCGAGGCCCGGGCATACGGGGCTTCGACGCGGCCGTGAATGGTGCGGCCGGCGTGCGGCGAGGTGGGGAGGCCTCTTCTCTTGCGGTTCATGCTGCCATTCCACCAGTTCTTGACCGCGTTGTCGCTGCGGTTTCCCAGGCGCCGAGCGATCTCGGCCCAGCGCTTGCCCATTTCGTTGACCATGCGCTCGATCATCAGGCCCTCTTCGGCCGAGATGGGCTCGCGGTTCAAGGACGGCTTGAGGTTCTGGTGGAAACGTTCGCGGCATTGCTTGGGAGAGCGATAGTGCATGTGCTGAGAGATGCGCACCCAGTTGTTGGGGCCTTGTTCGCGCACCAACTGAAGGAGCAACTGGTCCTCTTCAGGGACCCAGGGTCCACGACGATGAGTGGGAGCCATTGCAGGTGACGGGCAGGAAATTAAATCCGAAGTGTTTAATTTGCGAAGCGGATAGTAAGATCTATTGAAGCAATGTTAGACTCAACAATGCCAGGAGGTATCGGAGAGTTTTTAAAAGAGTTGGCTCAGGCCAAGGGATGCCGACAAAGTTCAGGTACAATGCGTGGGCGGGGAAGGGTTGACGTCTTTAAAGGGAACAGGCAGCTTACCGTGAGGGTGGGGACGAGACCACACGAAAGGATAAGACAAGCAAGGAGGAGAGCAAGCAGGTGCAAGTTGGGAGAGTAGATAAGTGGTGGATGGGATCAGGATAAGGTTCCAAGGTGCGTCGCGGCGGTGGTAGATATAGGCAAGAGAAGTGAGACTGGAAGGGGGAATTGGAATTATAAAAAGGGCGATAGACAATAGTCGTGTTCAGGAGCGATGGAGATGAAGGTTACGATCATCTATTATAGCAACAAGCAGCGCCGCCGAATACAATGACCAGGGAGACGGGTCAGAGAAAAATGGCTACTTGCTCCACACTTGGAGCACGCTATAGGAGAAGATCTGATCATCCAAGATCTCGGAGCTGACAGTTGTGTCGGAGGAATAAATTTAATAATAATAAACCAACTATTATTGATTTTTTGGAATTGGGGGGGGAATTCTTTTTTTTTTGGTTTTACTTTTTTATTTCCATTTTTTGATTTTTGATTTTTATTCCCCCCTCCCTTTTTTTTTCCTTAATGCAGCCGTACCCGCTGGTATGTAATGTATGTGTAGTATAGATTACGTGCGGTATGGGTGTAAATTACACAAGGTTAGGCTACCCAGGTATCAGGCAGGTACGACACCCACACCTCAGGTAGCCTCCTGACACTAGGCACAACTGCGAGGCTAGCCCATGGATTAATTGGGACTTCAGCATGACAAAAACTCAGTGTCTGGCCCAAGTGGGGAAGATGCGGTTGACGGCGACGTCTTACAGTATCTCCTTTGGGTAAGTCAGACCCATGCTTGACAGGGGACGACGACGAAGTACGACTTGGAGGGGCTGCAAAAGAAAACAGGGCAGCTATCAGCTGGTGTGCAGCTGGCGGTTCCGGATCGTGGGGAGGATTTGCCACTATCCAGTAGACCAGTGCACACGCCGGAGGTAGTATAGGTTGCTACCCTAGTGACGGCTCTACCACAGGATCGGTGTTGCAGGCTTGCAGCAGGGATCATGGCAGTACTATTACTGGCACAGTGAGGCACACATGTCTACCCCCGTTGCTTTTTTCGGTGCAGGCGAGTCGTGGTTTCGAGGCATTGTGTCAGAGACAGAGACAGGCTGAGACGGTCCAGGGGAACCCATCCCATGAGTCGTGTCCGTGGCAAGGCTACCCTGGTTCAACCGGGGGCTACTTTGTACTATCAGACGGTGTGCCACCCAAGGCATCTCTGCCCAGGCTTCATGGGAACCACCGTGGCGGCGTTTCCCGGACATCACATCCTGGCTGGTTGATCTTCCCCTCCTCCTCCAGCCCTCCCTGATAGTTTAATCCTGGGGTTACATTCCTGGGAGTCTGAGAACTAGGAAGAAGAAGATGATGATGATGAGAAATTCATCCTCCGCATCACCAGGCCAGCTGATCCGACAGATAGGAGCTAGGAGGATACAATTATAGCAACACGATAGGGAGAATTAATTTAATTAAATGTGGATTCTCTGCAACATCTCAAACCGTAGAGGAGAAAAGGTGCGAGGGAGGGGAATGGTACCGATCAATCGGGCGTGACCAAAAGAGCCCATCTGGCCCATGCTCGTCAAAGTTCAGGCCCTGACAGGAAAACGGGAGCGGCAGAAACGGTCTGCAAGAGGCGAATGGGAATGGAGAAAGGAGGAAGGGAGTGGTCCAGGTCGGTTGGAGTTCATGAGTCAGGCGGGGCGGATGTCCTCGGAATTAGAAATTCTAATGGGCAAAAAAAGGAGGGGGAAGAAGGAGGGAGGGAGGGGAAGGACAGGGGACAGGGAAGAATGACAAAGAGCCCGACTGACTGCAGAATGGCGTTAAAGTGTACCGAGATCGTGGAAAGATAGGCAAAAAGGGCTATTCTGGGTCAAAGATCGAGTCATGGCTTTCCATATTGGTCAGATCGGCTGCGCATTGTTCACAGCTACCATCGATGGGATCGTACTATTGTGAATGATCAATTGAACCCACGTTCATATTCTCAGTACATTGTACATAGTATATTACATAGTGATTTACAGAGTACAGAATACTTTGATGTTCCTCAGCTAGCCATGACCTCTCCCGAAATACTACCATACTATGTATCTAGTATCTAGTATCTAGTATCTAGTATCTAGTATCTAGTATGTATATAGTATCTACCAAGTATGAGTATAGTCCCGTCCTCACCCTAAAAGTGACCCTCCCCGTGGACCGTTACCCAGAAGAAGCCAGAACATGAACCGTTTGAGTGGAGTTCATGATTGGCGCAGATTGGCTAGCGTCCTCTGACAATTTGAAATCTTTTGGCTTTGTCTCATACCCGGTCCGGTTGGGATCGACATGGGGATCGTACGCAATCTTGAATCTGGCCCGGAGTACCTTCGCGCCGGTGTAAGGCAGCGCTTTGAACAAAAGATCGGAGCAGTTCTTTCCTGCCTGTGCATCCCCCTTCGTTAGTCAGCTGGTATCCCCGCCAATCACCATTATCATTCTTACGCACAGCGGCTAGTGTTCGATCTGAATCCCTCTGCACCAGACAGACGGGACACCGTCCCATCCTCTTGGTTCATTGTCGCTTCTGCATCCTAAAGTCGATCAGGAACAAACCTGAAACAGATTAACACGATTAGCTTAGAACTATGCCCGTGCAGAGGGCTCAGATACTATCCGCTCAATCGGGCGCAACGCCCCCGACCCATCTCTCCATTCTCCGTACAGAGTAAAAGAAGCAGGGCGAAAGAGGAAAAAAAAGAAAGGAAAGGAAAGAATAGATTCTGCCTGGCTCATCCAACCAGAATTCAGTTTTCAGGATCCTGACTCACGTTGTTCTTCAGGTTTCTATCCGGGTAATGGATCCGCGCAAGCTCGCCTGGGAGGGAAATGCAACAGAAGAATGATAGATCTCATGGAATCCTCAGGGCCCCCCTTTTCGGGCTTGCCCATCGCAGTGGCAGAGACATTTCCGGTCCCTTCGATTGGCTGTCGTTCTTCAGCATGGTTCCCAGCCAGACACTAGCCTCATCCGACTCTGCAGCAGTGCAGCTACGGGGCGCACACATAGATTAACTGCCCCATATTCTATCTATCTACGGAGTAGACCTCGCAATGGCTTGGGGCACGATCACCCGGGGAAGGTCGGAAGATTCCAAATGAATCATGGGCAACGGAAGTACCAGCAGATGGCCCCTTGGAGTAAGTAAAGTGTAAGCTCATGCACCGGTACCGTCCCGCTGTCATGCTAAGAGGAGAAGCTAAAGTTAACCATTCTGGACTATGGCCTACTAGTATCAGCATCGCCTGCCATCCACGAATCTTGCCATCGGGCCATTGTTCGATCGCTTTCAACGTTGCTGCGATTGGGCAATCTATGCTGATCCCTTCATCCTCGATGATGCCTTGATCCGGTGGTGTGGAAGGGGAACAATAACCTTTCGTCAATGGCTGAGATGATCAGATCCAGATCATCGTGTCATCATCACTCCAGGTCTATCATGGCTCTTCTCGTCAACACTATTAGCCACTATGTAGCCTCACCATGTTTTCTGCCATGCGGCGTTTTCTTGCAGTGCTATTGTTCCAGGTTACCACACCTCCGGGGTCTCCGAGGAATCTTCCAGGCTGGCTTCTATTTTTTATTTCATTTTTATTTTTCATTTTTATTTTATATTTTTGCCTGGCCCAACCTGCTGGATTTGATAAAGAATTCTCCGGTCAAGGGAGGTCCGGGTCACTCGACATGTAGACGGCACCGCACAGAGCAACAAATGGTCCCCGCCTGACGTTGTTTCCAAGCGGTGACACTTTGACTCGACTGCGGGTCAGGCATCTCTCCGGTTCAACGGAAATCCAGAGAGCTCCATACCTTCCGGGAAAGGGCGGTCGAGGTCGTCGCTTACAGGTTCTCCGAAGAATGGAATCCCAGGCAATGCCACGAGTCCCGCCGTTGAGCGTCATCATTCATGGGGACGAGTTGGAAGCGAAGGAGCGGTTGCGTGTAACCCATCCATACCGTCATGCGGATGGTATTCGGTAACGGTGGCTTGGTACGGGCTAAAACGACTAGGCTAGAAGCACGAACCCCTGAGGGCTGCACTGCATGACGTGACGAACCACTGTCCCCCTCGGGCGGCTGATTGGCCGGCCAAAATAAGGTATTTGTCATTCTGGAACCTCCGGGCTAGTCCTCTCTCGGGAATGATCAACGGGGGCCGCGGTTGGAGCGATCTCGGGTAGCCTCCAGCTGCGTCAAGGCTGTAGATTAATCTTGATGGAGGCGAGATTAATCCGTTGAGTTGACAGGTGCGATCTGGAGAATGGAATTGACAATTACCTAGGCACGATTTTGATGCGAAGACAATGGCATTCTCCTTTTTATTTTTAAATCACCGATTTGATCGATTTCGGATTTCCCCTCTGCACCACATCCTGTTGTGGACCGGCTCAGAATCGAACCTCGACCAAATACCAAGAACGCATAAGCATTCCATCAACCGAGGGATATCCCCCATGACAATGCCAACGTCCGTCAAACGTATGTCTCCGCCCGCCTGGGCTTATTCGGAGCAACGACCTGGTCTCACAGACCCCTCGGAATTCTGGAGGGCTATTGAACCAGAAATCGATAAACAGGGGTTCAGAGCGGTGTCAAACGCCATTTACGTCGTGGGAGGTTACCAGCCTGCCATGTGGACGGGTGCTTGCGATCGACCTTCTTCCTCGTGGTACGGAGTACCGTGTACAAACGACAAACGGATATACATACAGATACGTCCATACCAGTCCTTATTTGGTAACCTGTACAGTGTACCTACATCCCTCGGTCCAAGACACAAAGGTATACCAGGTTACTCACAACGTCATTTGTCAACATCCCTCCTCACTACGAGTATAGTAGGTAGTACTTACTCCGTAATTGGTCGTACTTATCGCTATGGAGTCTCCAGGATCCGCCAACCGAATGATAGATCGCAGCGACTACACCCGCCCAAATCCCAAGGCAGGATCACACCGACTGGAATTCCGCGGGATGCAAGGTACCTGATTAAACGATTGCATCCGCGACGTCTCCAACGCGACCGACCCGGCTGGACGGAAGTTGGGGGACGAAGGAACCGTGACTATCGAATTGATCACGAAGGGGCCACAGGAGTCTAAATCCTAGTCCGCGATGATGTACAGTGCTACGACCACTTTGTCTTAGGTCGGTGGTCCCCGACGTACCTTGGGATTGGTACCAATCAGAGACACGGGAAGTATTTGAGATAAACCCTGGTGAACCCCACTCCTCCCCTCTTCCTTGGCGCGGATCGTCCCCTTCACTTACCTAACCAGGGATATTCAGCAGAGCCTGGCCATCTTGGTAGTATATACTATATTAATATTAATTCTTCAGCTCCCACAAGACATATTGAAATGTCCCTAGTAGGAGTAAATTGATTTTTAACGTCGCTTCAAAAGTACTCCGTAACTGCGAGATTTGATGGGGAACAGCACAATTCCAATGAGCAACTTAACTTCTAAGCGAGAGAAAGTGAGAACGACTTGTCCTCCACACCCACCGTGCCCGCAGCATGTCGTGCAACCTTGACAGACAGCAAGAGAACAAGACAGGCCACCCGCCGGTAGACAGGGATCCCACTGCAGGACACACCCTGTCTGCGTATGGGGAGGGGGAGTGGATGTGGATGTGGTGAAGGGTGGAGCGAACGGCTCTCTCGCATCCCGCCGCTGTTTCCTGACTGTCGGGCCTCCAAGACTGCGAACCTCAGGCGGTCCGAGCACGGCTGTCAGTCAGCCAGCCAATACTATTGGCCAGAAATACTATTGAGATCATACTCCGTAACGACTTCCACTCCCATGAATTATACATATATAATGAATGCATCATATTGATAATCCTCCTGTATTATTTTCTACTTGTTTTCTTTTGTGAGTGAGTCAGTTGGTTTGGTTCGTGTAGCCTACTTGGTTCAATATATGTCGGATGATTCGTGTTGATGGTGATGGTTCAGATAGCGGGGAATTGGAAGGGGGATTACTATACTATACTACTACGTGAATCGGAATTAGTGTTGTAGAGGAATTGTCTCATCAGTAACAAGGTGATTAATCTCTCATACTATGTACGATCGCATTTACCTATCGTGGAAATATTCACCTTCGAGTCCTTGTTCAGCTAATCATCCTTGCTCCGCACCTTTTTCATTTTAGTATAGTCGTACCTTTGGGATTAATTTTTATTCTCCTGATCCATGGTCGAAATAACGGTCAACCCGTCCCGTGGTAACAGAATCTCGATCTAAGGTAGGTACCTCCTACCTCCTACCTCCTACATGCTACCTCACCTGGCGGAGCATGTTCAACGAGTTCCGGTGTACCCATGACGTCGGGCATATCTGCAAGCACGGTGATTGGATGCCCTCTCTGCTCGGGGTTTATGTCTTCCCCGTTCGGGGACCATGTGGGTTCCCCGATCCTCCCAGATGCCCGGCTGGGCATGGCCCCGAGGCTTCCCTTTGCGGTTTAGCCGCTACTGCCGGCTGACCAGGATGACTCGGCCCCACTGGTTAGGTTGGTCTCGTTACCCTTCCTTACTTCCGCTGGTAAGTATCTGAGTATGTATCGTACGGGGAGTATGGACTATGAGGGAGGTACCACGGAGCTGGGTAGTAGTACACTAACCACTCACACTCCATCCCCGTACCCAGTACAGTGTCAGTTGATGGGGGATTTCCATACTGAAGGAGGAAGGAGATGATGTAGGATAAGGCTACACGGCAGTAGGTACGAGGGATGGATGTACTCGCTACGACGTCAGGTACGTTGGATACATACATTGATGGAGTGGTACAACAATGTATGGATGTATGTATGTATAGACAGCGAGGGAATTCTACACATCATCCATTCATGATGGGGTTGGCTGTGTACTGTGTAATGCTACGGGGTGTGTGACTTGGAATGTATGGATGGCGGAGGAGGGGAAATGATCCCTTCCTTAGGTTTCCCTCTCCACCATCCCTCCCACCTTCCATCATCATCATCATCATCATCATCAGGATACACCCCGTCCTACCCCTTCCACCAACAACTCCATCGCTTCTTCGTGTTGACGCGGCCGGTTACTACTCCCACCGCCATGCCATGCCATGCCATGGCTGCAGTGTTCTCTCCCAGCCAGCTGGCAACTTGATCCTGGCCGTCGTGGTGGATGCTGGACCAATGCAGATTAATGTGATGTGACGGCACTATTGACTGTGTTGATGCTGGGTTGTAACCCCTCTGACAAATCGAGTGAGAAACTCTCTTTTTCACCCGCCCTCTTCCCCTCCCTCCTTTCTTCTCTGTCTCTCTCTTTTGATTGTATTCCCAGTTGGCTCACCATCCGGTGACTTGACTCGTCTCGTCACAGGACATCCTATCCATTCCCAGTGCCGCCCGTATTTTGGTTTCCATCCTGACCGTTGACCCCGAACCAGACCTCGTTCTCGACGGGTTTCCCGCTGTCAGTCAATGAAGTTTATTCTTGACCGGTACGCAACCGGATAAATACACCTGCAGACTGGATTCTGGATCTGGATCAAGGTGAGAGGGTGGGGGGAGGAGGAGAGGGGAGATCATGACAACGTCGCGCGGATGATCAGAAGCCCTGGCCCCAAGCCAAGAGAGCACCATCAATAGGATGGATGGATGGATGGATGGATGGATGGATGGATAGGAAGGGATGATTATTACCGACTGTAGCGACAGACAGGAACATCAGTGGGCCAGATGAACAGGCCTCCGGACCAACCAGACCCATTCAAGGCCCGCGAATAAACCCAATCTACCCGGTCGAAACTCAATCTCCACGACCCCATTCAGCCCTCAGTCCCGACGCTGAGGTAAGGTCTGGAGCCATGGATGGCTGGCCCGTCTTTTCTCCATTCCCATGGGCCTGGGGGTCCCCTCCCCTCCCGTGCTTCCCTTAATTTCTTTCCTCCGTTCCGTCAGGTCTATTCTCGGCAACAGCACGGTTAGAACCTGGAACCGGCTTGTCGCACCACTGCTCCAATTCATCGTTGGCGAGCAATTGACCGGGGATGCTGGTCCTTGGTTAAGCTTTGGCCTCGATTCATTACTTGCTACTATCAACTAGGAAATCCACAAATCGTCCCGAGAGACCCAACCAGAGGGAGAAAAAAGAAATTAATGAAAATGAGGGTCTGGAACGGGCAAATATCCTGCACAAGCCGTCTGACGACCGTGCATTTTGCCGATACTATCTCCACCCTCGACTCTAGGCTGCCCCCTCCTTCTTATCCTCCTCCTCGTCCTCCAATCGAGCCGTCACGCCGGAATACAGATGGAGGGCGGCACACAGGCGAATAGGAGATTAGCAAGCCCAACAGCAGTCCACCAGGATCCTGCACTGACCACATTGGGTCAATTCTTCCATGACGAGCTGCAAGAACCAAGGCAGGAGAATTCAATTCGCCACGCTGTATTCCGTATGGTTAGGTTTACTAGTAGTAGACGCAAAGTCATAGCTCCTGCACGGACTCCAACTTACAATGGTACTTTCATCTATCATGTAAATCCATTCGTATACAACCCTCATTCCTTTACTCAACTCGAAGAAAGAAAAGAAAGAACGAAAGAAAGAAAGCAAGCAAGCAAAGAACCCATCCAGAATATTCCCTCATTCCCTATCTACTATCAGTAACTAGTATTAGTCTTAGCCTTAATAATAATAGTATTAGCATGACTAATTCCCCAGTTAGGTAATAGGTACTAGGTACTAAGTACAAGTAAGTACTAAGTATGGCTAAGCTGAACCATACATACATACATACACACACCCATACCCATAAATACACACCCACATACATACATACATAGATACACACATAGATACTCCGTAGTACACCCATTGCTTTTTCCCAGATCCATCAACCCATCCTATGAGGCTATGACCCTATGACCCTAATACATAGTACATAGTACATAGAACCCTGTGGCTAAGCTACCACTACACTACACTACACTACGCCCTCCGCTAGTCTGGACGAGGCTGAGCTGGGCTGGCTCAATTTTGTGGCTACTATCTATCTATCTATCCATCCTATCTATCTATCTATCTATCTATCTATCTATCTATATTCAGTCCGCCACTCGATACATACGTAGATTGCAATTACAAAAAGAAAAAAAAAAGACCTAGAATATTCTCTATCTTTTAGTATACTAATAGTGGGTACTGGTAGTATATTCTTCTTTTCCATTCTTTGCCATGTGAGGATTCCCTGTGTGTGTGTGTGTGTGTGTGTGTGTGGGACTGGACCTGGGCGAAACGAGGCTGGGATTGGAATGGAGCATTAACATTGAAAAAGAAAAGAAAGAATATTTTTGAACAAAAGGAATAAGTATATTTACTGTCTTGGTTGGCCTATGACCTACCTACCTAGCATGAACCCTGACCTGGATCCAAATGGGGGATTGAGTAAGTGGCTGGGGGATTTGTCATTTCAATTTCAGATTAGTTCAATGGGATTCTAGATTTTTACCCTAGTACGGAGGATTTATTGTGATTTGGTTCTTTTGGTGCCTATTGTTGTTGGGGAGGGTGATGGAAGGTAAAGGAAGCCCTGCCCTGCCCTGCCTACCTTGCTATTGCATTGTGATAGTGATATCCCCTGTCATCATCGGTATAACTTGTTATATCGAACTTTGTGTGTGATACTTCCCGGCGATACATGTCTGCTAAATCCTGACAAATACGGGCATTCTCTCAATAGGACACGCCACTTGCACTTCTTGTCCTCCCTCGTAGATCTTCTCCTGTTTGTCATCCTCCCCCCCAACCTTCCATGACGCCCCCGCCGGTAGATATGCGGTGATAGTTCGCTGGCCGGCCTCGAACACCGGCACGACCAAATACTTCGAGCCAAACAGATACTCCGTTTCCACGGTCCAGGCGCGCGGGTCATCCGGGAACTCGTAGAAGAGGGTGCGCATGACGGGTGTGCCTTTCTCGTGCGCCTCTTTCATTAGACTTCTTGTGTAATCGCGCAGTTGCTCGCGGATCCCGATATACTTTTTGCAGATCGAGTAGACTTCCTCGCCATAGGACCAGATTTCGTTGTTGGAGCCGGATGCGGTGGGTTGGTTCTCCGGCTTGGGCTCCCGATCGCCGTGCAGGCGCATCACAGGACAGAATGTCCCCCATTGGAACCAGCGCGTGAACAATTCCCGGAATGCTGGGTCGTCTGGATCGCCGCCGTGAAAGCCCCCGATGTCTGTGGTCCACCAGGGGATTCCGGATAGGCCCATGTTGAGGCCGGCGGCGAGTTGGTTGCGGAAGGAGCTCCATGAGGATGCAATGTCGCCGCTCCAGACTAGGGCTCCGTACTTTTGACTGCCGGCCCAGGCGCACCGGAGGAGGTTGACAATGTTGCTTTGGCCTGCGGCACGCATGCCTTCGTAGAATCCGCGTGCGTATTCCTTGGGAAAGATGTTGCCGATCTGGAGGTTGCTACCGGCGTGGTAGCGGTAGATGTCAAAGTCGTAGATTGAGTATTCAGGCTCGGCTTCGTCCAACCAGAACACTTTGATCCCTTTGTCGTAGTAGTTTTTTTTGGCTTTGGACCAGACAAAGGCTCGCGCGGATGGGTTGGTCGCGTCGAAGTGGGTGATGTCGCCATCGCATTGCATTGCAATGCGGAGGCCGCGGTCGTGGCGGATTAGAAGACCCTGTTCCAGCATTTCGGCGTAGTTAGACGAGGCAGTTTCGACGGTCGGCCAGACCGAGACCATTAGTTCCACCTTCATGGCTTTAAGTTCTTGAATCATGGCATCTGGCGGGTCTGTTAGAGATTGCATTAAATGTGATAGTGAGGCTTACCTGGATCGGGCCAGAATTCAGGGTCGAAGCTCCATTCTCCTTGATGTTTCCAGTGGAAAAAGTCGATGACGATCAAGTCAAGTGGTACGTTTCTTCGCTTGTATTCCCGGGCAACGTCGAGGAGCTGCTCCTGGTTCCAGTAGCGGAGCTTGCATTGCCAGAACCCAAGGCCATATTCGGGCATCATTGGGACATAACCGGTGGCCCTGCTGTAGGCTTCCTCGATTTCAGCTGGGGTGTCGCCTGCGACGACCCAGTAGTCCAGCACTTTGGTCGAATAGGCCTCGAAGCTCATGGTATTGGTGCCTAGCACAGCTCGTCCGATAGCCGGGCTATTCCAGAGAAACCCGTACCCAAGGGAGGAAAGCGCAAACGGTATGCTGGCTTGTGAATTCCGATGTGCTAGTTCAATGTCGGTCCCCTTGAGGTTGAGAAAGGGCTGCTGGTACTGGCCCATCCCAAAGATTTTCTCTTTAGGATCGAGGGACTCGAAACGCATAGTCAGATGAAAGTCGCCTCCGAGAATTGGTCGCAGCTCTCGAGCTTCAATCTCCAGGGCACTGCATTTGGGGTCTTTCGGGTCACGACGGTGACGAGCGTATTCTTCTAGAAGCTTGACCCCCTTGTGGTTGTAGATGGTAATCTTGCCACGGTGGGAAACGGTGGCTTTGATCTTGCCGTTGGAGATGCTTGAGTCTTTGCTCTTCTCTACATCGATGATAGGTCGATCCGACTCTAGCTTCGTAGACAAGGCCCAGTCCTCAGTGGGCATGGATGCAAGCTTCGTAGCTCTCACACGGAGCGCATTCTCACCCCATGGCTGTATCCAGAGGAGGTGATCATCGAACCGGAAAATAAGCTTGTCATCCTCAGCATATAGCATTGCGAAAAGTGATAAGTTGACGTGGATGCGACAGAGTCAAGATTTGAAGGCCACGCGTGGTAAGGGAACGGCTTTATTTATGTCTTCACCTGTCAGTCCACAGCTGGGATAGAGGGCTTAACCATACTGTGCGACCCCTCATGATGACTAGCCTAACCCTCGAGTCATGACTCAACGTGCAACAGATGTAGCCATTGGGAAACCGACACGATACACCCTCCGATGGTCGCATTTTCGCCTGCATCCAGTGTCACCAGCGTCGCGATGAATATATTGGCAGCCTGCACCGCCGTTCGTCTAGTAGGAGAGGCAGTGGAGACAAAGGACTGCTCGAGAGCGAGTGATGATTCGAGCCAAGACGATGGACGGGCTAGATAGATGACTATAGCCTAAAGTCAATGGCCACGTCGAGACGGCGAGGAGGCGTTCCGGGGAAGAGGAGGAGACGACAAGCCGGGGGAGCGGGGAAGTCGAGCACAGATCCTGGTTCGGGGCAATACAGTGCCCTCTTGCTCCGATTCTCCGTTGCTTCTTGGCTGGATTATTGGGCAGGTCTACAGTAGTCTTTGAAGTATGTCGGTTCCGGAATTGACAGCTACGTCCTCAAGAACCATGCAACGTTAATCGCTCGTCTGGAAGATGGCGTTCAATGCAGAGTAGAGCGATATACCATATGCATCCCTTTCAACCATTTGCTTCAGCACTAAATCTACCAGGACATCCAATATCGTCATGAAAGGTGCAGCAGGAATTTCGGGACGATATTCCAGCAGGGTAAAGATTCCTTATATGGAGCGATGAAGCCTTCTGCCGATCAGACGTGTCCAATAACCCACATCTATGAAACTTGGTTGCCATTCGACAACAACGGCCGGCGTCACAGCAGGGCCAAATAACAGCTTCAATTGAACGTGAGGATGCTTCCGGCCTTCCGGCGGAATCCAATTTCAGCCAGGTGGTCTGCCATTATGACCGAGTTGTGATGTAGTGGACTGAGTGGTCTGTAGATAATTTGTACCACTTTCTGTAACGGTCTTTTGCCGAGGTAATATGTAGCCCGACGCACAAGTGCTGATGCTGATAGATCTTTATGGTGATACAGACTTCCCTTTGCGTGTGTAGGGACAAAATGAATATAGCTCCAACGCTCGTGCTCTAAGGTTTGGTGGCTTGGGCCACGTCTGCCCAATCTCCCAACCCTTCGCGACCGCGTCAGCCCTCAACCTGTCAAGTCGTACCACTTAGTAAAAAAGATGAGACCGAGACAAGCATGATATCAACATTGGACGACTCGACGACCGGCGATGAAAACACAGGGAAGGAGCATGTTCGCGTTGTTCCACCACACACCATGGATTGAGCAGCTGTGATAGGAGCTAATTACCCAAAGTCTGCTGCCAGAGGGCTATGCGATCCAGTTGCTATCAAGGTGACCGTCATTGACCGCATAGAAGGCTCATGATTTGAGGCAGGCTTCGTCATGATGAAAGGACCACCAGTCTAGCTTCTCTGCTGCGGTGGAAATGTTGCTTTGCCGTCAGATGCCGACAGTGCCAGATGGATCAAACAGTCCTTTTTGTTCAAATCCATCACTTCACGATGATAGCCGTGGTGATCGTCAATACGTCGCGACTGGAAGAAGTCTGTCAGTGTCCAACAAGAGCTCCAAGAGCTCTACCCATGAGCTGCTTGAAGCGAAGGTTGACCAGATCCCTCCGACATCACAAACTCTGTTTTGGTCTCTGATCAATACGCCCGTATTACTTGACAGACAATCTGCAGCTCCATGACTAGGAAGTGATCTGAGGGAGATTCAGCTGCGGCGAAACTCCGCGACGATCGACGCGGGCGGTGTGCAGCCAACTTCCTTTCGGCTTCACTTTGCGATCACCTCAGCCACCTTGCCGCCCCTCGTCTTTTGGTTTTACTCCCCCCAACCTTCATTGAATGGTCCCTGGCGTAAATTGACATCTATACCTACTGCGATATTCTATTTTACTTCCTCTACCAGCTCCTCCTCGACGGAGGTAGCCAGCCTGCACCAACTTTCTCTACAACTTAGCGCCGCCAACGGTGCCATTACGAACACAATGGACACCTCCATGGATATTGACATGGACATTGACCTGGGCCCCCTTCACGAAACCGAACCCTTTGAGACTGTAAGTGTCAATTGGTCGGTCAGCTCAGTTGACGACCCAATCTGGCTAACATCCCGGTCGGGCTTCAGGAACAGGCGCTGGTGACCAGTGCTGCCTACGATGAAGCGACGGATCCCATTGCTGCAGAAGCACAGTACGAAAAAGTACACGTTCGCGGTGTCGACGAGCTGACAACCGATAATATCAAGCAATTCGCCCTCGAGCACTTCAGTCTAGAGGAACCAAGCCGTGTCGAGTGGATTGATGACACATCGGCAAATCTCATATACTCTACGGCGGAGATTGGCCTCCAGGCTTTGACGGCATTTACGCAGGTGAATGAGGAGGAAGATGCATCGACGTTGCCCGCTCTACGGTTACGATCCGCGAAGCTTCTATCGTCCCACCCCGATTCTGTGCTCCAGGTCAGATCAGCGATCAAGACGGACCGCAAAAAGCCTCGCGCGCACGAAGCCAGTCGGTTTTACCTCATGCACCCGGAACATGACCCCCGGGAACGCCTACGACGAGAGCTTTCCGATAGACGACGTTCAGTAGGTGGAGATAGCAGCGATGGGGATTACCGGCGCCGGCGGTTTGACGGTCGGGAGCTGCGCCGACGGAGGGATCGCGATGCAGACGAGAGCTTCAGTGCTAATATGTACGACGACGCAAAGCCTGCCAGTCCCGAGCGCTTGGAACCAGGCTGCAGTCGCGATAGACGGGGAAGGAGAGGGGGAAATGAGCTATTCCCAGAAGAAGGACGCCTGTCGGGCCGCCTTCGCAATCGGAGCGCGTCACCCGGTCGAGACACGCTGATGGAAGAAGGATTTGTTGAGCACGATCGACAGGACTCTCGCCGACGGTTCCGGGAGCGGTCGCCCCAGCTCGACCGCCGCAATAAAGGCAAGGAGCTCTTCCCATCGTCCGGGCCCAAGTCCACCGATTCGAATACGCGGGAGCTATTCCCCAACCGAACGGCCAAAGAGCTCTTCCCCCAGAAAGTTAGTAATCATCGCCGGTCGGATGCGATCGACGTCGCGGATGAGACAGCAGATCTTCTCTCACGACGGATTTCCGTCCCTTTCGTTGATGGAGCTCAGGAACAGCCACCTGCGCGTCGAAAGCGAGACATTGAGCTCTTCCCTGGGACGACCGAGAGAAGCGGGCTCAACATTCGCAGGGCAGCAGGACAGGATCAGGGCATGTCGATTCGGGGTGCGGCGAACGGCTTTTCCATCAAGGGACGGGGAGCATCGGTTCGCGAGCTTTTCCCCTCCAAGTACGGTTCCAATGCTGGCTCCAATGCTGGCAAGGAACTGTTCTCTGACAAGATTGAGGGACGCGGGGGACCACGGCGCAGAGCGGAGGACATGTTTAGCTGAGGGCCCATGCTCGGTCGATCCGATGCATCATTGGCATTGCTCATTTCTTTGGTTGTTTTCATGCTTCTGCTTAGGTGGTGGTGCAAAAGTCTGATAACCGGCTGTTCAACAGCACCATTCACATCGGTGATACCAATCTTGCTATATACTTTTTATTGCTGTACTTCAGCCTAGTTTAATGAAACACTCCTACCTCTTATTATACATTTGAAAGAGTCCAGGCCAGTTTCACGTAGCCACTGTAGTTGTTGGCGCAGGAACTATATCTGACCGCTTCTACCGCCACCATCCCGATAGTATATATGTTTTTCCTTATCACTCCACTGATTGCACCCCACTCCACACTCCAAGATGCCCACCGAATCGCAAAGCGCATCACTAGCAAGCACTCTCGTGGCCCGTTTTCTACGGACGCACAATTACACGCAGACCCTCAACGCATTTCTCCAAGAAGCGGGACTCCCGGCCGACGCGGGGCAACTTCGCGGCAAGGACAATGCGCCCAGCTGGACGATCGAAAGCGTGCTCGAGGAGAAGAAAGCTTTCGACCAGAGCGTGAACTTTGAACGCTACGGCGAGAACGACGAGGACAAAGATGTCTGGAGTGTTCCAGGTCTATACCTTAGATCCCCCTACATGCAAACAACCAGCTGACAATATCCCAGCACCACTCAAGCCCAACATCATTCAAACGCCAACCGCCACAAACTTGCTGGCATGTTCTGTAGAGCAATGGCAACCGGCTGATGAATCCTTATCGCCATACCTGGTCGCTACAGGCGCAGACAAGCATCTTCACCTCTTCAAAACGTCTCCTGGCAATGACCTCGTCCAATCGTTCACCGGCACATCAGAGGCTCCGATTCTATCGTACGCCCCGATCCAGGATGGGAAAGACGTCCTCATGACCAACATGTCCGGACAACTGCTTCTCCAACGCGGCGCGCAAATCCTAGACCGTCGCAAAGACCATGCCAAATATGCCGTCAAAGTCATCGTCCACGAGGATGACACCTCTATTTGGATCGCAACCGCCGGCTGGGATTCAAAGGTCTTCCTTTACCGAATGCACACCGATGAGTCTCAAATCGGCGAACCAGTCGCATCCATCCCACTAGCCTCAAACCCAGAATCCATCCTCTTCATTCGTCACATCGACACAGATCAACTGATTCTACTCATCTCGCGCCGCGACTCAACATACCTTTACTACTACCAAGTCGAGCCGGAACGCCCCCAGCCTACTCCCTACGAATGTCCCCTGCTCGGCAAACAAAACCTAGCACCCCACTCCAACGCCTGGGTCGCTTTCTCCCCATCATGTTTGGCCCTCAGTCCACACGACCCGGGTCTCATCGCCATCGCGACATCAACTCTCCCGCATTTGAAAGTCATGATTGTGCGGTTACTTTTCCCCGCAGCGGAGAGTCTGGAGGAGAAGCCGGAGCCGGAAACGCAAGCCGCGCAGGCTTTGGCTGCCCTGTCGCTGCAGAATCGCGAGGACGCAGCTATCATGATTCAGGCGAATACGTTCGCGCCGCAGACGGCGTACTCCACGCCGCAGGTGGTGTGGCGGCCGGATGGGTCGGGGGTGTGGGTTAATGGGGATGATGGGGTGATTCGTGGGGTGGAGACTAAGACGGGGAAGATTGTGACGTTGTTGAAGGATGGGCATGAGGTTGGGTGTAAGATTCGGACGATTTGGGCTGGCTGGGTGGAGGGAGAAGAGGGGAGAGAGGAGTGGTTGGTTAGTGGGGGGTTTGATAAGAGGTTGGTTGTTTGGAGGGTATAGCACAGTATATAGTATAGTGACTTGAGGAAGGTCGTGGTTGTATAGGCTAAGTTGTTTTATGGAGAACAGTCAAAGCAATGGAGTCAAGACGGATATAAAATGAAGGACAAAGAATGCAAAAAAGTATAATCAATTGATGGTATCAACCTACACAGCCTACGAGTAACTAATATATTTGTAGCCCTCCGTCCATGCACCCTCTCGCCATGGAAAAGCAAGACAGAAGGTGTTTGGTAATTGGAGGGCATGGGATCTCCTCTCGGCACGTAATAAAAATCCTTCAGCAAGCGCGCATGGGGAATAAGCGCGAAGCTGTACACACATATGCCTGTCATCATCGTCATCATCACCATACTACGGTATTTCCACCACCGAAGCAAATCGACCACCAGCCATGGAATAAAAAGCCAACAACAACAAAACCAGAACCCAGTGTCGAGGCCAAAGTTCCAAGGAAAGTCGAAGAAGCAGCAGAACCGAATCCATTTGCTTTATGTGACAACCGTTCTCGACCCAACGGATATTCCATTCATCCATCGTCCATCCATAACCCTTGTGGTGAATTGTCGTCGCAGGTAGGAGAGGGAAGAAACAATCAACCAACTCAAATCGCTTTCATTTCTTTTTAAAACGTTTCTATATTAGTTGGAAGAAGTGGATTTATGCGACCTCGCGCTTGCCCTCCTTGCGCTCCTTCTGTGGGGTTGTTAGTGGGTGGTTCGGATTTCGCGGGGTTGTACGTTGGATGGGTGGTGTAGGTGGAGGTAGACGTACCAGAGCCTTCATGGTTCCGTGAAGAGCGTATCTGTGGTTGCGGCGGAACTTGGGGTCAACACCCTTGAGGGAGGGGTAACGGTGAGACTTGGGCTTCTTGATACTATTGATTATGAAAAGGCGATGGTCAGTTTTCCTTTCTTTCCTTTTGACTTTCTTCCTGGTGCGGGTGTGTGTATTTGTTGTTCGTCGAGGCGTGAGGGCGAATAAAGCAGTGTTGGATATGGTTCGATATCCCGTCAACTCGAGTATGATAGATAGTTCGTCATTTGTATGTTCCCTCTTTCATCCGTTGAAAATCAAAGATACCGTCGCATATCCAACATCGCAGTATTCGGACCCTTCTGGCGTTTTTCGTCTCGTAGGAATACCCCCCACGGAAAAAAGAAAGGAGGAAAAGGTATTGATTTTATACGCACCCGTTACGGTGAGCCTTCTGGCTGTTGTGGTGCTGGGACGCGTTCTTGGACTCTGTTGTTAGAAACTCATGTCAGTTATTCCATTTTTGCATCACATATTGGCCATGCCCAAAATTCCATCCCCAAAAATAGGGAGCATAGGGGGTGTACATACTCGCCATCTTGTCGGATTTGTCGCAACTAACAAACGGTTGACGAGGAGTTGGCGGGTGAGGATATCCTGAACGGAGCGGAAGGCCAGAGTCCCCAAGGCAGGTTCGGCTAGGGCTGGTTTTCTGTGGGATTTCGCTTACCGAGCACGGCTAGCGCGGGCTCTTGTCTATCTACTACCTACTTACTGGGGGATGTACTGCCGGGGGGTTTGATTGGGTTTTGTTGGGCTTTGATTTTACGGGGAGATTGTTGGGTATTTTTAAGTGGCTAGGAATGGTTTATGGGCTCTATTCCGATTGATTATTTGGGGGACTGTGGTGGTTGTGCTGGTGATTCATTGTATGGGGGAATGGATTGATACCTGAGGCAGATTGTAGTCCCGTGATTGATGACTAACATGGGAGTCGGAGTAACCAGGTGTTGCTGGGGAGGTCTTTGAGGTGTATGGTGCAGGGAGTGTCCCCAGTCCTCGGAATTAGCTTTTGTATAGCAAAAACGAGACTAATCTTAATTGTCGATGGTTATTTGATGGAGATATGAGTATGCGACAGGTATGACGACAGAAATGTTGACAGCTACATATCACGTGACATCAACATGGGTCCCAGTGGTTGATACTGTTGGACTCGGTTGGTCATGAGTAATTGGTTTCTCTTATATCTCTAGAACTGTGCGCTTATGGCTAGTTGGGTGTTCTCATCTGGTATAATTTAGTAGGGAATGTATAGTGATGGCAACAATTACGCTGGGTGCTATCCTATCCATAACGGAGAGAGGGTATACAGAAGCAGCCGTCTCAGACAAGGAAGTATGAACCGGACCACGGACAACGGACAACTACGGAGCAGGCACGGGACGGAGTAAAGCAGTCAGTAGAGTAGTGAGGACTCACTCCATGAGCAACCGAGTGTTGGCCCGCTGCGCCCACGTGACCGGCCGAGCCGCTAGGGAACAACCGGCATCCGACTTCGACCTTTGCAACTCCCAACCCAGGTTCAAGAGGGATACTATCACCACCACTCCCCGTCGTCCATTGCAAGATGAGCTCTCTCCGCTTTGCTCGCTCTGCTCTTAGGGCTCGTCCCTCCGCCTTCCGCGTTCCTCTCCAGCGCAGAGGTTACGCCGAGGCTGTGTCGGACAAGATCAAGCTTTCCCTGACCCTTCCTCACCAGGTACGATTCCGAATTCGTTGAGCGCCTCTGGGCTCTAGCTTGAAGGTCCCATACTGACAGTATCTCCTTCCAACAGTCCATCTTCAAGTCTGCCGGCGTGTATGTAGCCTCGCGTCCCCGCTAGGTCGAACAATTGAACAGCCATCTTCCACCCTAGACCGCCCCGTACTTACGAACCTTTCCCATGCAGTGTCCAGGTCAACATCCCCGCCGAATCCGGAGAGATGGGTGTCCTCGCCAACCACGTCCCCTCCATTGAGCAGCTCAAGCCCGGTCTCGTTGAGATCGTTGAGGAGGGTGGTGCCAGCAAGAAGTTCTTCCGTATGTCCGAACCATCGTGTTGATCGTGTCGCGAACCGAGAATCGTTATATCAGTGGCTACACTTCAAGGTTTAGGATAAGGCTGACATGACTACTTCTGAATTACAGTCTCTGGTGGTTTCGCCGTCGTTCAGCCCGACTCCCAGCTGAGCATCAACGCCGTCGAGGGTTTCCCTCTTGAGGACTTCAGCATCGATGTAGGTTTCGGAGGGCCACTGTCTGCCATTGTACATCACTAACTAACGTCATTCGATTAGGCCGTTCGCTCCCAGATCACCGAGGTCCAGAAGATTGCTAGCGGCAGTGGCAGCGAGCAGGACATTGCTGAGGCTAAGATTGAGCTGGAGGTAGGCAAAACCCGCGAAACAAACCTTAAAGTTCTTTGACTGACCCTACAATAGGTTCTGGAGAGCCTGCAGGCCGTCCTCAAATAGATACTTGATGTACATATCCACGCGACTTCAACTTTGAACCTGTAGAATTATAGCAATTCTCTTGAAACCCATGCATGGTCCTGAGGAGACGTCTATTAATAGCTTACTTTGGCGTTTCCTGACCGGTTGGATGGTGTCGACGCTTTCCTTTATTGCAGGCCCGACTCGCTCTTTCCTAAACAGCTCCAGGGGCAGAAGGCACCTTTTCTCTCCTCTTCTCCCTCTTCATTCTTCCCTTACCCCCAGTTGGCTTGTGCAGCACCACACTTAGGCCTATCGCCATATTCATCATTTTCATTTCCTATAGAAGCTGATACTAAGAACAGGCACACTTGTGGTTGAATAACTGGACACCCATTCACCAACTCAACTGCAGTCATGCCGGTGTCCAGGTCCGGCGGATCAGGGTATTCCAATGGCCAAGCTTCGGACAGTCCCCAGAAATCTCAGACAGTTCAGCCCGGCAGGTTGGAGGAGCGTCCTGGTTGCGCATTCATGAAACGCAACGAGTCTCGTGACACGGACTTCTACCAGATATTCCCTATGGAAGTGGACAAAGATACCTCTATCCCCCCGCCTCCGGATTCAAAAGTGTTGAAGGACGCCCGTTCTGATAAGGGCGCGGTGAAGTACCATGCTTCGTCCGATATATCTCTTGATACGTCTCTTTTGAAAAGCGGACATGAGAACACAATTGCATGGGGTAAAATCAATCGAGATGCTGCGTCCCTGGAAAGACCGGAAGATCATACCGATGCCTTGAACGAGAGGTCCTTATATGAGAGCAATTGTTTTGGTTCTCCTGAGGCCAAAACAGCGTGGAAGCCACCTAGGCCGCCCAAACCACGATTCCTATCGGACCTTGACGTCGCTGATTCTAGGGCACTTGAGAACGCCTCATTATCTTCGATATTTGGTCCAAGAGAGGGTCATTTGCATCATAAACGACTACTACCTGACTCCCCGGGTCCGTTCTCCACCCCCCAGGGCTGCTCTAGGTCTCGCATTCGATTGGCCAACCGATCAATTTTGCTGCAAGGCATGGATTATGATGCCAGAAAGCAACAGCGAAGGCCCTGGACAAACCCGAAGCCCGGCCCCTGTCGTCACGCTCCCCGACTTCCACCACGAGGCCCCAAGACATACTTTCTCAAGGATGACCCAAGTAGGCCGTTTCCAACCCCCCTCCCGTCGATCGACAACCTGCCATTGCGCAAGGACCCGAGGGTTGGTTCACAAAAGACTGTCAATGTACATCTTCAGGATTTCAGTGATGTCTTTTTGAGTCGCCAACGGATACGGGACTCAACATGGCAGCTCATAAGCGATTGTTTTGAGAAGGCCCTAGGCTGGATTTCGCACTGGTTCAGGCTAGAAGAACGAAGCGTTGTCAGTCTGTCCTTGGTTGGAAAACGATCAGTCAAACAGCCTTTGCATTCCGGATCCGAAGGATATTCGTTTCATGTAAATTTGAACTGGTCGATCATGACAAAGCCAACGGCAAACCATGATAAGCAGGATATGAACTTATCTGTTTCTTCTCCTAGCAGCGATACCGTACGTCTCTTCCAGGTTGATATCACGGTTCCGATTCTATTTTTGCAGGTTCTCGCGCGCCTCGGTGCTATTCTACGGAGCCTCATGTTTTCAGAGGCCATGGCTGTCGTTGTGCAACTTCTCCTAAGATTGGCTGGAGCACTCGTTTTATATGTTTTGGAGAAGCTGTACATCAACATAACTATTCGCCCAGGGAAGCCTGTTGCCGCTTAAAGCAGACGTTCTGAAGAATACGAAGCTAGTATTCGAGCATGGCCTGCGTGCTATCTCCCTTGACAGAAATGAGATGAAGGCTAAGAAGGATGCGACATTATGCTATGGACGATCGTTATGCACACTTACTTACAAAAATCCATTTTATTCACACCCAGAATGAGGCAAATGATGATTTGAAAGAGACAACAAATATCACACAAAAAAATTGGAGAAAGGAAACACAAAAAAAAGGGTCTGGTAACAAGGGCCAAGGAAAATCCGAACGCCAGCTGCTTGAAAGCATATTGCCGCCCAGTCCATATCGATACCTTATTCCGGACCGAGGGTCATATAAATCAGTCCAATTTATATCCATTTCCTTGCTCATTGCAACCGTATTGTTGCGTGATTGCTTTCATAGAGTCATTACCGGACATTCAGGCAAAATCCCTTTTATGTCCACGAATCGTTTCCGGAGGAACCAACAGTCGAAATGACGAGTGGTTTGCATGTATACATCACAACATAACATATTCCAAGATTGACATGAAGGGGTAAATTCAAAGGAAACAGGGTCAAACGGAGAGCGTAAACAGCAAAACATTATACGGCATGAAATCATCAAAATGGCTATACAGAGGAAGAAGGGCGGTCATGGCTTCAGTAGCAGAACATGTCGTTTCATCAAGTGAATTCCACACCATGCTGTTGCCTGTCTTGACGTGCACGAGCTCTCTCTGCCCGTCTTCGTCGACGGTTGCTTGCATAGTCCCCGCTGGCTTCAGTTCCGGTGAACGTGCCAGGGGATGCAATACTCCCTGTTCCATAGGGATGGCTGGATGGCACAGGGGGTGGAGGCGGAGGCGGCATAGGTATGTGGCTTCCATTTTGGGGAGGGGGTGGTGCGTAATATGCTGCAGGAGGCATGCTTGACGAGGGAGCGGCAGAAGCAGCCGCCGCGGCAGCCTGCTCTCGTTGCATCTGTTCTTGTTGCTGGCGTTCGAGTTCCTCGACTCGGCGCCATCGGTCGTACGAGCCCCCTTCGTTGCCAGATAGTGAACTTGCGCTGCCGGCTCGACGACGGGAGTTCCTTCGTTCTCGTCGTCTCGCTTCGCGACTGGCGGCGGCTTCTTCGTCGGTTAATCTCCGAAGAGTGACGTGGCGGCCATCATTGTGCATTTTCACTTTGACGGATACAGGGGGTGAGGCGATGGGATCACGGTGGCGGCTGCTGCTGCGGTGTCGACTACTGCTGCGACGGCGATGACGCGTGGACGATTCGGCTAGGGCTGCTCCGGCTGCCCCGGCTGCTACACCCGAGGCGAGATCGGTGGGACCATGTGCAGAAGGGGCTGGTCCTGGATACTCTGAAGCTGGTGTTGGTGGAACGGGTGGCCCAGGTGGTGGTGGTATGTCTGAGCGCGCACCGCCGATTGCTCCGGATGCCGCTGGGATTGCCGAGACAATGGAATCGCCGTGCGGCGGACCACGTGGTGGGCGTGTCAATTCCGTTGAAAGGTCGGTAGCAGTGAATGAATGGGGTCTTCCGTGTCTTGGGTAATAGGCCTCGCCAGGATACCGCCGCTTGCTCTCTGCTCTGGCTAACCTTTCGTCTTCCTCCTCCCGACGACGCATCTCTTCCACACGACGTTGTTCCGCATTTGACTTGCGACGCGAGAAGAAGTTCTTGAATGCTGCAAATGCCCCTGCACCTAGTACGGCGTCTCGGAGTCCGTGAGATGGCTTCCGCTCGGGACGCTCGGAAAGATAGGTGCTGTCGTAGAGGTACGATGAGCCTGGGCTTTGCGGCCGGCTTAGAGGTCGAGTCGGTGGTCTGCTCGGAGGTCTGCTTGGTGGTCTGCTGGGAGGTCTACTAGGAGGCCTACTCGACGGACGGTTGAGAGGAGTGCGCTGGGTTGGCTCCGCTCGTCGCTCGTCTTCCAGCCTGCTCAGGCTTTCCTCTGTCATACTGTCACTTCGAGTATGGGCTCTGCTGTATCGACCGGACTCTGTGTCATCGTCTCGTTCACGTCTCCTATCAAAGAACTTTTTAGCGAGCCAGGCACCACCACCAAGTGCACCTAGCTTTAAGAGCAGGTTTCCCGTGCCACCACGTCGTGGGCCTTCGTCGGAATGCTTCTCGTCTGAATAGCTGGTATGGGATTCGTCATAATCGTGATCCTTGACTCGCGAACGACGTCTGAAGAGCGAAGCCAGACCAGCCCCAGCAGCTCCTGCGGTAGCCATTCGGCCGAAGCTGCTGCGACGATGATCATCAGCAGCTGAAGGCCCCGAGACATAGCTGAGTCGACTCTCATATCCCCCCTCCATTGGGTATCCCTCCGTGTCGTACAAATATGATAGCACGAAGAACGCTACTAGCAGGGCGAAGGCGGCAATCGAGTACAGGATGAAGAGAACTTTGGGCGAGCCATATAGAGTGAGCCCTAGCGGTATCTGAACGAGTCCTAGAATGGCGAGAGCGCGGCCGATCCATCGATGAATCTGAAATCCAGGTTAGCCTCAGGACAGGAGCACCGTTACGGCCACGCTTCATGACATACAACAAGCTTCAAGGGGACATGGTATCTCTTCTTGTTCCTTTCAAGCTTATGAACCAGCCAGCCCCACAGGACCTGGAAAACAACCATGACGTATATCGCAAGACCAATTCCGTGGTGCGGGTTGGTCAGGCTTCTCTTTGGGCCAACAGCGAACCAGCCGAATACGAACACGACGGTGCTAAGCAGTAATGTCAAAACCTGACACCAGACGTGCAGCTTGAAGGCCCAGTAAGGATTCCATCGGGAATAGTATCGGATGATCAAGACGGATATAGGCACAAGGAATAGAAAGACGATTGTTGCAATGACTCCGTGGACGATGATGAGGGTGTGGTACTCGGGCATATCTTTGAAACGGTTCCCCATACCTGAGACATGTAAGCATACTTTGGTTCCATGGGTCTATGACATTACTAACCATTGTATCGCATGGTGTCAAAGTTTATCCCCATTAAATTCGGGAGGAGGAATGTGTCGCGCTGCGAGTCCCACGTTCCATCACCAACGTGCAGTGTATTCGAGGCATACGTACTGCTCCCCGCAGCCGAAAGCCCTGAGTCAGCCGTCATGGCTCCTGAAGGCCTTTGGCTCCTGTGACGTCCGACCGACGCGGATTCCTCACGATCTCACAACACTGGAATGTCCGAACTACCGACGGAGATCTATTGAGATCCCCCACCCCGAAGAATGCACCATGCGCTAATGGGGAAGGCCGAATGGGACTCAATCACAGTGACGTCTTCTGGATTCTTTCGGAAGATATTGGCAGAGCGTGAGACGCGACCACTCTCAGCGTTTGAATTGTTGTTTATCCTTCTGGGATCGAGGCTGGCGGTGAGGAGGGAGGAGGTATATGGACGGCGGGGGAGGGATAAGCAGTGAAGTACAGGGATCAGGAGGGAGCAGTAGGCGAGCACCAGTCTGGATAGCGAGCAATTCGAGCCCGTGAAGTGGAAAAGGAATAACAATGGAGGAGAGGAATGGTCCGTGGGACAGGGAAGCGGATAACCGCCGAATAATCGCAATGCAGGCTGGACGCCGCTGAGGCTGGGGTCGAGCGCCGCAACAACTGTTTTCCATATGCGGTTTAGCTCACCAGCGCATATCCCGGACAACCATCGCTGACTCAGCTTTCTGCCGCTTTCCACCGTCCCGCATGGTCCACACTCTCCAGACACCAAACCGCGTAGTCTATCAGCTAGTCTATCTATCTATCTATCAGCTAGATTAGCCATTTCAACCCAGGTTGCAGCACTGGCATCAATGCACAACTGGCAGATTATTCTAATGAATGATTGCCCAGAATAACCTTCGTACCATATACATACGTTGCGAGGTTCATAGTTCAACGACATTATGAGGTAGATAGCGAGGACCGCTACAGAATACGGTGTATCTATACAGACTCTCCTGTGATGTTTCTCGAGCCCTCCAATCGACGGGATGGCCATCACTGTTATCTACACAGCACTCGATGTGCCAAGGCCACCATCGAATCAGGAGCAAATCATAAGCCTCCAGGAATCAAATTCCAGAGTTAAGCCCAAACAGCGTTGGGAAAGCGGTCAGGACCGCGTGACCTCGATCGCGTGCTTTGCCTATCTTATCAGCTGCTCCGTTCCTTTACGAGGGATCCATCTCCCTTCGTCCCAAGGCATCTAGATAGCCCCTCCTTGTTACCACGGTCTTTTTTCTTCATCGTTGTACCCAGGAACTCAGCAGCAGGATTCAAAGGTGACAATGGCTACCCAGTTAGAGGTCTTTGTGAGAGCACTCTCTCGGTATGTCTCTCCCTTTACCCGATATTCCGCCTTATCTCTTCCGATGATGTACTAACGCGTAAGCAATGCAGCCTTTTGGGCTGGATATAGTATGTTCCCAAGCCAGGTCATAGCATAGAGGATGCTTTTGCGTGGGGTGAAGGCCGTCAATTACTGACCACTTCACTGAAGCACGTTCTGTTGGTCCGCATCTTTCTACCCCCAGCCGATCAACAACTTCCGGCGACGGTCGACAACAGGGCTGGCGATCGACTTCCCTACGATCAACGTCCTAGGATTCGTGTGCTATACCATATACACCTCGGCCTTCCTATACTCTCCCGTGATCCGCCATCAGTATGCTGCCCGTCACCCACTCGCCGAGGACCCGACCGTGCGCTTTAACGATTTTGCCTTCGCCCTACACGCCGTCGTCCTGAGTTTCATTACCTATACGCAGTTCTGGCCTTTCATCTGGGGTTTCAAGGTCTCTCGGTATCAGAGGGTCAGCAAGCCGGTGGCAGGACTCTTTTGGGGCTCTATTGTCGCGGTCGCTGTCGTGATCTTCATCGTTCTCGCCAAGAGCCCGGATCAAGGCTACGACCCATACTCCTGGGAATGGATCGATGTCGTAAGTAGCCCGAAGATGTCCATGTGGCTGCCTCGCGTGGAAACTCTCTGACAAGAACGGTGTTAATCCAGATATATTCCCTCTCCTACGTGAAACTGATCATCACAATCGTCAAGTACGTACCTCAGGCGTGGGTCAACTATAAGCGCAAGTCCACACATGGCTGGAGTATCGATCAGATCTTATTTGACCTGTCCGGGGGCGTCCTGTCCCTTGCTCAGTTGCTTCTGGATTCAGGATTCCAGAACGATTGGAGTGGGGTCACCGGAAACCCGATCAAGTTCCTCTTGTCCAACGTTACCATTTTCTTCGATATGATCTTCGTTGTGCAGCACTATGTCCTCTACCGAGATGCCGAGGACCGCAAAGGGAAGGACCAGAACCCTAGCGATCGGACTCCCCTGTTGTCCGAGTCAACCGACGTACCTCGAGCAGATAGTGTTTAGGCTTTCGCCGTCCCCTGGTGGCTGAACTGCAGTAGTCGGGAGCGCCTCGGGACCCCCGGGGCCTCGGGCGGTCCGATTTCTAAGCTGATTTTGATTGATTTAACGTTTTTTGGTGGTGGTTCATGTGAAAGGTTGGACGGTTTTGGTCGCATGATGGCTGAGGCTGAGATTTTGTGACATGTATGACCTCATAGACCCCTCCGCCATCACCGCCGAGGGAGGATATTGTTTTGGAAGATGGCTGTAACTCGTATACAGGGCCCATTGACTTCACACGGCCACCCGAAGAAGAAATAGCCATGTGTCTTGGGCGCAGAGAGGGATAGACGGCCGGGTGGGCTCGCAACAATGTATTTTTGGAACAATGTCTTTGGTTCACTGCTTCGCGAAAGTGTATCTACACATCCTCCCCGATGTAACATGGCAGTGACACACGATCTAACCGGGGGACCAGCCCAAGATCTGCAGGCCGATTCAGGCCAGTCCGAGCCAGGTGCTACCGACACCGCTCTTTGGCACTCGGTGCATGCTGACGGCGATCGTCTTTCCGGGCCTTCCTGCCAGCAGTTGTCCAGTCCGGGGAGCCGTCCCCCTAGGAAGCATGGTAGCGTGGCCCGAACGTCCATGCGACAGCAGGGATCGTGGGCGCCGAGCTTGGGACCCATCTGGCGGTAAGCCCAAGGGATCTGCATCGAAGCCATGGTTATAGCGTCGAGGTGCTGGCCTCTTTGGGAATAAGCGTGGGGGGCCTGACATACCCGTCCTTCAATCATTGCTCGCCTGCAGATGATGGACGTCGGTCCAACCCTTTCAACGGCGAACCAGATGGCCCGACGATATGACTAGTACAGCGGGCGGGCTTTGGATCGTTTTCCATTTTCTTCCATTAATTCCCCCCTGTGGCCCACTCGGGGTGCTGGCTGTCTGGCTGTCTGGCTATTTTGTTCGGATCGTCTGGAACCTTGCCAGTTAGTTGCCTGGGGCCCGCTCGGCGCTGAGGCTCAGACGGCACTTAGACTTTCCCTGCCAGAGATCCCCATGAATGAGGAACCAGAACCACCCAATTCCGCATGCATATTGATCCCATGCGGTGGACGGAATATTACACGACGCAGCCAATCATCGCCCGCCATCGTCCGTATGTCCAATGGTCCGTGGCTACCCTAACTCGAACGCGTCCTATCAGCTCCTGGGTTGGGGCTCAACGTCATCTCCATGTCCACCCTCCCTCTGCATACCCACGGTTCTGAAGTTGTGCCTTACGGCATTCTGGCAGTGCCCTTCTCCTCAGCCCTATCAGATGGCCGGAATTAAGCCGCAATGTTCCAATTTTTACTTCTACATAAGCAGCGAGGATCCTATTTTAGCGCAGCCAAAAGGCAAAAGCAACGAGAAAAAGAAAATTCACGGACCCAAAAAACCGCGAGCATAAGGGCTTAATCTGTTTGGTTGTCGCTATGCTCCGGTCCGGATCACCTGTCAACAAATGTGTCATCTGAATAGGGTTGGTCCTATCCTCTCAGCTGTCGTATTAGACCCCCCCCTCCACTGTGTTTGAGTACTTGCCCGACTTATCTCGCCCGGGCAATCGTTTCCCTCGCCTTTGTGAAGAGTTTAGCACACGGAAGGCCCGAACTGGGTCCCAGGGCAAGCGGGAGAGCCGCCAACGATGCGAGCAAGTACCATAGTCAATGGTACAGTCACATCAAATTAGAAATCCGATTCTCCATCGTCCCAAAGGGTCTCGCACAGCTACCTCGTTTGGACCGTCAGCCCTGGGGATATGCATAGCCACATCTGACATTCGAGACACTCCTGAAGATAAGAATGTTGGAGGGCCACTGATCGTACTGTCTTTAAATATCCACTATGCATCCGAGCCCGACAAGTCAGGAAAGACCATTCACGACAAATAAGCTTTATACCGCTGAGACGCCCCGAGTCCACTCAGTAAGTACATGGACCACAGGTATCACTGAAGGTACCTTCATATGAGAAAATTTCCATCAGTAAGAGTGACCTATTCCCGACAGACAACACCTTCATACTAACAACATCCAGAACAAGCCCATCCGAGAGTTCAGTACGCTTTCAACAGGCTCTGAACCCCCAACGATGACTGCGAGAACCTCCATCCACAGCGCCATGCTACTCATGCCTGGCGGCTCTTCAACCCACAGCACGATGTCGTCAGAGATGCAGCCGTACCCTTTTTCGGCCGCGGCCTTTCAACAGGCCCCCTTGTCAGATGTCCGTGGCCTGCCTGGGACTGTCCCCTACGCCTTTGACCAAATCCAACCCATCCCCATCCACCAAAGAGACTCTGACATGGGAGGTCTCTACTTCCAAGATCATGACCAGTACACTCCCTCATACGCTCGCCAGACCGTCCCAGCGCAATCCTTCGGGTCCGATATCGAACCCTTTCCCCCAAACACAAACGAAACATACTATCCCGTCCATCAAGAAGCATGGCTCGCAGTCGCAGCAGCACCAGGCTCATCCCCCAACAGCACCGACTACCACTTTCCAACATCCACACAATCCTCCTTCTCCCAATCACAACTAACCCCCATCACCTGCGCCTCCCTATCCTCCACCACCACCGACCTCGACTTCGATCTCGATCTCGATCTCGACCTTGACGACATCAACCTTCAATCCCTGTCCGATACCTCCTCCGCCCGCACACAGACCCGAGACCTAACCAATTACGGTATACAATCTGCTGACGGCACCTGGCGCTGCGCATACCCCGGCTGTTCCTCACACGCCGTGTTCCGTCGGGGCTGCGACCTCCGAAAACACTACAACCGACACCGCAAACATCTCTTCTGTCGGTACGAAGGGTGTCCTCAGGCCATGCGCGGCGGCTTCTCCAGTAAGAAAGACCGGGATCGGCATGAGGCTAAACACAATCCCGAGATTCCTTGTAAGTGGGACGGATGTCACCGGGTGTTTAGTCGAGTGGATAATATGAAAGATCATGTGAGGAGAATTCATAAGAGGAGGGGGTCTTAGCTTATTGTTCCTTCCTCCGTCCTCCTTCGCCCTTCCCCTCCCCCTCCTATCTCTCAACCCCCCCCTCATCTCCAAATTTCATCTCATCTCTCTATATACTCCCCTTTACCGCCCTTTATTATCACTTTGTATCTCATTACGTCCTTTATTGCCCCCCCTCTTCTCATATCCACTCTTCATCATCATCATCTTCTTCCCTTTTCATTTGATTTAATTCTTCTTGCTCAATAAAGCGAAGATCGGAATACAGGACCGGATCAGACCAGGACAAGGATGGTGGGATTGGGATAAACGGAACCAAACGGCGTGATTCCTTTTTTTTTTTTCTATATTGGTTTTGGACATCACTCATGATTACTATCTGTCTCCAAGCGAGAACGAACAAAACTATCATATCCAGCACTGGACTGCGCGGCACTGCAGAGCAGGGCAGTTATATACCGTTTTCTTTCACTTTTCATTATTTCAACTTTCTGCTTTACTAGTTAAACTGTACGTACTGACTGTACTTATATGCAATCCCTATCTGTCTGTCTGTTTTATGTTTTCATTGGCCTTTTGATGAAGAAGATGATGATGATGTTCATGTCGACCTCCAGATGGAAGGAAGCTACGCTAGCTGGCTAGCACTAGCACATACACACACACACACACAAACGCACACTCGCTCACTCACTCACATATACTGGATTTTGGTTCTTGCGCCTTCTTTCTTGTTTGTTCTTCGTATTCGTCTTCTTTTTTTGGTGCCCATCGCCTGATCCCGGTCCGTATGTAGCCAGTCAGTCAGTCTGCCAGTTATGTCAAGTCAAGTCAAGCCAAATCAAGTTGAAAGAAATCCGGTGAAACGCCTCGGTACCCTCCACGAAAGAAGACGCCAGGACTTCCTCTATGTATATCTGAGGAAGCGAAGTAGCAGGATGATGATAAGAGAAATGAGGCAAATGTAAGCAAATTGAAACGGAGAATGATTGACATGCAAAGCGAAGAGGCAAGATGATCAAAGGAGAAAGTCTCAGAAGCAACACAAGAAAACGCCCACTAGCAAAGTCTTGTACAAACCCGTGCACACTTCGCCAGATTACTCAGCAAGACGGACTGGGGAATATAACTATTCGAACAAAAGCGAATGACAGAATACGAATATAGGTATAAGAGATCAGAGACAAAAAAATAGAAAAGGGATCATGGCTCTAACAACATCTGGTATCACTGAAACGAAGTGGGTAGTTGAATAGATGTAAATCGGGGTTGCTGGGATGATAGTTGATAGTTGATGGTGGGTTGGTTCATAATGCATGTGCAATCAGTTTACATGAATGCCATGATGATCGATGATGATGGGGAAAGAATTGACTGCGTCATCCTCTCAAGGCTATATGAACACTTGATGAGAAAGCCAGTTCTTGATCCCGAGGATAAATCAACGCGGACGGACGCTGTCGCTAATGCAATATCGTATAATGGTAACCTGCACTTTTGGAGCATATCGCTGAGCTGATGATGATGGTATCGGTAAGTTGTGCGGCCTATTGAATATTGGTCCGACGGCGCCGGCCACGCGTGCTGCCCTCCGGTCGTTGAGCCAGGACCTGCCTGAGGGCGGGGTCGTCTCGACTTTTGTCGACGTGGTGAACCCTGACATGTCTGGATGGGGTCTTGTGAGCAGGCTGAAAGGTATCGATGTGCGATCAAATGGAGCCTTACCGTTGAAGATTGTCCGGCCGAGGGTATTTGTGTTGTTGATCCGGGCAGAAAGGACATACGTATCCAGGCGAGTTATGGACGAGGCCATGTCGGATCATCTCGTTCTTACGCTTGAAACCCTTTCCTCCGGGCCCACGAGGACAACCATCGATGGGGCAGAAATGCGGACGGTCCTGAGAATGAACATTCGCATGGGAGCTGTGCGCTTGGTGAGCTTCGCACCCGAGTGGATCGGGTTGCAATTGCTTACTTCAGAAGGTATTGAGTCTGGAAAGGAGCTGCAGTGCAGCCAGGATGGCGACACTTATACGCCCCAGCGGAAACCGCTCCATTGACGTGCGTGGGGGGATTATACGACCGATCGCAGGTTGAGGCAGGAGTCTGGTCTGTTGGAGTGGGATAGCTGGTTGCCGGGCTCTTGGCCGTCGGAGGTGCGGCCTCATACGTTGAGGTAAGATAAGTGATGTCCGCCTTCATCGGCGGCCGCCAGTAAGACTGCTGCGACGCTGGCGAAGACATGGCGGACATGTCTTTGGAACTGGCAGGTGACAAGTGCGAGTAGGGGCTGGGCGGAACTTGGGACGGAGGGGGAAATTGGCCCAAACGTTGGTGATCCCACACCGGGTCTGTTCTTGATACCGGGGGAGACGCAGCTGAGACTGAAGGCAGAGCGCCGTAAGATGAGCCGTTCAAACGGCCAGGACCGCCATGGGGCGGTGGTACATCGGTCACCCCCGCCAACGCCGTTTGAAGAGAGGGCAAGCTATGATCCACCGAGTTCGCCGTTGCTGACGAGTGGAGAGCGGGGAGCTGGGCCTCCGACGGGTTGATGATCAGCAATTTGCTCAAGCGGGATTCCGGATCAGATAATTTCCTCTCCTGTCTCGGAGGGGGAAGACTAGGCGGGGTGTGCTGCTGCTGTTGCTGTTGCTGTTGATTTTGCTGTTGTTGGGATTCTTCCTTGAGCGGAGGCTCTCCCACTGCGACAGACGGTCGGAGTGACTCCTTGGGGGCTGCTGGAGCAATCTTGGGGGCCCCCGAGGGTTCTCCCTCTTCCTTCGGCTCACTCGGGCTGATCAGGCCGAGGGCTTCTATTGCCACGCGCTCCGGAAGAGATTTGTCCGGGTTGAACTTAAATTTAGGAAGCTCCTGGAAGCTATCCTCCACTGGAATACCAGCATTGAAAGGATGTTCATCCGCGTAGGCGGCTAGGTCAGGTCGATTAGGGTCTAAATGTCTGATCAGCACCGAGTCGCCAGCGTTTGTACCAGGCTTCTGGAATTCCGGCAGCTTACGGGAACTGCCCGGAAGACACGTTGCCTCAGCATCGTATTTCGGAGCATTGCCCTTGGGCGATTGATCTCCGGTGTCGAAAGGAGGCGGTGACTCCTTTAGCTCGTAGCTGATACGCGTGGGCAGCAACCCAGGGCTACCGGGTCGTTCATGGGGATCGTATGATTCTGTCATGAAGGCGGCGGTTTTAGGCGCATTAGGTGCGCCGCCCCTTACTGTCCGGGTTCCTTGCCTGCCCTGAGCTGGTGCTCTGGAGGAGTGCTCAGAACACCGGGTTCAACGGGAACAATGGACAACCACTCGGACAATCGGCCAAGTAGAAAGAAAGACCGATCACTTGTAGGTCCCAAGCCTCCTGTCACCATATTAGTATGTGCACACAGGCAAGAAAACGCGGTGGCACGGCATGAAGGGAAAGCAGTGGGAAAGGCGCCGAATACAGAGGAGGAATAGGAAGAAGCTTGTGCGACGGTCCACGGTGGGCATGGCCACGGGAGAAAAAGAGGACAAGCAGGCCAGAGAAGGGGCAACAACAACAAGTGCAAAGGCAGGTTGGACGATTGAGCAAACATCCCGAAGGCGGCGAACAGCAACAGCAGCAGCAGGAGCAGCCCAGATCTGTAACATCTCGAGCGACTGCACCACATGGACCAATTGCGATAACTTCCGGGATGCAGGTTTGGCCAAGAGCCAGGGAAAGAGAAAGAAGCAAAAGGTGACCATTTGCGAACAAACAGACCGCCAGTCGCAAGACATGGAGTGGGGAGATTGGCTTTCGTTTTTTTTTTACTGAGGCTGGCCATTCCGGGTAACGTGGAAGGAAATGCAAAATAGGCTCACCTGCTGTCAGGAACCGACAACGCCGCAGGAACCGCGTGCGCAATGAGGCTCAATTGGAGACGATGGCACGTCGGAAATCCAGTCAACCACGACACCACTGGGCGCTTAGATCAATAGACCATGCGCGCAGGGTTTACGAGCCGCGGGAATGAAACGACGAGGGGGGGAAAGAGGAGGGGGTTGAAAAGGTAAGCAAAACAGTGCAGGATGAGGCGAAGGCTCCGCGGGTTCAATGGTGGTGATGATGACGATAAGGGAGGTCACGATGTCACGGTCGGGTCGAAAAGAGGATCAGATCATGGAAAAATTCATGGTCCACCGGCGTCAGCAGAGAGAAGCAGAAGTAGCAGCGGAATGAGATTGACCAGGGGAGAGGTAGGTAAATAGGCCCCGACCCGAAGAAGAAGAATAATAATCGTAAAAATAATAAAAAAAAAAAAAAATAAGGAGAAGAAGTGTGAGAATAACAGGTTCTAGTAGGTAAGGATCAAGGGACGATTGAATAGTGGCCGATGAAGCTAAAGTCCCAGCAAGCGGGTTAATGACGCGCTTGGCAGGTGGAAAAAAAGGTTAAGGGTATGGCCGGAGCGGTCAGCAGGTGTGTTGCGCTGGAACGGCCGAACCGAGGGGAAGGATCAGAGTAATAATAAAGGGAAAGGCGAGGTGGGAAAGCAGATGGGGACACGGATAGTTAGTTTGGCGTGGCCGTCGTGGTGGTAGTAGAATTGAGGAGAACCTCTGGTCATCAATCCACCAGGCCGATCCACCGGCCGGGCTGGAAAAGAGCTGGGTGGAGAATCCTTGCTGTGCTTTTGCTGAGAAGAACGACAGGTAAGGTAGTAGATAGATAGATAGAGAAAAGGTACAAAAGAAGTAGGCAGCTGTTGTTTGGTTGGTGCTGTCTTGTCTGGTCTGGTCTGGTCTTGCTGGTCTGATCTGATCTGATCTGATCTTCTGGTCTGGCTATTGTTCTCGTCTCTCTCGCCTGGCCTTTCTCTTGCTTCCTTTCTCTCTCTCTCTCCCCCCGTCTCTTCTTATTCTTCGTTTTCTTCTCTTGTTCGGGTGAGATCCGCCGTTTCTGTTTGTGTGCTTTCCCCAGTAAAACGTTAGTTTCTTGGTTCAGCCTCTCAACTTTAAGACACAAACACGCGAGGCTCCCAAAAGTTCCCCCCGGATTTACTTAAATTGGCATTGGCTTCTCAACCACAGCAAGACAAGAAGCAGATGAACCAGAGAGAATTATAATGAAAAAAAAGGAAAGAACTCGCAGGACCACGGAAAAGACGGAGGGAATGAAGCTGACTCTCCAGACGCGCGCCACTGCCTGCAGGCAGGGCAAACAAAGTGGGGTGAGCATGGAGGAGGAGGAGAGAGGGACAACACCATCGACCCAGGTGGAGAGGAACAAGCAAAATCTCTACCTACCGACAAGAGTCAAGACCACCATTCAGGCTGTCGCTGGGGTGGGAAGGAGGTAAGGGACGAGGGGGGGGGGTAAAGAGGGGGAATGTCTGGTGGGTGAGGAAGAACGAGAGAAAGCGCAGCTGCTCAAACAAACGCCTGGCTCTTTGCTTTGCTCACTGCCTTTTTTTTTCCCTGGCCGACCACATTGAGCAGGAAGAATAATGCCACGTCCACGAGGCCGACCCGACCAGACTAGGCCGAAAAGGGGGATCCACCTCATGAGGCTCTCTGCATCCCCACGCCTGATTGGCCCTTCCGCGCGGGCACAGTTTAGGAGGCTGAATTGTTCATCTGCACCGAACCGTCGTAGAACTTGGCTGCTGCTCGAGAATGGGAGGGGGCCGTGGGTGTGTGTGTGTGTGTGTGTGTGTGCTCGTCCCTACGTGCTTCCATGGAAAGAAGCTCGAGCTTCATCAGATGATGAGGCTTTCTATCTCTCCCCCCCCCCCCCCCAATTCCCCCTCCCCCCTCCTCTTCCCCTCCGATCGGATAAAATCTATCGATCGAAATTTAATCTATCCTTGGCCGCCTTGACACGGCTTCCCCTCCCCCCTCCCCTACGGTACAGTACGGTACCTCCAGATTATCGCCCGCAGATGAATGGCCTGTCCACGACCATTTATCTCCCAACCACAACCGGGTCAGGTCGTACTCGGTCCCTAAGGCGACAAGGCTGCAGTCCGCACTCGATGGCTGACCGCCACGGGAAGGACGCCCCAGTGTCGCTTCCAGTCCTCCCTACTGGACAATCATCCGCCTAGTCTGTTGCACAACTGCAGACGGGCTCGCACGATAATCCAGAGCAGGGATATGCATCATGTGCGGAGGACAGCGTGATGAGTGGGAAGGAAGAGGAGGCTGCGGCGGCGGCAGCGGAAGAGGAGAAGCGAAAGTGAGGAGCAAAATGAGGCTAAAAACTAAATAAAAGCAAAATACTCCGTAAGAAAAAAAAATAAATATAAGAAATCAAGTAACTTAGAGATTATTAATAAATAAAAAAAAACATTGGTCTATCAAAAAGAAAAGAGACATTGGAAATAGAAGCCTAACTAACAGCCTCGGTGACCGACCGATCTACCTAGTAGATGAAGTCTAGTACCTACCTACCTACCTACCTACCTACCTACCTACCTACCGTACCTCTCAGTAGTGAGTGTATTGCCGTTGCTAAATCACGTCCTCCGTAACAACTCCGACTCCGACTCCGTGAGAGGGCAGGATCGAGGATACGGCGACCGAGTACAAAGAGGAATGGGGCTCAGGGCAGGCAGCTACACAAGTGCACCGCACAAGCTGTCCGAGTCGGGCTCTTCTGCCTCCCCCCTCCCATCCTCCTTATTATTATTAATCCGAGTCTGCTTCATTCAATCTGACAGCAGCAGTTCTTGCTCCGCGCTCGGTTGATAATTCCGCACTGGTTTGTCAGGTTGTTGGTGGGCAGCGTTGGGATCGATTCGTGCAATTCCAGTACCGTGAATCCGAACGGGTCTGTCTGTCTAGTGCCTGGGGCACGGTTAGAGGAGGGCCCCTTAAGCCCGGTCAGGAAAGGTGATTGAGCCGGACGTTGTGGAAATTGCCAGTAGGACGGGATCAAGGCTCCATTATTATTTGTGCCAGGCTGCCAGCTTTGCCAAGTACGTACAGAATGAGCTGATGTGCTGATGTGCAGATGGCAAACTGGAAACGACTGGAACCATTAGAACGGGGATCAAACAGACACCGTGGACCAGGATACATCGGATCATCATCGCCCTGGATGCGCACCAACCAGGCGATGAAGTCTGACATGCAGCAGAGCGACGAGAGGTTTACCTTGCCTTGTTCAGGAAGGTCGATAGGACGTACCTAGTAGTCTAGGAGCGTATCTAGGACTAGTTTAGCCCCTAGCTGGGTGGGTGGAGGACAGACAGAGGACTAGACCATCACGGAGGCATTTAGTACGACGGTTAGGAGGGAGGTTCCCAAGCCGCCAGTCGCCAGTCCCAACTGTCACTCTGCAGATGATCGGGACGTATCGCAACGCGGCAACACGGCCCCACGTTTCCCCCCCTCTTTACTTAATAGTAGTTGTTGTTTAGTCGCTGGCTCGCTCCACTCGTCGTCAGTGCACCGACTCGAGTCGGCCACCGAGGGCACAGGGTTGAAGAATGCGATCGCGGTGCTGATCCCAATATGAACTGCAGCTATCCATTTATTGCTCCGTACGGACTACGGAGTAGGATTTATTATTTTTTATAATTATAATTAGCAAGGACGACGTTGCATTCCGAGCGGGTGTGGTGGAAGTGGCCAGGGATCGGATTGGATAGACACACACCTTAATGTTCCGTCCGCATCCCAGACAATCTGCTCACTTTGATTTTGCACCCAGACAGACACCTTGCCGAATGCCTGCCAATGTCTCATGTCTCAACGGCGCCAACCACAGGCATCTCCAAACTAGGTATCTACCTAGGGACTTCCATCCCCATCTTCTAAGTGAATGGAGAAAACAAGGATAACTAGCTAGGTAGGACGGAGTATAGTATCTCCCTAGCCACAGCTGAGCTCCGACACTTAATTAATAAAGGAAAACAATATATACTCCGGACGGAACCCCCGAGCATGGCTCCATCCAAGTCCTGGAAATCTGGAATAGTACCACCGGCACCACCAAGCATCCAATAGCCAACGCTAGTCAGCTAGAGGCGGCCCGCCCCGAAGCAGTTCCCATCAGTGCACACTCCCACCCTATGAGTCCATTCCAACCTCCTCCTCCCGCCTCAGGTGGTGCCCCTGATCCCAACCATTGCTAGAGAGAATGTGGAAATGGTGTGGGCAGATCATCATGTGAAGGCGGCTTATGAATATCCTATCGAGACATGGATGGGGAGGGAAGGAGGGTAGCGGTCCTGGTAGGTATGTACTACTTGTCGGGTTTGAAACCAAACCTAGGCAAGTACTTACATGCATACCTTCAGCCTGCAGGGTAATGATCATTGGTCTCCGTTACACTTTTGCAGAGGGGTGGCAGTAAACTATTCCATTGCAAAGGATTCCATAGTTGATAAAATGGAAGGACTGAGCAGAGCTGGGCAGAGCCTGATGGGAGGGTCCGGAGACAACGCCACCGCCCCAGACTCAGAACACATCGGGTCTCTGCAGAGGGGAACTTCCGAAGGGCGATCGGAAGGGAAGAAAATCCTCCTGTGCTGCAGGAAGGGAAGGGAAGGGAAGGGAAGGGAGGAAGGAATGAATGAAAGGGAGCCTCGGGGGTTCTGGTCGTTTCGAGCCGGAGGTTCCACACCCGCCACTGACGTCGGGGAGAAAGGAAGGAAGAGACGACGATCCTGCGGCGGTTCAAGTGGGATGGTCCGAGTCGCACTAGACAGATAGTCGGAGGAACTTGCAGGGGGAAGGACAAGCAAAACACCCATCCACTACCGATGAATGGCTCACAGCTTGTATCTAGTAATCTACTAGGGCTGGAAACCAAGGAATGGATGCAGGCCGGGAGCCGCACCCAATTGAGTGCCGCACGCCCGTGGTGGTTGGCGCTCGTGCTGACTCTGCGTTGGTCGCCCGTTACTGGGCCGCCTCGTCTGCCCTAGCGCAGATACGAGGCTCCAGCGTCATCACCACCACCAGCAATCATCTCACGGCATACGGCTCTGTGCAAGCCGTGCGTAGGGAGCTAGCAGCAAGCACAGAACCTAGCGAGCCAGCCACTAGATACCTACCTACGATGCCACCCTCCTCCCCGAACCCCCCTGCTGATTACCCCCCCCTGCTAGTGGATTCCCATCCGTACAGCCTTACTGGCGCATGGACTTTTCGGCTTTCATACGCCTCCCGTGAAAAGAGTTAGTGTCATCCTGTTGCATACATAGGCCATAGGGCCATCCTGCGGCATAGTACGGTGTTGGGAGGAAATAATGATGAAGGAGGAATGAGCCCACATCAGGATTCTCATCCCGACTATTGCTTCTCTCGGGATCCCCGACTGGATGATTGATCACAGCTGGTCCGGCTTACCGTACATACATGGGTAGCTATGCCACAGAAGAGAACTATAATGCTTACCCCACACCAGCTTCGTTCTTGGTGAGCATGGACTCTCGGGAGGTTGGTCCGTTCCTGACTACAGTTTGCCCTTCTGGCGGATCTGGGCTTGCGCCTTCTTAACCCGTTCCCAAGCCTCCAACGCGAACGGTTCGGTACTCCTGGCATACTCGGCTGCGCGAGCACTACTGGCCTGTCTGAGCGCATACCGTGCCTTGATGCCGTGCATAATCACTGAGCTTCTCCACGTGAAGAAGGCGTCGCCCCATGATATATCCCCGGTGGGGTCGTAGCCGGATACCTCCCGGTACCAATTTAGACAGTCCGCCCGGGCGGGCAAGCCAGGCACCAGGGCTGGGCTGAACATCTCCTTCTTGTGATCCACTGTGTCCAGGAAGTAGGGACTAGTGAGGTTGCAGAGGTCGGACAACGGATGCCCCACCGTGGCCATCTCCCAATCCAAAAGGCCAATGACTCGCGGCTCGGATTTGTGGAATATCATATTATCGATTTTATAATCCCCGTGCACGAGCGTGCCACGGTCCTGCGGCTGCGTCTTCTTGTCGGCAAAGAAGTGCACCATGTCCATGAAATGAGGCAGCTCTCCGACAGGCTCCTTTGTCTCCACATCCACGGCTTGCGCCTGGGCACGAGATACGGCTGTGAAGGTGGCGATCTGTCGATCATAGAAGCCCGTCGGTTTTCCGAACCCATCTAGTCCGACCAATTTGGGAACGACTCGATGGAACTTGGCCAACGTACGGACCGCATCCTGCCAGCTATGTGGTGGTTAGCTCCGCCATGTAGCCGCGACAGACGGGATGTCGACTGAGGGGGTGACGTACAGGGCCGTTCTCTCTGCGGGGTCGACCCCCGGCATGGCAGGATCAGTAAAGTGCCGTCCGTCCAGGAATTCCATGATGTAAAAGGGGGTCCCGATGACGCTGCTATCCTCACAGAGACAGTAGGCCTTGGGGACCGGCACATCGGTATGTTCCAGGGCATGTATAATCTTGTATTCCCGCTCGACTTTGTGAGCCGTTTTTGAGAGCAGCTTGCCCGGGGGCTTCTTGCGGAGGACGTATTTACTTCCATCGGCGGTAGTGATCTGGTAGGTCGGATTGGATTGGCCAAAGCCGAACTGTGGGCATGTGAGCTTGCTGCGTGGAAAATAGGATAGCGGGACAGTCGCTGGTTACCTGCTTCACGTCCAGGGGGGTCTTGATAGCGGGTACATTGTGGTCGAGATAACGCTCCAGGGAGGGGACGTCGATGGGTTGGCGCACCGCTCCAGCCATGGTTTCAGCTGTGAGGCAATGAATAAATCAAAGGTTGGGAGTGTCACTGCACGCTCTCTAGAACTTCTATAAGAAACCGCATGAATCGCCAAGTGGAGGACATGCTGGGGGCAAAACAGGCGGGGGATAGCCCGAGGAGGAGGCTTTCCCCAGGCTACGGACCGCGGCTAAGCCGTTGCATTCCAATTTCCAGTCTGGAGACCGTTGCGGGGCCTCGGCTCCAGCCTCATCCCTGGTCCACCTGGTCTTAGTCATGTCTTAGTCAGTCAATTAACGCGCCTCGCGTCTCACCGCCAGACGCGTCCCACGCTCCAATCGCAAGCCAAACCCACCATGAAGGGCCTCGCCCTCGCATATCGTCGAACCCATCGACACACCGCATTTCTGCCATTGCCATTGCCATTGCCATTTTTACTTCACAACTTCTCCAGCAGCAGAAAACCCTACTCCTCTTCTTTCCTCCTACATAACCAGATAATGACCAAGGAGACCACCCCACCTCCCACCACCACCGACAACATCACCACCACCACCCACGAACCTCCCTCCCTCCCAGCTTCTCCCCTCGCCAAACGCACCAAGCCCAACACCACCACCACCGAACAACCTATCCCCAACATGGGCTCCAACGGCACCCCCCTCCCCCCTCTTCAAGTGAAGAAGCTCACTCCCACCGGCCGCGCCCCAACCCGCGGTTCCGCCTTCGCCGCCGGCTACGACATGTACAGTTCCAAGGAGACTGTCGTCCCAGCCAAGGGAAAGGTTCTTGTTGATACGGGGATTGCTATTGCTGTGCCGGAGGGAACTTGTATGTTGCCATCCCCTTGTCCATCATCCCTCCCTCCCACAATCCCCATCCAATAAATGTGATAAACCAGAATTCTAACGTTGATAATGACAATAGACGGCCGCATTGCCCCCCGTAGCGGTCTCGCCTCAAAGCACTTCATTGATACCGGTGCGGGTGTCATCGACGCAGATTACCGTGGTGAGGTCAAGGTCCTACTGTTCAATTTCTCGGACGTGGACTTCACGATTAAGGAGGGAGATCGTGTTGCGCAGTTGGTTTTGGAGAGGGTACGTTGATTCCTCCCCCACCCACCACTTCTATTGCTATGAGGCTATGGGATTGGCACTCGGGCAAAGAGGTAAAAATATGTATGGATTTGAATGGAAGCTAACAAGCGAATAGATTTATACCCCCGAGGTTGTGGTCGTTGAGGAATTGGCGGAGAGTGTTCGTGGTGCGGGCGGTTTCGGAAGTACCGGTGTTTAGATTTGAATAGGGGGTTTGGGGTGGTGGAATTTGTTGGGATAGAATTGGGTTGGTTATGGCGTATGATAATAAAAAGCATGGCATGGTATGGCATGGATGATATATTTCCATCTACAAATTATCTCTTATTCACAATGAAAAATAACTTCAAGAAACGATATCCAGACAATTGATTAAATGTATGAGGTATTGTGATCTTGTTCTCATTGCTTGTCATAACTAGTATGTAATGGTAAGTAGTGATGATGGTGATGGTATCCTTATACGGCTAACAAATGAATCTAATCAAGTTTTCATCGTACATGAACCAGGAAGAGAAGCAGCTGCGGGCATATAAAAAAGGGGCTATGAAAGGGTGTCAAAGAGCCAAGCCAAGATGCATCTTTGCGAGTTTGAAGCACTGTAAATGTGTCCACGCTGCCTGCACCAACACAGTTCCTGTTGAACTGGTCCAAGGGATGGCTAATGTGTATCGACCACTATGGTTTCTACTTTCGAAGATCTGCAGTTTACAGCGAGGAGCACCGGCCGGGCATAGCAAGTACATTCTTGACCTGTAGAATAAATATTTAGTAGAAGCTGTAAGTCACATATTCCATGTAATCAACTTAGATTTTGAAGTGCACAACAACTTACAAATGAAGAGTCTATAATGTATCTTATTGGATAGCAAACTCGTCTAACATGGTCTAGTACGCATGCGGGGTCAAGACGAATGTCACACAGTTCACATGACAAAGAACGACATACCGAAATCCAGAAATCTTTAGCAAATACCCTCCTTATGGAACATATTCAAAGGGGCGTATGCAACTCAGTATACGCAGTGTGCTGACTATTCGGGATCATCTTGTTTAGATCCGAGCTATAATTTGACAATGGGGATAGTCGCATGTAAGGAAGCTACCTACTAATAGAAGTCAAGGCAGAATATTCACGACTCTTCAATAACCCGGCTTCTTCCTGATTTACAGACTGTTTCAATTTGTGGCTGATACCTAGGGTAATAAGACAACATGTATAATTGCGGACGTTTCCCGCGCACTTTTCAACCTCCTTCTGTTCTCTACATTGTTCTGCCAAACTTCGACTTGAACTTGATTCTACTTTTCAGTTTGCCTTAGCTGTCCCTGCCAGCAGCCTGAGCGTCTTTTCGTTGCTTGTTATTTTGAAAGACATGCAGCAGTCTTCAACACCTTGTTCAGCATGCAGCTGGACCCCCGAACGCCAGGATAACTACCGCTACCAAAGCCACGTTAAGTTGTTCTACGAAATGAGCGACCGAGGTGTATGGTCGTTGGGTTCGAATCTGGTCTTGAAAGAACGTTCAAGCCAGGCACCCAATTTCGAGGCCGCGAATTTGCAGTTTTTGAAGAAAGAGACCACAATCCCGGTGTCTACTGTAGTTGAAGATTGGGAAGAAGAGAATGATGAGTGCTATTTCTTGTTAATGAGACGTATCCCCGGATCCCCGCTCAGCAACCTCTGGCCCGATCTAACAATAAGCGAAAAAGAAAACATCGCCCAGCAAACCGCCAACTACCTAATGCAACTTCGCAAGTTGCAATCCGATAAGTTGCAGTCTCTTGGGGGCAAACCACTCTATTCTGCGTTTCTTTTCCAAGACGAACATGACGTTCCACATGGGCCTATCTCATCTGACGACGATCTGTGGAGCGAATTAGAATTGGCTCTTGAGGGTGTTCCGGACGATGCTCGCCAACGACTTCGAGATCGCATGCCGTCTGCTGCCCCGTACACGTTTACCCACGGAGATCTCGCTTCGGTTAATATTATGGTTGATGATGATCGTGATCTGGCGGGCATAATTGATTGGGAAGCCTCTGGGTATTTCCCGGTCTGGTGGGAGTTCACCAGTGCTGGAATCGGTCTGGGGCAAGAGGATAAAGAGTGGAAGGTGTTGTTGCAAAAGTATATGCCTGATTTTTCAGACGCGCGTGAATTTTGGTTGGATTTTTACTATCTATCTAAGTACCCTGACTTGAATGAAAGGGGGGATGGCTTTGCTCAAGGGTTAAATTCTGCATAGGATTATGGATATATAATTTTACTTTCACAAATATTGATAGGAGCGACAGGAAAGTATTGACTGTTTTGCGTCGACCATGATCTCCACCTCAATGATCTTCATAGCTTCGAAGCCTCAGTTCACTTGGTTTTCTTCGCGCATGGGACATGCTCCTCAGCATGAGACAAATGATGCTAGTCATGCATAGTTCGTAAACCTTAGAAATAGAAATAAGATGACAGACTTCAGGACAACGTACACTAGGATAATTCATAGCCATTGGCATCTCAGCCCCACCAGATTCACAATGCTTACGGTGGGTCATATTGCCTCTACCGCACTTGGGACAATTCATTGCGGATATAAATAACAATAACAAGTTGCTACTTCTTAGGAATCGATGTGGAAGTAAGTGTGTTGGACATCTAGTCCTCCCTCCCATGAGCACTTGCGTTTTTCATATAGTAGGCGTCTCTTGCTTAGAGAGAGTCTCGTCAGAACCTGACGCGCCATCTTCCTACTACTAGCTATAGGAAAATAACAGCGAATAGTACCTACCTTACCGTATCGGATCCTGTCTACTACTACCTATGTAGGAACAGGTGGAGCCGTAAAACAGACATTACATGGATACTCCCTCGATTTTGAAGCTAAATCAACAGAAATGTATCTATATGTCGTTGGAAAGGCTAGGAACAGGGGCTCTGAGTTTAACTGAGCCTTACGTTGTTTAAGAGTGTCTTGCAAGAATTGGACTTTTTAGGGTTCTTTCTATATGAATACGTAGTAATATATAATGACATAACTGCTAGCAACAAGTCAAGCTAAGACAAGCCAAACGTAAACTTCCATCTGTTATGGTTCGAATCATTGTACTGCTAGGTGTCAAGCGACGTTATTAATTCTCTCTATGTAGATAGACCATCTACATACGGGAAGTAAACCATCCCCTGATTGCTTGACTATACTAGGTCCTGCGGGAGCCCTGGCAGCCCAAGGCGTTGTAAAGAAACTTGGTAAGTACCTTTTTTTTTCATAAAACAAAATTATTCAAAGCAATATAGAAGGATCCTTGTTCTTTATTTCTCCAGATCCCCCCTTCTGTAAACGACTGAAGCAGAGAGTACCAGTAATATAGATCAGGTCACGTTACGTATGAATTGAAGAGCTACAGTAATCTGCAATTCATGGGACCAATGAGAAGCCTTGGAGCTAGGAACCTCCCTTGCTGGAACTTAACCTAGCAGTGGTGTTGCTTGGTAGTGAGTCGAAAACGGCATCAATTCAGGAGTAAACACAAAGGGAATCAATTTCAGTACTTTATCAAGCGCGTTAGCACTGAGCAACTCTAAGGTAGCTTCCCCCCAAAGCCTCAGGTGACCGTTGTCTGCAGGCCAGGAACTATAGTAGTATAAGAATATACCCGAAAACGATCAACCCCCCTCCGCCACCCACCTCGTCTATAATCTATGTACGTTACCCCGTAAATACCCCCACACTGAGCGTATCAGCGAAACCGCTCAGGTAGATCCTCCGCTCGCCACTCACTCGCCTGGAATTCGACATCCGGCTCTCGCAGATACTGCGCATGGCGCACCACCCGCACCTCGGCGGCTTTGCTCTCCCGTAGATGTTCCTTCTTCTTCCGCTCCGATTCGCTGAGCAGCTGCTCGCTCTCGTCGGGGATAATGGCGCGCAGCTCGGCGTCCCGCGCCTCCAGGGTCTTCTCTAGCACTCTGTGCATACTTGCTAGGACCTTCACGGTCGATTTGGCGAGGGGCAATTCTGTCGCTGGAACGTCGTCCGGGGAAACCCATGACTGGGTGGTGCGGAGGGCGGGATCGGCGTTGAACACGGCCTCGCGGAATCGGGCAACTGTGAGCGCGGCGAACATGTCGCCGGTGCCGCTGAAGTAGCAGTCCAGGGCTGGGACGTCGACACGGAAGAGGCGTGGGGAGCCGTTGGAGCGAGTGGTCGAGCCGATAATGGTGAGAGTATTGGGGGAGGGAGAGTCGGAGAGGTTGGCGATTTGTACGGAGGTGATGATCACGTGCGGGACGTTGTAGGTGGCGTGGATGGCGGTGATGGCGTCGGCGAGGGTGGCGAGAGAGGTGATTTTGATGCCGGAGAGGACTCTGCGGGGTGTAAGTAGGAAACTGAGTAGAGGAACAGGGAAGGGGGATTTACTCGGCTTCGAATTGGTTGGGGAGGATTAGGTCTGCGTAGCGGATGATGTTCTTGTAGGCTGGGACAACCTCGTCGTTGACGTAGAGACGGCCTTGGTCGCCCATTACGGGGTCCAGGACTGGGGGTCATGGTTAGATTAGGGTTGAAGGGAGGAGATGGAGAGTCAAGCTCACTCCAGAAGAACGATCCGGGGTCCTTTGCGGCTTTGCGCTGTAGGTCCATGCCGATGGCCCCGACAGCTTCAACTGCGGCTGCGCTGGGTGCATAGCCTGAGAGCATGACGTCAAAGTCGAGCAGGTTGCTCTGAGTGAGGCCCTCATAGAGCGCGGTGATCTCGTCCGCCGTGGCCCGGGTGCCTTTGAATTGCCTGTAGCCGGTGTGATTGCCTGGGATGGTTAGTGATGTGCTTCGGAGCAGACACAGATAGGCTTACTGAAGTGGACGGTGTTCAAGGCGGCAACGTCACAGCCCAGCAGCTGCATGACCACGCTGGCCATCTTGTTTCCCACATATCTGATCCGTCAGCATGCGCAGGAACTGGAAGCGATGAGACCGTCCGGGTGTAGAGCAGGATAGGCTGCTATCAGGCATGACACATACCCGTAGACGACCTAGTGAGTGTCAGCAAAGTGTCCGGCATGGCAGGCGCAGGCGCAGGTGCGGCTGGGGGGTGGGACATACATGGCTGGCGACAGCCAAGACCCTGGTCTCCGGGACGAGAAGATCGGCAGACATGATAAAATGAAGGGAGGTGGTGGAGGGGAAGAGGAGAGTCGCGAAGGGGATCGAGAATCGATGTCAATCCGCTGGGTCGGCGATAGGCGAGGTGGGCCTCTGGGTTGCCGCCGCCCTGATTGGCCGGCGGGGCCGGCGTGCAGCCCGTGTCATTCGGGACTTTTCATCTGGTCTGGATTCTTTCACTGGTTCGTGCTAGTTATATCCATTGGATGACTGGGAATTGAAATGACCAAGTCCTGTCCTCGGGCTTGTATCGAGTCAGTTCGTTTCAGACGCGGTACACAACAGGTAGGATGAGCAACTGGCAGTCGGCACCTGGGACTACTTACTACTTAGGTACTGTCCCTTGTCCCTGGCCCAGCAAGGAGTCCAATCAGCCGGGCTGCTAAGAATAACCCGAAGGTCCAGACTCATCGATGGGACCAATGATGGGACGCTCGTCCAGGGTTGTTGCAACGGCTATAGCACGAGCCACTAGTATTCGGGTCAGGCACGCCCCTGATTCATTCCCATTGCTTCAATGCATTAAACCTGCCGGCTTTCCCATCCATCCATCCATCCACCCGTCCATCTCCTTTGCCCTAATCCATCCCTTCCCCTGCCACCATTGTTCGTGGCCAGCCTCCATTGAGACCATGCCACGGCGATAACCTTACACTCTTTTGACTTTCCTCTACAAAAGTATACTACGTTCTTTATTCCTCCCTCGTGGAGCGCCACTCTTTCATCATGTCCTACAATGTCCACGCGCGGCGCATCAACACGCCTGTTCAAGTTCCAGCACGATTCTATCTCCTCCTCCTCTGGTCCTTCATAGCCATTCTCGCACTACCAGCCATCTCAGCATCCGTACTGCCCATCCAAATCGCAGACATGGCTTTGCAGCCATCCGACCCGGAAATCTCATCCAACAGTGGAGAGATCGTCGACGCAGATCCACCTCCACCATCATATACCACCACCATCACCACCACCACCACAAATCTAGATCCATCACCACCCTCAAACCCTCTCCACCCCCGCTCCCCTCCACCACCACCACCACCTTCCCGACCCCCTTCGACACCTCCCTAACCAACAACTTCACCACCACCACCTGCGCCACCTACTTCACGACCCTCCTCACCAACACCACCCTAACCTCCTGCCACGCTCTATCCCTCCTCCTCCGCAACTCCGCCTCCTTCTTCCACACCCTCACCTCCGCCCCCATGACCTCCTCCCTCCTCGACACCGCCTGCTCCTCCCCCGTCTCAACCTGCAGCACCGCGCTCTCCACCCTCGCCACCTCCCTCCTCCACCCCTCAAACTGCGGCCACGACTACACAGCCGGAAACCAACTCGTAGTGGACCTCTACACCGACCTAATCACCTACGAGCCCATCTACCGCGCCACATGTCTCCAGTCGCCCACCACGGGCAACTACTGTTTCGTGGACGCCGTGACCAACACCTCAAACCCGGTCAACTACGATGTGTATTTCGTGGCGTTTGGGCCGGGGAATGAGATCACGGGGAAGCCGTGGCCCACGTGTAATGCGTGTTTGCAGGCCACGATGGGGGTGTTTGCCCAGTGGGCGCGGGTGGATGGGCAGCCGTTGGTGGAGTCGTATTTGCCGACGGCGAGGGCGTTGGATGGGGAGGGGGCGTGTGGGATGGGGTTTGTGGATGCTAATGTTACGGTTGGGCAGGTAAGGAGGGTGGATGGGGAGTCTGGGGGTGGAGAGTGAGGGTTGGGGGGGATTTGGGGGGGTATTGGGGTTGGGTGGGTGAGTTGGGGGGTGGTGGGTGGAGTTTGGTGATGGGGTTGTGTTAGGGGGTTTGTTTGAGGGGGATGGATGGATGGATGGGTTATGGATTGGTTATGGATGATGATGATAACGTTGGGTTTACTCTCTTTGGGTTGTTTACTTGACCTTACTTTACTTTACTTCTAATGTCTATATTTAACTCTAATCGACACCATGTTACTTCGTCAGACAGACTCTACAAATATATACGTAGATATCAACAGATAAAATTTGTTATTCTTCATCAGAATACATGTCGGGCAGCCCCAACTAAAACACGTGAGGTATATCCGGCCCCGTAGGGCAAAGGTAAATATCAAACAGAGCAGAAGAAGATCACACGAAGTTAAGGGTGCCAGCATATCACGGTCGTCAAGATAATCATGATACGGCGTGTTGGTTCAGTGGTTTCAATGGCATGGGGGTGAATATAATAGGTTATGTTGGTGGCCGGAATTAACTTCGTCGGAATGTATCCCCCATCGCCACACCCACCAAGCTTTGTGGCCCAAAGCTTTCCGTCGCCATTCCCGATGCCGGGCTCTGGGCATCCCTTTCGCGCTTGATGCGGAAGAATGCTAGCTTGGCAAACCGGTTGAGCTGCGCCCAGAAGTGTCGCCCGGCTGGGTGCGCCGCGATCCGCTCCAGGAGCTCAACTGTTGCCTCACGCACCGGTTGGTGCGGGTGGAATAGCCCCATACTAAGATAGAAGAGCCCCGCTTGGTTCTCTGGCGTCACGGTCAGGAGCTGGCAGATGCCAGCGTAATCTTTGACCGCATGCGCAAAGGCAATGTAGATCGCCCCCGCATCAGCGGGCGGCAACCTCAGCGCCCGCAGCCGGTCATGGTGGTGGGCCAAGTCCGGCTTCTGGATGGGCCGAGATGGGTAGTACATCGCCGCAATGTCCTGGATGAAAGAGTAATACGAACGCGTCGTCCGCCACCCTTCGATCCGCGACACCGAGGCCATAAGCTCGCGTTGCTTGGCCCCCTCGTCCGGCCAGACGTACCCGTGTCCGCGCAACGTTGTCGGGTCGAGGGGATCCGCCTGGAGGCCGCTCGGACTCTCGGGCGAAAGCTCCTCGTTGGGCCCGATGACATACAAGTTGGATGCACCATAAACTGTCTCCTCAAAGGCGGCAGCGACCCGAGCAAACTTGGTAATATAGGCGCGGCACTTGGCACGGATGGCATTCTCGCCATATCGGTTGGTGATGCTGCGCTGAACCTCTTCCATGAATACATTGTCCCCACTGGGATCGGCGTTCGCATTCGCCGGTGGGTGATGGTTCATGGCGGTCTGCTGCTGGAAATACAGCAATCCTTCCGTGACAGGGGCCGGCTCGATGTGGCTGCTGATTTTCATCCGACCTGTGGGCAGATCGCAGAGAACGTCCCACCACTCAGGGTGATTCGCAAATGTGGGGTTCGTCACTCCAGCAATGAAACCGGGAACCCGGAGGAGATCATCGATCTTCGTCAAGTCGGTATATGGGAAGGCATGCCGGGTGAACCCACGTAAGATACCGCCCGAAGCGAGAGCACATGCCGCCAACACCGCCTCTGCCACTTCACCTGAAGGGCGGTTGTGGCCCAAAAATATTACCCGCTTTTGCGTCAGCATCGCATTGATAAGAACAATGATCGGATGAGTGAAGGGCCCGCTGGTGGTAAGGTGAGAGTGGATGGGGAAGGGCTGCGGCGAGGCCGCATGTGGCCCGGCAAAGACCTGGATGAGCTTGATGAGGGAAAAGTCGCCCACGATCTCCGGCCAGATCACCGTGGGTACCTTCACCGGTATGGGAATGTCGTTGTAGACGATTTTGGACTCGAACTCGTGCGTATCCCGAGGTAGTGTGTGCCGAGGGGGCGCTGGCCTCCTCGGTGACGGCGGGCACTCATCATCAAATGGCCCACCTTCTTCGACCTGTCGCTGGTGAATCATCTGCTCGAACTTTTCGATAAACATGTCCTTGGAGTTGCTCGCCTGCAAGATTAGTCGTTCCAAAAGAGATAGCCTCGGCAGCAGGGACAGGTCCATAGAATTCACAGCGTTGTAAAGCGACGCGAGTGTCTCCGGATACGGGTTCTTGAAGTAATCCTCCAGCGCTAGGAGAAGCAAGGGCTGTTGTTGCCTGTCAGCTCAACCACAGGGGTGTCTTGTGTAAATGAACTTACTTTATATATATGTAGGAAAGAATGCCGTGTACAAATTGCCATGGCTTTGACAACGGCACCTCTGTAGATGTTTAGTACCAACCGAGCAGCATAAGATCCTGGGAGCCGGACGTACCGCTTGACGGTATTATCTTGTTTCGTATTTACAAGGTTGAGCACATACATCAAGGGTGGCCCCTCGCCACCCTCTTCTTCGTCGCTGCTCTCCTCTTCGGTCGACCCACCGGCATCCTCGCTATCCCCGTCACCGCTCTCCACATCCGTCGCCCTGGGCTTCTTCTTCTTCTTCTTTTTCTTGCCGGTACTTGAGGTGTCGTCGTCGTCGTCAGCATCGGCGTTCGTATCTTTGTGCAGGAAGAAGATCGTCCAGTCCTGACTTCGGACGTGTGTTTGATCGGGAAGCATCAGCTCCGCCAGCATACTCTCGTCGCCGCTGATCGCGGCAGGGTACTGATGTTCCATGATCGGGCCGCGGTCAATGTGGAAGGAGGCCACGAGAATATATTCGACATGTCGCTCGGAAGAGTCCCGGGGATACTGCGACTTGCATCGCCGCGGTTTGGGGTACATGGCCGCTGCGCCATTGCCTAGCGAGCGACGGCGCGCCGAGTTCCCCGAGCTACTCGGGGTGCGCCGGTGGATGATGGAAGGTGAAGGAGATAAGCGGGGAAGGCCATTGGATTTGGAAGGACTGGTGGTAGCCGCAAGCGAAAGAGCCGTATCGTCAGGCGGTCGGTAAGGTAGTGAGATGCTCATTTTCTGGCTGGGGAACAGGGGGTCGAGGTGGGCACGGGTGTCATTCAGATTGAGGGCGGATCGGGGGTGGGTGGGAGCTCCAGAGGGCCAGCGAACAGTGAGCACGAAAGTGGCGATAATAGCAGCATACTCGACCAATTACACCAACGGGACCGAAGCGACCTGACTCAGGCGACTGGTACTGCTTGTCCGTCAGTCATTGTCGAGTTTGGAAGGCCAGGGCGGACGGGGGAGGTTCGTCGATCGGAGGATTAGTCGGGATAGACTCAGGGGAAAAAGAAAGGGGACGAGAGCCTCCAAAGCCCACGCACCGACGATGATCTCCACAGCGGGGAAGGCGACGGGAGACAAACCAGCACCACCGACCGCCATGGCCTCAATGCACGCAGGGAGGCTTCCAGCCGGGCGGATTGGCAGGGAAGGGAAGGGGAGGGGGATAAGCCCCTGGGTCTGGACCGAGAAGAGAACCCTCGGGAGGTAGTCAGGAAGTAGATATGATGATAATAATATATCGAGCAGTAGTCGATCGGATCTCTTTCTCCGTGCAGTCGATCCAGGCAGCGAGTGGATGAGGAAGACTGCAGAACTGCCGGTGGGATCCCTTGGCCCCCCCCGCACGTGCCCCCGTGCTCGGCCCGACTTCTTCCCCGACTCTTGTTTGTTTGGTTGCCTTTCCCTTCTGGGAAGTATGATATCTATCCCGTCTCATCCTCTCCAGTGCTGTGAGTGAGCTGAGCTGAGCTTCCCAATCGCTCCTGGCTCCGTGAAACTGCCCACTCCTCTGGCATCTTGTACAGTCTCTAATCTCCATTCATCATGGTAAGTCCTCGTTCTCTCTCATCGCCATCCCCCCAACTCCGCTCACCGCCGTCTCTCCAGGTCACCTCCAACGCCCCTTTCAGGCCATCGCCCTTGTCGTTTGGCTCTCCTCGAACCTCTCCATTCCGCCGCCCCTCCACTCCCAACTCGCCTCCGCAAGGCCGGTCCAGCCCACCCGGCAGCTCTCCCAACCGCGGATACACTCCAGTCCAGTCCCCGAGCAAACTGAAGGAATCATATACCGTTGAGGAAGATGACACCACTTCACCCAAGAGCAAACCGAGAAGCCCCATTGCACAGCCGCTATTCACGCGAGATCCCCCCTCTTCGCCAACGAGGGGCGCCCGTTCCCCGGATCCGTCGTCCTCGCTAATGGAAGCAAAGGCCACCAACATGATGGCAGCCTCGTCCGACGCAGCAGCCAAACTATCACCCGCACAGCTGAGGGAAATCCGAGAGGCCTTCCAGGTCCTTGACCGAGATAACGATGGGTTTGTGGATAAGGAGGATGTAGCAGATGTTCTTACGAACGTGGGTACGTGAGCGAAACCAGCGAGCCGATCAGCCTCGGGCAATTGCATGTGATACTAACAAACGTTGCTCGCTAGGCCAAGACCCAACGGCCCTTTCCAGATTCTTCCCTTTGGGTGGTCCCCAGACCATTAATTTCCCCACCTTTCTCAATACCCTCTCTCAGCTCCTCGCCCCCCTTTCATCCCACCAGGAGCTTATGAATGCCCTGGCGGCCTTTGACGAAGACGACAGCGGTCAGATCGATGTGGACGAACTGCGCGATGCCCTACTACATACGGCCTCCGAGGAGGGAGACGTGCCGCTGAGCGACCGGGAAATCAACGAGGTACTAAGTGGATTTACGGGACGCAGAGCGTTTGGAGGAAAAGGGGCTCGGGTGGCGGGAGGAGGCAAGAGGGGGGAGGTGTTCCGATACCAGGACTTTGTGAGTGGGATCATAGGAGGGACGGAGAACGGACAGGCAAATCGACGTGGCGCCTGATCGCCGGGACAGTGGGGAGTGGGAATTATTGCTTATAGTTCGGAACGGCGTTCGGATGATGAGCAGACCATACTTTAGTAGCAACCGACTGGCTCTGGCAGCCACGAACATGAATATGAATATGAATATGAAATGACTTGGATGAGATGGAGGGAGACTTCGTGGCAATTGGCAGTACTACGTAATCGATCGAATAAGCAAGCAAGCAATCAATCAATTAATCAATCCAGGGGCAATCGAGCGGCGACAGGGCACGATGGGAATAAGGTTGCAGAGGATGACTCGTGGGCCCAAGGGATTAGGGAATTAAGGCCAGGAATTTCCCATGGCAACTGAGCTTCGCTCGCGTCGTCGCGTGTCCCCGCATTCATTCCGTCGGCAAAAAAAAGCCCGCCATCAGATTAACTTCGCCGGGCTAAACCTGGGCTAAATAATGCTAAGTCTGCAACAGATCCCCCTAAGAAGCTGTCCTCCTTTCCACTCCCACACCCCCCCATTACCCCCATTATTCTTATTATTTTTATCCTTCATGCATCATCGCCCTGGTCCTCATTGACCCGGTCCTCTTGTCCCTCAGGACCAGGAAGATGGTTTCTGCGCCAGACGCAGACCCAATCCTTGCTGATCCAATAGACTGTCAGTCCGACCTGCAGACGCCCAGGTAGACACCAGCCCAGCCAGCTGAGACAGACAGACCCTCCCCAGCCAGCATGTCTCCCTCCACCTCCTCTTCTCCCTCCTTCCAACCCACCCAGGCCCAGCTCAACCTCGCTGCTCTGGCCGGGTCGCCATCACCACGGACCATGCGAGGCTTGCGCAAGATCCAGTCTCACCAAATCCTCTCGTCTCACCCGCCATCCTCAGCTCTTCCGGCATCGGGGCGCCTGTCCGCTGGGGCCGAGGAGCTTGTCGCCCAGCCTCCCCAGCTGGACTCGCCCGTGCGACTGCGCTCTCAGCGTCGGGCGCGCTCCAACAGCGATGCGTCATCTCGGGACCCCCCAGCGATAGGAACTCAAAAGCGATCGGCCAGGAAAACGGGCTCTGGCTTCGGAGTCAAGCGATCGGTCTTGGAGACGCTCCTCCGAGATGGACCACATCAGGGGAACCTCCAGGAGGGTCTTCAAGAGCTACGATACCTGGTTCTGTCGACACGAGTCGAGGCAGACGCGGATGGCATGGTATAACCCCCTCGTGCTCCCCCCCCCCCCGGGAGAGCTACGCATCCACTAATCCTGTTGCGCCAGTCAACATACCGAATCTACCTATGGCTCGTGCTTCTCGATATCCCTCCCGTCCCAACCGACGAATACCTCTCTCTCATCCACCGAGGCCGCTCCCCAGCCTATACCAAAATCCGCAACGACACCTTCCGCACCCTAGCCACGGATCCCCTATTCAAACGTCGCGTCACAGAAGCCAGCCTGATCCGGCTGCTCAACGCCGTCGCATGGAAACTCCACGACGCAAAGAACAAATATCGATCGCGATCGCGTCCGTCATTTTCTCGTCTCCGGGAGATTGAGCTCTTGATTAATACACCTCCGAGCATCGAGGAAGAGCCCTCCCCATCCGGCAGCACACCAGGTAGCGTCGCTAGCAGTCGCGACGACATCAGCGGGATTACAAATGAGTCCGCGCTGTACGTCCAAGGCATGAACGTGCTCTGTGCCCCATTCCTTTATGCCGCCCGCAGTGAAGTCGAGGCCTTCGGCCTGTTCCACTCGTTCATCACCCGCGAATGTCCGGGTTACATCCGAGGCGCGATGGACGGGGTCCATCGGGGGCTGCGCTTGGTCGATCAATGTTTGGAGATCGTCGAGCCCAAATTAGCGGCGTACCTCTTTTCCAAGGGGCTGCAGGCGAAACTATACGCATTTCCGTCGGTGTTGACACTCTGCGCGTGCACGCCTCCTCTCCCAGAGGTGCTGCATCTGTGGGACTTTTTGTTTGCGTACGGAACACACTTAAACATCCTGTGTATTGTGGCGCAATTGATACGGATGAGGGATACAATCTTGGAAAGTCCGAGGTATGTTTACTTTTTTCCCCTTTCCATCCCTGATCTTTTTATTTCCCCTTTTATTTTCTTTTCCCTCTTTTTCGCCTCATCCCCAAAAAAGCAATTCCCAAACACAAACCAAGACAGGGGGACAAAACCAGACAAATCACATCCCTCTAAAGCACCGCCTGCCCCGACACATCATTATGATATAATGTTCCTCCTCTTGATATGACACCCCCGAACCCAAACAAAGCCCGCAGGCCTAGAGCTGACACGGCCCATCACAGTCCCAACAAAATCCTCCGATCCTTCCCGCCGCTCGACGCCAAAGAGATCATCGCCCTGACGGTCCTAATCGTCCGCAAGATCCCCGAACCGCTATACGCCGAATTAATCGACCACGCCAAATGATGCTCATTTCCCTCTCCCTCCCTCTCTGTTCCTGCTAGCTAGCTTGCCAACTAGCCAGCCAGCCAGCCACAGAGCCAATTTCCCACTTGCCTACAACCAACAAACCCACGGACCTCCCACCGCCAGTGGCCTACCTACCACCTACCTACTTACCTCCCACCCTGCCCACGAAATCCAAGAAAATAATCTTCCGGTCTGGGCTAATTTTATCTCCTTCCCTACCTAACGCCTTTTTACGTACGCGCCGATCTAACGATGACTAATTGAAATTGACGGAGGACGCTTACCCTATTTACTTTACGCTGTACTTGTATTTTATTTTTCTTTATCTCTTTTTTTTTGTGTTGACCCTTTTGTTTCCGTTTGGTATTTAGGGCGTTTCTCTCATGATAACTACCACTACTGTATGTATTATTGATTGATATGAGAGCATGATCATTGATGGAATTGTTGTGGACGATTGATGGATGGGACGAGGAAGAGGAGGAATATACTTACCTAGTGGATGTGATGAGATGTGATGTGAAGGGCCAAAGGGCGGGGGGTGGGATGTATTTTAGATGAGATTTGATTGACTACGTTAGGTTCAGCTAACTAGTTAGATAGTTCGATGAGATGAGACGAGACGAGATGAGATGGATGACTCATGAGTGAATGATGAAATTGAATGCATGCATTATCACTATTATTCTCTTTTGAGCTATATATTACAGAACAGGATTTGATACGTTCTAGACGCTATACCGCTAACTTCCTATCCAATCTATATAGTACCCGTTTTACCCCCTGACGCCGGAAACAACACTCGATGACACGCGCGTATGGAGTAGATGACGGATAAATCACATTCGATCCCAAACCAATAAACAAGACCCCGATTCCCTCCATCCGCCTTGACCGCCCGAAGTGAAGAGACATATACGATTATAGATAATTAGAGTGACCTGGTTGTCGGAAAGCTAAGTAACCACAGCTCTCCGTCTAGTATTAGACCCATTGACGACCAAGGGTCCGCAAGATTCGCCCGATTTAGAGGACGATGTAGAGGATGACAGTGATGCCGACCGCTGGCTGCTAGTGTTAGCACCGGTTGGCCCATCCTCTCTTACGACCGGGCGGTTCATGGTAACTGATGGCGCAGAGGCACGCCCCGCGTGCCCCTCACGGGCCAGATTGTACGCGAGATGGATACTCCGATCGATCTTAACGCGGATCCTAGCGCCCATGAAGTAGGTGCCGTTGTAAAGTGCCACAACGCGTTTGGCTTCATCCGCCGTGCGTAGCGTCACCCGCGCGAAGCCCTTGCAGCGGCCGGTGCCTGGGTCCGTTGACACCTCGGATTGCTCCACTATGGCGCCGCAGTCTTCAATGAAGGCACAAAAGTCCTTGTCGGTTGTAGTGGGACTGAGGTTTTGTGCGAAGATAGTCCGTCGTGGGGAGGGACGGGGGCCGGGGCCACCGGGCTGGTAGGCCGGATTGTGGCCGTAGGAAGATTTGCCGGAGATGTGGGCCCGACGCCCGGGCACACGAAAGCCTCCGTGCATGGGGGCATCAGGAAACGGTTGCATGGTCGGAATCGGATATGGTGGGAAGATGGGAGCGGCGAAGGCATCGCCAAACGAGTGACGGAGAGGAGCAGGGGATGGCGGGATGGCGGGAATGGGTTGCTGTGTGATGGGATCTGTGAATATAGGCATGAAAGGCTGATGGGGCAACCCCATGGGATTGATCATGGGGCCGTAATCAGGGGTTGGATATTTCGGGCCATTTGGACTCGTGGACATGACCGGTCTATGAGTTGTCAGTCGTTGCCTGATGAAGGAGAGGGCCTGCTCTCTGCACTTACTCGGGGGAAATAGGGGACGGAGGCACGGCCATGCTCTGGGTGGCGCGTGGCGGCGTCGAGTAGCCTGCTATATAGTTGGGCGGCACCACATAGGTCGGACTCTTTGTGGGCCCAGCAATTGGCCGTGTGGGTGAACTGGTTCGTGCCAATGTGACAACTAGACTCTGACCCTCCCAGCCGTTGGTGGATAGTCTATCTGGAAGCAAGCTGTCAGCTACCTTCTGACCATCTGAGCCTAGTTACGCACGGTAGGTCCGCCATGCTTCGTCTTCGTTTTTCACGATGATCTGGCCTAGACCGGTTGGGAATCCGTGCTGGTCGTCATAGACTACTGCTTGACGGATATGTAAGGCAGTCTGACGGACCAGGTCCTTGAGCTCTTGCCATCGACAATGCGCAGGGATCTGTTTCGTCGGTCAGACACGATGGCTCGTGGAATGTATCGAGTGGGAGACATACCCCTTGAAGAAAAAGAACGAATTCCTCCTCTGACCTTCCAGATTTTGCCATCCGCCCCTTTTCGCGCGGATGAAAAGTCATAGTAATGGTGTGGTAAGGTTCGATATGTCAGATCCCCTGAATGCTCGGAGAATGGATGAAGGCGAGGTGGACCTCGAGAGTTTAAGCCTTGGATCACCCAGGTGATGGCCCGTTCTCAGTGCTTTTCGACTCCAATTTGGAGGACAGGATCGGACAGTCGAGGTGGTGACCTGGGAGCTAGATAATGAGTATCGAGTCGGATCTGACGGTCTCGCACCCGGGTATGGCTAGCGATGCCCAGGGGTACTATGCTTACTGGCTAATACTCCAAGATCCCGGTCGCTGGTCAGACAATAGGTACTGGTCGAAGAAAGAAAGCGATCCACAGAGGATGAGAGCTCGAGGACCACTGCTTCGTGGGTTTTAAGTCAAGGCAGGCAGACAAGCGACGGAGGGTCGATCGACCTCCTACATCGATAGAGGCCCACCGATGGCGAAAGTGTTGGGGCCGGTGCTGAAGCAGCAGCAGAAGCAGCCACGGTAGGAAGAGCAAGGAGGGCCAGAATAAAAATAAAAGTAAGAATGTCCGAGGGAATAGGAATAATGTGGACAGGGACCGTGAGAATAAGATTAGTGCAACGAGGCCCAGAGGCAGAGGGAAAATAGACGAAAGCCACCGATGCATCCGCTGACGAATTAAAGGGGCGCAGTTGACCTCGAGAGCTTGCGAGGGAATTCCGGGCTCGAGGCCTGGAGACTGGGATGGGCGATGGACGATGGAGAGATCGCAGCGGCGGGATCGAAGGACGGGCCCAGGCAGGCTGATGATATGTCATGCATGATCAACTGTGATGGATAAGAAAAGATGGAGACTCACTATTGAGCTTGGGAGACGCCGGAGAGGATCGAGCACACCTGAGACCGAGAGATGAGTCTGAGGAGGGGAAAAGAAAAGACAGAAAAAGTAAATATCCTGCCTGGCACTAAGCTAGTCCGTCAGTTCAGCCAGTCTGTCAATTTGGGAATGCAGAAGGGAAAGGAGAATTGTTTTGCGCATTGATTGATGGAGCAAGGACCGTGAGAGGAAGTGAGCAAGTGAGGAAGAAGCAGGTGAAAGCTGGAGGAGGCGGAGTAGTAGTAAGAAGTCGTATAGTAAGTAAGTGTAACTGGTGGGTAAGATCGGGACCAAGTGACGATACTGTATACAACAACACCACCAACAGCCAACAAACACCACCAACAAACATCCTCTCACCCATTCTTCTCCCTCTCCCTCTGTCTCTTTCTCCTCCTTTCCCTTTTCTCTCCCTCCCCCTCAACCCATCAACCCATCAATCCAAGGCAAGCCCCCCCCCCCCCCCATCAACACCTTCTCTTCTCCCATTCGAGGACGTCACGCTTGGCGGACAGGGTTACACCGCCAGATCTCAGGGCAGCCACAACAAAGACGCTGTGCTGAAGTCAAAGAAGTAAAAAAAAAATTAAGAAAAGGCTTGCGGGCAATGTAGACAGCGGACCACCCGCCCTGCATCGTCCTGGGCGCGAATGGCATTGTGCCTCCGCCCTTCTCATTGCCCAGGGGAAACCAACCGGAATAAAAAATGATATCCAACTTTCAGCAAATGGCTGATGCGATACGAGGGTTGCTTTTGCCCTTGGTCGCCTTTACTTTTGCCTGGGCTGCGAGCAAAAATAGATAACCTCAGCCCTGGAATAATGGGGAGGTGGAGTTACACAATTGGATGTGTCTCATGTCTGATCGTGAGGCCTGCATCAGGTTCACTCGACCACCCCCCCTCCCATCACGGCTCTGATTGCTGCACTCCCCCGGGGTCATTTTCTTGTCTCGAGACAGGTACCCACAGACAGTCATCCAAGACTGCAGCTCAATGGAAAAAGCAGAGACCACGAATACCCTGGCAGTTTAGCTCAGAAGTAGCCTATTGAACAGTGCATCTCTCAGTCCAATTCAGCCTTGCCCCTTGATTCGGTTCGAGGGCCACCCAGATTCGGCCGGGAAGATCCCTGAAACCGTCTGCATGTGAGGTATCCATTTCAAGTTCCAACAGCCATCGCTTAGGTTTAGGTCTTGCCGAGCCGGAGTACCTGTCCACTCCATGCATCGACATTTGCCACTTAGGTCACCGCCGGCGCTGAGCGATACATCCAAAGAATGTCGCACCGCAGGAGGGCGTAGCAATGACTGGAGCGTTGGCTGGAGACACCAACCAACGCCCGGGCGGCAGACGCCTGGCTCCGGTAACCGCTGCAACAAAAGCGGACCTGGTGGAGGTGAGACCAGGAGCAATAGGGTGGAGGGCTGAAAGAGTATGCTATCGGATCCATTTATGGGACTGTGCCTAGAGCTGGTCGGAGGCCTGAAAAAGTTAGCCAGGCACTGGGTTAAACTGCCGAGATAAGCCGCTGCAATCCGAGTCTAATCCGCGGGGGAGCCCTACGACTAGTCGAGTAGCTGTCTCCATCGCTTTCAAACCCCGTCTGTGTTTGTTCATTTGGTCGATTCAGCCCGTGTGAGTCACGGGGGGAACCAGGGCAGATCGCACACTACCTACCTTCCCTAGAACTCCGCTAAGAATCGATAGTCGGGCGATCGACCGATAGAGCCCTCTTCCTCCGCTCCACGGGCCCGCGGCTCTGGTAAGATCTCCCACTAGCAAGTGCTCGTTTCGCTCAATTCCCAACATGGGAAACAATCTAGAAGGAACAGCGGAGACGGTCGTCGGTTCCAGTTTGGAGGGCCTGAATCTTGAGGGTGAAGGTATCTCCCCACCGAGTGGGCTACCTTAATCTTCATATTCCCGATGAGGGAAGACGGTATCCGTGATGGACAGTCGCGGTCGCGTGGACTAAGCTTTGGTCGTGTCACTGTCGTACGAGGAGGTTAAATGCTCTGTCCTCCGTGCCTGGGCGCGCCCATTACATACATGAGCAGTACAGTAGTCGGCGGACTATTGAGCACTACGACATGTCAGTGGGGAGGTGACGTCCCGGACCCCGATTATCTGAAGATTGATCTCGTAGCTACGGCGTACTCGGTGGTCTGGCATGGGCCGAATGCCAATGGCTTCCTTGGGTCATACCGTTGCTTTCGAGGGTGATTCTCCAAGTCATAAGGCAGGCCGAACTGGAAGATCCGTCGATCCTGGGCAGTTCCCTAGGACACGATCACTAGAGACGAGAGACGACCATGGAACGGGGCTCCGAAGAACGAGCTCGACTTGTCACATGTAGCATTTGCCCAAGTGGCCCGACTGGATGGCAATCCCATCATGTCAACCTCGATGCTTGGCCGGGAATTATCTGACATTTCCGCTGACACGGTGACCATGGGATCCAACCATGACAACTCGGCAGACCTTTCTGCAATCCGTCACTGCACTGTGACCATCTGAGCACTGAGCAATAGTGAGGATCGTCCATCTCGGCGTTCCTGTCATCCCCCTGGTTAATTCTTATTCAGCAGCAGGGCCCAACCTCCCTTCCCCTCCGCCCCCTTCAGTCCGAATGCCTCTTCATCGGTCATCCCCAATAGATACTAACCGGATACCACCGTAGCGCAGTGGACCCGTCCGTCCCTCGAGCCCAAAGGCCAAAAGCGACGATGAAACGAGGCCAACGGACGGCGAAATGAGCCCCGACCCACTGATCAGCGACACCCACCATTGCGGCCGACCACAAAAGGGGGCAATCACTTCGGGTGTGGCTGAAAGGACAGGCACCATTAGTTAGTCTTAGGCTATTAGCTAATCGACCTTGTCGCCCGTCCGACTTTCTCTTTCGCTGGATGCCCGAGCCTAATATCCCCCAGATAGATTATTCTGCTCGAAACCCGGGCTGATACAGTGATAAGACACCATCGTCACCCGCAACTCGATCTGATCCCTTGCCATGCGGGGCTCACAAAGTACTCACTTACGTGTCCGTGTTACAGGCAACCGGACTAATGTCCCAACGCTGTAAGGGGGGGGGGGGAGGAGAGCGGGGAGAGGGAGGGAGGGAGGGAGAAAAGAAAGAGAGGGGCAAGAAACAAATCAATGATGTACTTAGGTAAAATGGAGGGGTAAGGTCCGTGAACCTTCCCCTCTCCCCTCTTCTCCCCTCGTGTATACCTACTTAGTAACACACACACACAAACATGCAAACACACCTCCATTCTTCAATCAATCCACCCCTCCAGAGCCAATCCTCCAAAACCAGAAAGATAAGTACCTACGTAGTAAGTAGGAACGCAAGAGTGGACCCTCCCCCAAATACGGAGAAACAGCCACACGCCGACGACTAGGTAGGCACGGGGTCGGTTAAGCCAGTACAACGAACTACGGGGTAGAATCCCGCCATCGTACTTCTACTACCTACTACCTAGAGAGTAGAACAAATCCCGACCAACCACTACCTACCTAGGTACTACTCACCAACTACCTACTCCGTCCTTAGCCCATAGTCCTTAGTAGTTTAGTCCTTAGTACTTAGTCCATAATACTAACCCCCCTCCAGTAATAGTAAACAACCGCTACTAACCCAGTCCGGAGTACGCTCAACTCACATTTGGACTTCCGCTAATGCTAAGTCGGGGTTAGTTTCCAGCATCCGGGTTTTGTTATCTAGCTTGTCTAGGTAGATACCTAGTATACAGGTGGTGGATGCTGCGTGTCCTGTTGGTACGTACGGTACGTACTGGTCCTATCATCCTAATACTAGTACTAATGTCTTAAGACAATTTTTTTTAGTCTGGTGATGATGATAGTTACATAGGGGCTTGGAGAATTTATTTTTATATGAATCATTGGATAATAATAAAGGAATACGGTGGTTTTAGTTTTATGTGTGTGTATGTGAAGTAGATAAATAGTAGTACAATAGGTAATACTAGGGACGGATTATCCCGCCCGTGTGGCGGCCAGCCAAGTATGTCATTCAACATAAACTCATCATAGAAGTAGATAGATGGTAGTAGATAGTTAATCTTCGCCGCACTGCATCTATCCCAGCGACCCCCTTCTAGTTTAGCATGGGGATGATTTACATTACGATAGGCAGGGCTCAGGGCGTAGCCTGTAGCCTGGCATGTATGTAGTATGTATGTATGTTTGTCACGGGCCTAAGCACTGTCAGGGTACAGGGAAGATAGTAGATAGGTAACTAAAGAGGGAATGGTGGGAGGAGGCCCGGGAATCTGGGGCTCATCTATCATGGATGATTGTCTATGGATTGTAATTGCCGGGATTCGGAGGACTGTGATGCGGGTACCCTTTTGGGATTTGAAATCGGGATAATAGGGGGAAGCTTAATTTGTTTGGAAGGTCTCGTTGTTTGCTTGGTGGGTGGGTGGTTAATTGCTTGTTTGTATGTATGTAGGTAGGGAACTGTAGGTAGGTGGTAGATAGTCTGGGGTAGGTATCTATTAGAAATCAAGATTTGTAAATTTGCATAGGTGATTGAATGTAGATCGATTCGACATGCAGTAAACTCAATTGCCTTCTTTCCACATAATCAAATCAAATTGAAAATAACAACAGTACTGGGTATCATAATCGCAATTCATTCACAAGCAAACAAAAAAAATTCCAGTCAAGTTCCTCGGGGTGGTGCTGGTGCTGGTGGCGGAGATGATCATCCTGAGCGGAGTGCCGTTCGCATGGAGAGTGGGACTTCGCTTCAAAGCGATCATCATCATCCCTCCTCACCCCCCTGCCTGACGGTTGATACCGCCGCGCGGCCCCGCGCAGTCCAATTTCATTCATTCCACATGCTCCTCCAAACACTCATGTAATGTAGGGTGCGCTGCGGGGAGTCGAATTTCCAAGTCGCTGTTTGTTTGTTTGTTTGTTTCGACAGAAATGTCGCGCCATTTGCGAAATATCGACAGAGATCCAATAGCTAGTATCCAAGGGAGAGCGGGCGCAGTACAGTATCACCGTGCGCATCCTCACGCAATCGGTCACGACGAAGAATCAAACTTGTGCCAGCACAGTAGAATTGGTCCGGTGATTGGCGAGGCGAGAAAAGCATCACGTCAAGGGTCTGCGGTTTCTCTTCTTCTCCCGTTGCGAGATGCAATTATTGAGTCGGGGGAAGATGGGCGGACGATAGATGTGTCACATTGTTGTTGATGTTGTTTCTCTCTTTTCCTTGAGTCGCAAAGAAATGTGGGTGGGTTCGTTGGTAGGTTGAGGAGGGGCTTCAGCGAATAAAGCCGACCATGGATGCGCAGCGGCTACAGTAGTAGGAATTCATGCCGAAGCGGACCACGCCGGGAGACGACTCGTTTTCTAGACTCATGGAGCGTTGGCAGCGGGAGCAGCGGACGATGTCGAAATTCATGGAGCCGGGCGCTGAGCCTGTCGGGGAAGTAACCCCCTTTGTGGCGCCGGAAGGTTGCGGTTGCACTTGCACCGAGGATGAACTCATCTTCTCCTTTCCGCTCCGAGGTGAGGGTTCCGAGGGAAGATGAGTTGAATGTTGGGATGGCCAGTTGGGTTGAAGCGGCCTCGATAATGTGTGTTCGGGAGATTGAAAGGCGTGAAACTGCGCAAGAAGGTGGTGGTGGTGGAATGGGGGCAGGGTGGGTGGTTATTTAGGGTCGTTCACCTGGGTGGCGGAGTCGATAGATTGTCCTGGAAAACGCGGAAATACAGAGGCGATAGCGTTGTATTGATTCTGGCAGTGCCCCGGTGGTTAGGCAGGCAGCAGAGATTGTCCACGTGTGAAAGGGTCAAAAAGGAGCAAGTGTCAAGTCCCGTCGGCCGGAGTAGTGAATCAGAATAATAGGCAGAAGAGTAAAAGGAGTGACCAGAGAATCGAGCTGGGCTGGAAAGTCGTGACTGGAAGGTATCTATACTACCAGAGCCCAGCGCCAAGCGAAGTGCTCAGGGTCAGATCGATCCACTTTTTTCCGCGCCTGTTTTGCACCGGCCTGAGCTAGTTGGGTAAAATAATGGTCATTTATATTATTCTGACGAGGCACAGGAGAAAGGAGGAGGCGGCCATGGAATTTTTTGGGAAAAAAAAGAAAAATAAAAAAGAAATTCGAAAATCGAAAATCCAAATAAACTATAAGAAAAATAAAATAAAAATATCGACCAAGACAGGGGAAAGGTCGAGCTTCACAGCAACTAATAATAATAATAAGAATGAGGCTAGCAATCAATACCGATTGAGGGATAAGGCAGCCGATAGTTCTGGGAGAAAGCTGCTGCACGGAATGTGGATGCCAGTTTCAGAGTTGATTCTGAGATTCTGAGGATGTCAACCATGAGATGGATGATGAAGGTGAAGGGAAGGGCAAGGGGCAGGGCAGGGCAGGGCAGGCCGTCCTTCATGTAAGTAAGTATGCCTATCGGTTTGGACTCCGTTGCGATGGAATGACGATTTGCGTCGCCTGGTCTCAGGGTCTTGTAGAACGACGACATGCCATGGCATGAGAGGTGGCCGATTCTTATGACTGAACGATTGAACCTGTTGGAGCCTTCGGGTGGTGTCTTGTCTTGTCTTGTCTTGTCTCGTCTCGTCTTGTTCTGTCCGCTTGGCTTGGGTTGTCTCACAGGCAGCCGTAATAATTTCAGTTTCGGGTCGTCTTGGGGTACCAAGGCGCTGGTGAAGTTACCAGACGGTTACGGCTACCATCCAGTGGTGTGGTGAGCGGACTGGCTTTTCTTGCTCATCTGTCCTGCCATCCCCCCGGTCGCATTACGATTCATCTGGGACCGATAGACCAGTAGGCATGGATGAAAGGCCGATCGATAATAATGATGATATCTTAATCCATTGTCTTTGACTTTCACCGTCCTGTCGTTCCCTTCGGGCGCGGCCACCATCCTGCATGGATTACAGCCACTACTCACTACTTACGTATGTAGTGCTAGGTTTTTTCTGTTCGGATCGCAACTGCAGCTGCCACTGTACCTACTTACTGACTACTGCCTCTCTTACTTGCCTGCCTGCCTACCTCACATGCAGTCCAGCGAGGCTTGGTCTCGCTGCGTCAACCCCCCCCTCCCTCCCTCCCTTGTCGGCGTCGGCGTCGTCCGCCCATCACTGCTTTTCCCTTTTCTCGTTGGTGCTTCGCTCCCAAGACCGAGGGTCGTGTCGTCATGACTGATCCTGCTGGATGGAGTCGTCCGGGGCGATCGTCTGGGACTGTTGGGTTCGGGTTTCGATCTTCCATTCTCGTCTCGTCAGGAACACTCGTGGCCTGGCTGTAGATACTTGTGGTTCGACAAATGAGAGGCCGAATTGCCGGTATTCGGCGTATCGGCTCGCTCTCGCTGGTCACTTCGACTACTTTCTCCACCGTTCCGTTCCCACTGGCTTTGCACCTTAGTCATGTTCCATTGCCCATTGCCCAGCGTCTAAGATGGGTCTACTATTAGGAAAAAAACATAGAATGGAAAAAAAGAAAAAAAAAAAGAAAAAAAAAGAAAAAAAAAAGAGAAAAAAATAATGGACCATTAGCCTGGCGGAGCATGGGGTACCCTGCTGTCCTGGTGCCTTTCAGTGGCTGCCTGTCACTGCTTAACTCAGCTAACCCCCATTGACAAGTCAGTCCAACTGTCCCAAGGCCGCTGCTAAGTGGATGAACCATCCTCGGGCCTCCCAGGCTCCCAGGCTGTCGGAAGTACGGAGCTACCATGGTCAGGTTCTCGGGAGTGTAGCCTCAGCTGTCCTGCTTAACTCGGCGATTGGGATTGGTAGCCCATGGATCGCAGCTATCATCATCATGATCTCTCCATGACAGCCCGATCTACCCCCTCTTCGCCCCCCCCCCCCCCCCTTGATTAATCATCCTCATCCTTCACAAAAAGTCCCCATCGCATCGTCCATCCAACTACAAAGGTCGGGCATTAACCCAAGTCTTTGTCAATATTACCTCAGCCTCATTTGTGCAAAGGCCCAGCGGCTGTGTTGACTGTTGACTGTTGCGTGCCCGTGACTCGTGAGGCGGTTACGGGCTCCACCCTGGGCGTTTCAGAATCTTCTGTCAGACATGAAGGACTACTTCCGGTCGCCATGTCCATCATTCCTCGCAAGTTCCATCGGCTCCTCGGATTTATGTCCTGTTGGGGCACCTGGACAACTCCATACTCATTACGATGCTATGCAATGTGGGTGTAGGCCTACACATAGGAATGCCCACCGGCCCGGCCCTTTCCTACTAGATGCCTAACAATAGCATCACCCAATTGCTCATCCGGGCACATGGTGCATTCTTGAATCGCCCGTCATCGGCTTTCAACGGAACCCGTTTCCGTGTTCTCTGCGCCGTCAGTTGTCGCTGCTGCACCCCGGAGGTTAGCGGATGGTCTGATCCGTTTTTCTGCTCTGGGAGACCACGCCGGGCTGCTTGAGCCTTGATCAAAAATACCTGCTTGACTTCGTATCTTGAGAGTGCGCTTGGGAACCCATCCAAAGCCGGTTGCCTTGGTAAGTGTGGCTAGCGAGCTAGCTGCAGTCATTGCTCTTCCTTCGCGGTGGGGAAGGACATCAAGCCGAAAACCCGAATCCCTACCCTACGTTGCCATGCACTTGGGAACGGAGTGGGTTAGCCGGGCTGGGATCCATGCCTGCGATCCTAGACACCGCAGGCGCGACTTCACGGTTGACCCCTTTCCTGTGCGTGTGCCTCCAGGGCCGTGAGATCCTTGAGGCATTTTCTGCTTATGTACTCCGTACGGGGTATGATCCTGCTGCTACTATTTTTGTTGATCTCCCCTTCGTAGTGCCCGGTAATTCGCCGACCCGTCGAGTGGCCATGCAACTAGATGTCTTCCCAGCCGAGCATCATCACGTTGAATCGCCAAGAATGGGAACATTAGCACTACTAACAGCTCGGGGTTGGGTCTGATCCTCGTTTAGTCACTTTGTGAACCCCAACCACCGCCCTGGAGCGGTTTCTATCCCTAGCCATTCCTTCAGCCCCCTCCTTTCCCCCACACCAAACAAACAGGTACAGGGAAGCTCGCTCCCGCTGGCCGCTGCTCGATGCACATCCATTCTCATTAGCGACCGCCTACAGCTATAGTATCTGCATACGCGACAGGAAGACAAGTTGTCTGGCGCAGTGCTAAGGATGCACGACAGCTCCGTGTCACCTGATATGCCTTGCCCATGCGCTCTTCTGTCAAACCGATAATTCCACGAGTCATGGAATGTTGAAGTTGACGTGCTCTGGGATTGGGTGCACGGCCGAAGGAAGTAGGTCCATACGCCCATACTGTAAATCACCCCCCCGGAATCCATGCAGGTCGGTATGGTACGTATTGAGGTGATACGCCGAAGCAATGCTACGGGAGTCGCGGAATTCAGGCGCACAACATCTACCGACTTTCTTTCACTTCCGAAATGGATCCTACTCCCGTAAGTATGGACTTGGGACAAGACAATGCCATGGTGACTTCCGGGCTTCCCACTCCTCTTCAGGGTCTGACTGGTATAGGGCCATCGTGCCGTCGTCCTGCATTGGCCATTGATGCATTGATACCGCTAGTTTAGGACAGTCACCGGGTGCCAGCATTGCCTTATGGGGTAAAACCACTGGACAGGTCGCGAGCGACTGCTGGACTTTCTGGCATCTGCAAGATGGTGTAATCGCGCGTGAGCGTCCGGTCCGCACCTCGTTGGCGGTAATGCACGAGGACCAAAACGTCAGTGCCTCTGACTGGTGGTGCTCAATCGCCGAGGTCAGTGACCGCCAATCACGATCCGTAGTCAATCAGTTGAAGCTTCCACTTATCGTATACTGTGTATGGAAAACAATATCTAGCCTACCCTAGTCAGGATCCCGGGGGGGGGAGATGTGTCTAAGAGACGTTACGGTGACATCATCTCACATGCCCGCCAGCACCTCATGTTTCCCCTCGACAAGGAACGAGCAGGTGAACCTGTCCGTTGCGGGACATCGTCGCCGCCAAGAAATGGGAAACGAAACAAGGAATAATGCCAATGTTGTTGTTGTTGAGGTAGTGGTTATTATTGATCAATCCCGAGAGGAAACGATGAGAACATAAGAGGAGGGAGAGAGAACCTCGCCGAATATCCGAGTTCGAAGGTCCAGCCAGACATGGCTTCCTCTTATCGTGGGTGGTGATCCTCTGATCCTCCTCGCAACAACAACATCAACAACAACGACGACGTCATGGCTGGTTTCCGGTACTACCCAAGTAGAACTACGCTACCAGTACCTACAATCTATCTAAGTGCCTACCTTCTGACCACCGACAGCGTAACCACCTACCTACTAGATGATCATCAATCCATGGAAGGAACCACTAGCGCCTTCCTGCTGAAGATTGGGTTCCCCTCCTTTGCTAGGACACTGCCCACTGTTATCTCCCTGGAAACCTCTATCATCATGATGCTGTCAGACAATAATGATGCTTTTTTACCGGGTCGTGTTGATGGCGCAGGAACGTATCCCATCCATTCCCCCGTTGCGCCCGGGCTGTGATTCGCTTTCGGCAGGTACGGAGCCTTTCAACGTCTCCTCTGCCCCGCCACACCCCGCCTGAAGCTGTTGACCGAAAACCACACCCCCCCGATAACACCTCTTCCTTCCCTCATCCTCTCCATTCTTCATCTTCTCACCCCCTCCAATCTCACCCGTGTCTTCACTAGCCTTAAACCATGGCCGGATCAGCTCCCAACCTTTACAGTTTTCTCAGCGCCGACGCTTTGGCCCAGCAATTGAGGCCCTACGTTTTGCGGTGTCAGAACTCGGCCCTCAGTCGTCATAGCACATTCCGTGTCGCAGTTTCTGGCGGCTCTCTCCCCAAAGTTCTGGCCCAGGCTCTCCTGACCCCTGGAGATGGCACTCCCGAAGACACCGCTCAATTCTCCAAATGGGATATCTTCTTTGCCGATGAACGCGCGGTGCCCCTCGACCACGAAGACAGCAACTACCGACTGCTGAAGGAAGAGCTACTCAACAAGATCCCGTCGGAGCTCGGCGCTCCGACTGTGCATACCATCGACGCCGATCACGTCAACGATGAGGATCCCCAAGAGTTGGCCGATTTGTACCAGGAAGAGCTGATGCGCTCTTTTGCCGCCAAGGATAGCGTCAAGTTGCCCGTGTTCGATCTCATCCTTCTGGGCTGTGGTCCTGACGGCCACACTTGCAGTCTCTTCCCCGGGCATGAGCTGCTGCGGGAGAAGGATGCGTGGGTGGCCGCAATTAGCGACTCACCTAAGCCGCCCCCGAAGCGCATTACCTTGACTTTGCCCGTGGTTACGCACGCCCTCAACATCGCCTTCATTGCAACCGGCGGTGGAAAGAAGGATATCATGAAACAGATCTTCGATGCCGAAGAGGGAAGGAGCCTGCCGTCGTCTCTCGTCAACCAGGGTGCGGGTGACAAGGTGAGCTGGTTCACCGACAATGCAGCCATCGAGGGCGTTACTTTCCCTAGACGTGGAAGCCTGTGATTGATGGGCGCATGTGGTATGAAGTTGCTTTCAGGTGGTGACTGGAGCGGGAGATAGGCGCCAGCGTAATAGCGAGGCTACTCTATTTAGCTGAGAGGAGGCCCTGGGCGTGGGCATTTGTCCACATGGAATTACAGAAGCAAGGGGTTAGCGCAGGAACAAGTGTGTCTCCAGACTGGATGAACTGTTCATGTCTCTTATTTCTTTAGCCTTTGGAGGTTCATTTTAGACTTGTTAAAAGTTTGTGCTATCGTTATGCGGTGGATATCACAGACGCACTCTAATTGATCAATTGAAAAGGATAATCAAGTGATCCTGCCCCATTGGAGCATTATAGTCATCTGCGTAGATACGTAGATACTTAGATACCTATAGTGTAGTAGTGAAGCAGTCACTGGTCGCGATGCACTGCCGCGGTGCCAAGCTTTGCCTGGGGATGCGGAACTCACCGCAAGACGGAAACCACGGCCCTGCCGCTCTCTCTCTCAGCTGAGCTCAGGCCTCGTCTATCTATTTACAACGACGGTGTCCGGGCAGTCTATCTATCCCGTGCGAGGCCCCATCTTGGACTTATCTGATCGCAATCTATCGAGTTTCAACACATGATTTGATCTCCAGCAATCATGCCAATCCCAACCCGCTCGCTTTCGCTTCGTGAGCCCCGCAAGCAGGTTAGTGTTGCGTCTGTCAGTAGCCCATTCCCCCTAGCGCCCTCGTGTCGTGTCAACGACAACCACCATCCCTAGCATGCCTCCTCCGTCTCAGCAATGCTGACGTCTGTTGTCCAAGCCATCCACGCCAGGCCGCGTGACAGCGGGGAAGCCAGCATCCACAAACTCCGCGGCTGCGACCGGCACGACTTCCAATGCTGCGACCGGCAACGAGAACATTGTAACTCGGTCCAAGAGCCTCCTACCAATTCGCGATGATGGCCGCGCGACAAGATCTCCTCGACTACAACAGCAGCCAGATAGTCGGATCTCCCAGAGGGCAAGCAAACCCTCGGAAAAAGGACAACATCCGCTACAGAACCAGTCCACCCAGGAGGCTGCCGGCATAACCCGTCGCCAAAGCCTCATCAGACCCAGCCCTCTGAAGCCATCGGTCCCTCTGAAGCCTACGATCACCTCAACAGCGTCTCGAAGAACTCCTATTGCGCCGAGTCCGTCATCTCCGGTCAAACAAGAGATACCCAAACAGAATGGACGACCTTTATCTCCGAAGAAAACAGATATGCCTCCCCCACCACGTCTTGCCCGATCGGCCTCTGTAAAGCAACTTGCCGCTTCGAGCTCGAGCACCCCGTCCATAACTAGAGGTCACACGCGCCACCGCAGCCAGGGAATTACGCTTGCTCCGGGTCAAGCTTCGAGAAAGATTAAGCCTCCCTCGCCATCACCCACCACCGCACGGTCAAGGGCTCAGTTCACGACCTATCAACAAAATTTCTCGCCAAAGAAGGCCGCTCAAGCAGCAACAGCAACAACATTGGCAGATTCTCCTGCAGAGGATGCGGATTCCACGTTAATATCGTCATTTTGGCCGGAAGTTGCGGCACTGCAAACAGAACTCTTACAGCTGAGCCTCGTTCACTTGTCGTCCTTCCGCCAGCACGCTGAATGGAAATCTAATGCTGAGGCACAACTACGGAGCGAATATGACTCGGTAGCAAACGACTATCGAGCGGCCCTGAGCGAAGAGAAGGGGTACCAAAGACGACTCAATGGGCAAGCATTGCATTACTGGCTTGAAAACTCCCGTGAGCGCGATGGACAGCAAGGCTTTGCAGAGCAGATCCGGGTGTTTTCTCAGGTGACGGAGGAAGTCTACAACATATCCGACAGTTTGGGAGGACGGTATGCAGCGATCGTCCAGGAATTCGAGGCCTGGTTTCAAAAAGTCGAGGATATACGGACCTATCGCCTCCATCAAGGCGGAGGCTTGGACCAGGTGGTCTTCATTGATCCCTTGAACCAGTCCTGGAGGGACGAGACGTCTACCTTGGTCATGAAGCTGGAGCTGTGCTTAAGACAGCTGCAAAGCCTGGACATCCTTGGATACGGAGAAGCAGGGCCCCTTAGCGGTTCTGCGCTATTCCGTACCGCGACGAGTCTGGAAGATATGGCCAACATGATGATCGAGGAACTGAACACGATCCGTAAGATTGAAAGTGATGTTGTAAAGTCCGAGAGAGTGTGGGTTAGTCAACTGGCTCGGCAGTTGACTGCAGTTTCGGCACATGACCAGAGGCTCCTAAGAGTTGGAATGTGGAACCAGCCGTCGTTGCATTCATGAAGCTCTCTTTGGACACAGGATCGCCTCAGAAGAACCGATAAAGTGCACCGCAGACCGAACCGCAAGTATGTCACGGCCAACGGTTCCGTTAAGCAGCCCCATGCCAAACCCTATCTTCCCCAGGGGTAACATGCAGTTTACTGGTTCTGCCGGATCTACTAGCGTAAGCGAAACCGAACCATGGGAGCGATTCGCAGGCACTGTATGCATAGCCGGGCATGCATGTGTCATCCAAGGAACAAAAAAACCGGTTCTTTCAAGAGTCCAGTTCTCAATGAGCGAGCAGGTTATTCGCCCACAAACCTGCGCTAGCCTTCTTAGCCCACTTCTGGCCAGCGATCGGACTCGCTTCGGAGTCCTCATCGAACTTACGGCCGGTGGTCAAGGCCTTTGGGATTCTAGAAGCTCAGCCTTTCACTTTTATTCCTGATTCTTGGACAAGGCCGGAGCAAACCTGTTCATCCGACCAGCAGTTTCCCGCGCACTTGTATCGAAAAGGGTTATTGTCGTTTCAGAGTGTCCGCTTCCTGCTTGTTCTATGAGAGTCCAAGACATTCTTCCTGACAATCGATCTGCGCTGCTTGTACTACCTATGGCCATGTTTCACTGCGGGGGGGTTTTCTACGGCGGTGCAGACTTCGGCGTATTAGTACCGATTCTCCCGATGGATGGATGACACGCTAGACAAGTGAACAGAATGTGTGATTCGATCCAGCCGTTGGCTGCCTGGCTTCATCAAGCTCTGCAGTGGGTTATCCCGCAGGCGCCGTGCACACCAATACAAACAGATCGGGCAGGTGGTGCAACCTCAGTGTTGGGCGATGAGTCCTGTGTATTATGGAGATGGGTAGAAAACCGGTTCTTATCACTCTTTTTCCTGACCGCTGTCCTCAGGTCTTGATCGGAGACCTACAGTAGGCTCACCGATCCTGTAGGCACTGCTTTCTTTTTTGACATTATGTTGTAATAGATGGTATCTCAGTTGCTCATCAAAGGGGCCAAATACACAGCAACCCATCCCCAAGAAGATACGTAGTTGGAAGGAAAGGAGGAAGGAAGGGATTGGATACTAGTTCAGCGCGTGGAATGACCTGCCTGTTGGGATGAGGTTTATATAGACCACCGGAACGCGGACCGTGACTAAGCAACGTGGGGAATTGTCGTCATCGCCGTTGCCGTTGACTCCCCCAAGCATCCATGGAACATCCGACATGCACTGGAGTAGATACCTACCATCGGAGTGGTGTCAAGTTTAACCTGAGCCAACTACAATTAAAGAATGTCCACCGGTCTTGGGCAGGCTCCACCCCGGCGGTGTAACTTCTCTAGTCAACGACGCCTACACCTAGAGCCCAACGAGTAGATACTACTGTGGGATCTAATGCACCTCCTGCCTCCCCTCCCCCCTTCCCCTTGTGCTGGATCCAATTCACGGACAGCTCCTTGGGAAGACGATCGGTGGCTGTCCCAAATGGGTAAGCCTCAGTGTGCTCGATGGCCGGGGCGAGAATCCTTCCTTGGTGGCTACCTGGATGGTCTACTCAGTACCTGCTAACTAGTACGGTAGATAAGTAAGGATATAAGTATGGGCCGGTAGCCTTTTGGACTGTCCGGAATCCTTTCTCTTTAATCTTGCGGACGTTTCCTTCACGCCTTCCTTTGAAGAAGAGTCCTTGACGTGGTGGTGAACCGATAAAATAAGCCTGGGTCCGGTGGAGCTCTGGTTCCTTTTCCCCTCCTGCGACTCCCCCGGCTGGTCCATCCATCCCGCCTCGTCGCTGTGTCTGTCCTCTTCCGCTCTTCGATCTCGTTCTCTTCCTCCACAATCCACCGGCCACACTGCCAGATACATACAGCAGACTGACTTCTCCCCCACCTCCCTCATCTCTGGTCTGGTGCCCCCCTCCCCTCCCTTTCTCTGCCCTGATAGGTCTCTTCAGACAGGTCAACTCCTATCTAAATCCATCCATCTCCCCTGAGCTATCTAGACGGAGTCCTTTAAATCCCGAGGCATCTGGACCGCCGCTCCTCATTCGGCCCCGTCAACTTGCCTTTCCTCTCTCTCCTTTTCCTTTCTTTCACTTTACCCTTGCACTCCAGTCTCCCCACCGGTTGTTCTGCACGCCCTTTGGCGCTGCAACCCTCCTCCCCTTCCGCACCTCTTATGTCTACCCTATCTTCCACCGGCGATCGTCAGCAGTGAGCTTCGCGCCGACGCATTCTGCGTGGATCCGAGTCTGACGTCATTGAAGCAGCAACACGAACTCTCGCTGCGCGCAATGTTCCGATCTCGAGTCGCTTGATCCCCCACCATCTGTCGCCTCTTCATCGACACAGCCATGAAGGAGTCGCTATATGATCGCATCTGGCGCCGGGAATCCGGGGAAGTGTCGCGCTTCGCCAGCATCCACGGCATCTACGGATCTAAGGAATGGGTTGAAAATTTGGATATCGTGAATGAACTCGGTGGTCATTCTGGCTGCGTCAACGCTCTGAGGTATGCTCTTGCGCTATTCCGTCCTCTTTTTGCGGTGATGGCGATGAAGGTCCGTTGGCGTATGCACCGCTTCTAACGCTGAGTAGTTGGTCGCGGTCTGGCCAGCTTTTGGCATCGGGCTCCGACGACCAGCACCTGAATATCTATTCCTACCAGCCTGGCTCCTCCGCCGCCCCCTTTTCGCTAAATACAACCATCTCGACGGGCCATGGCGCAAACATATTCTCGGTCAAGTTTATGCCACACTCCAATGATCGGACTCTGGTGACTTGCGCCGGTGATTCCCAGGTTCGCATCTTCGATATCGAGTATTCCAGCAATAATAATAGTGTCGACACCACCTCGGCATTTTCCGCATCTGCACGGAGCCGAAGGTTTAACAACTTTTTCAACAATGCACGTTATCTGAATGCGGGAAATACCAACGTCAGAGTTTATCGCAGCCACGCCGATCGGGTCAAGCGGATCGTTACCGAGTCGTCGCCATATCTCTTTCTGACTTGCTCGGAAGATGGCGAGGTTCGTCAATGGGATCTTCGTCAGCCATCGTCCGCATACCCTAAGCCACGAGGCGGCCAGGGATACATGGCTTTTCGGTCGGGGCAGGAGCACGATGATTCAAATGTACCGCCTCCGTTGATATCTTACAAGAGACATCGCCTTGATCTCAATACCATTTCATGCTCCCCAAGCCAACCCCATTACATCGCTCTAGGCGGCGCCCACCTTCATTGCTTCCTTCATGACAGGCGCATGCTGGGCCGCGACCTGCTTGCAGAGAGGGGCGATCCCGGTGCCTCTCCCGGCAGTAGCAGTCACGGGGAGGAGCTGATGGATCAGGCGACGCGGTGTGTGCGGAGATTTGCCCCTAACGGTCAGCAACGAATGAAAACGCGCGATGACGGCCATATCACTGCCTGTAAGATTAGCGATGCCAACCCGAATGAGATGGTTGTCAGCTGGTCTGGCGATCACATATATAGCTTCGATTTGATTCGGAGCCCAGACGCAAGGGAGGAGTCAAAGCGCCCCCAGTCCACCCAGGAGACTCCAGTTCCGCGTCGACGTCGAGACTCCAAGACCAGGAAGCGTAAGCGACAGAATGGGACCTCAATGTCATCACAGTCCAGTGGCAACCAATCCCGACCTCGACGTCGGCCCAGAGAGCGTCGTGATGAGGGAGAATTAGCATTCCGAGTCCGCTACGGAAATGGAGAATCGGAAGACATTCCCCTCCCGTCCCTCTCGGAACAGCGCGCTGACATCCCAGACAGCTTGGTCGATCAGTCGCGATCATCCGTGCTCAATGAAGCGCAGAGGCTCAGTATGCGCATCGCTAAAGACATGGTCAAGCTCCGTAAAGCGATTTTCTCGCTGGAAACATCGTTACGCGAAGAATATGAGTCATCCAATCAGGCTGATTTGGCACCATTCACCGAGTCCTTTTCCACAGCACTAACCCATGCTTCCATCTGTCTTCCTCAGATGGATGAGATTATGCGGACCTGGAGATATCCCATCAATCCTACCCAAGATGTTGTACGCCTCCAGCAAACCCTTCGTCGGAATCGACAGTCTGCCTGGCGGTTTATTCAAGCCGCGGGAACATTGGCACGAGTCTTAGGGGGTGAAATCCAGAATACGCCGGGAGATGTAGACCAGGATATGGAGCTGTTTCAACACATACATTCGCCAGGGCTCGAGCGTGCAGTCGATCACAAGGAACAGTTTGGTTACGATTTCATCAAGGCTATACTTTTGTTTGTTGAAGGCGGTCGTGAGGCTCTTCTGTCGGGCTTCAAGCAAGGTTCGGTGTCTCGAGGTAACCAGGCCAGATTCCCTGTGGATGAAAGTGCGGGCGAAGATGCGATTGAGTCGGTCTTAATCCCTTACCTGCAGAGACTTGCAGGTGACGTTCCCGTTGTGAATGTGGACGCTTCGCGTTTCGAACATGATGAAGCTCGTATCCTCTTTTCAACTCAGCGCCACGCAGTGGCCGCCTTTGCGAATGCTATCAGGTATCCAGTTGAAGACCTTGTCAATACGACCACAATGCGCAGCCAGGCATCAACTGATCTACCTGGCCGTTCACACGATTTGTTTCAGGTGACACAATTCTGGGTATTCAAGGTGGCCCGTGGAGTTCTCTTGGAAACTGGAACTGGGGTGGATTATGCATTTGTTAACAGGGCGTTTGGCGGTTTGCGTACGAGGGTGGAAGTTGGCCCAGAATACGGAGTGGAACTTGAACGATCCCAGAATGATCTCGAAGCTAATCTTGAAGAGGAACCGATACGGGACGTCAACCTGAAGATTCTCCGGGGTTCGCGTTCTGCTCGAGAGCATCGGACAGGCACTGGTGGGGTGACAGGGATACAGACACCAATATCCAATGATGACGAAGGGGGCACCTCTGAACTGCCGGATGTCGATGATGACAGTGAAAACGAGTTTGGCCTCGCCATCGACGAGGATGAGGATGAGGATGACGACGAGAATGACGACGAGGATGATGATGAGGAAGAGGACGATGATGAGGAACTTGAGCTAGATCCGAGCAGTTCCGTCGACGACAGTGATGACTCCGAAGCTGCCGATCGTATGTTCAGGGAGTACGGACTTCAGCCCCGAGAAAGAGAGTACGTCGAGGCCGACGTTCCCTGTTCCCCCCACACCCGAATCTATAGCGGACATTGCAACATCAAGACGGTCAAGGATGTCAATTTCTTCGGTTTGGATGACGAGTACGTAGTGAGTGGTAGCGACTCGGGCCATATCTTTATTTGGGATCGGAAATCCTGCAAGCTAGTCAACATTCTCGAGGGCGATAGTGAGGTGGTCAATGTTGTGCAAGGTGAGAACCCATCCTCGGCAGATTTGCATTGCAAGAACCCTAAGTCAACGATCCCTTGCAGGTCACCCGTACGAGCCGACCATTGCGGCCTCGGGAATCGACAACACCATCAAGATCTTCTCGCCCGACCGGCGCGCTCAGGAAGATGCTCGCCGTGGCATCAACATTCTGGATCCTGACAACCCTGCCAACAAGCTTGGTTTTGGACCTAACGTCAGTGCCATTGGTGGTCTTGGAACACGCAAGCGCTTGCACGATAGTTACCGGATCATGAGCCAGAACGACGTTGACCGACAAGGTGGTATGAATGAGGCGTACATTACTGTAGGTCTTCCGGAGATTGCTTCCAGTCGCTATGGAATAGGGCATGATCTAACAACGAGATAGAGGCACATGCTGGCCCGCCTTGCGGCAACCCTGAGGGACCAACGACACGGCGTGACAGTGGGCGAAGGTGGCGAACATGCTACACTTGTGCTGGACGACAATAGCTGCCATGTACGTTCGATTTTGACCCTACTCGGATCCCTACTGATTAGAGTTGCAGGTGATGTGACCACCTTGACCGAACTAATGGAGGGTGGTGTTTCTGCCTGCCTGCTACCCCTTTGACAGGATTCGTATCTTCTCTCTTCCTCTGACCTCCAACTTTGCCTTCGTCGATGTTATTATTAATAGATTCTAGCTCGACGCCATCCTCATGTGTCTATCTTCGGTCTCTTCCCAGCAGTTCGATCATGAGAGGAAAAGCATTTGAATCAATGACAGAGCAGCTCCACCGCGTATATACTCCGTAATTTCCCTGTAAAATGTAACTTGTAATAAAATGTAAAAAACCCCCCCTTCTATCGCCACGTGACCCTTATCTCTCCCCCGCATTTGGAGACCCTCATTTTTCTTTTTTCCCGAGCCTTTTTTCCTTCGTTTCCCATCGGCTTCAGCCCATTTCAACCCTCCATTGCAATTGAGAATGTCAGCCCTTCAGGACCGAGCAGATGTCACTGCTCGTCTCTATGCAGACCCCCACAACCCCCACCTCCACTACGAACGCGGCCTGATTCACCAAAAGCTAGGCTTTCCAGATCTCGCCTCCGCAGACGCTTACCGCGCCCTCTCTTTGCTCGACTCGGTCGTTGACCCCGATGGCTGCGAATTCCATGCCACGCGAAAGATTCAGGACGCGCCTGCTGCGCCTGCTACAACAGAGGAGGAAGAGGATGGCTTTACCCCCATCACCCAAGACGAGTACGACTCGATGATTGGGGGCGTCTACGCCCTGCTCGTACGAAGCCTAGTTAACTGCGGCTGCTTTCGCGATGCCTTTGAATTCTGCGTGCGCGGTCTTGGACTCCTAGAGAACATGCCTCAGAGCGACCGGAATACCTCCGCACAAGATGTGCTCAAAGACCAGCTAGCAATCATCAGGAAGACATACCAAGCCCGTCAAGGAACCACTCCCACCCAAGACACCGACATCAACCCCAGTGCTCTTAATGCCCAAGGCTCCGCCCGACGAGTCCTCTACCCCTGGAACGAGCACGAACCGGACCGCAAATCTCCCGAAACCCTCCAGCTTTTGAACGAGCGTCTCAAGGACGTTGCTCCCAAATGCGAGGTCCGAGCCGTCGCTCTGCCCGCTTTACACGGCACCACCAACCCGGAAGACGATGAAAATGAAGTCTCTATCCAACTTGGCCTCTTTGCCAAAGAAGACATTGCCCCCAACGAGATAATTCTCCGCGAATCCTCCCTTCTCACCGCAACCAACCGCCTGCACGACGACCTCTGCGACGCCTGCAACGCCCCGCTTCCCGATCTCGCTTCTGAGAACCCCCCGGTTGCCTGTGATGGCTGCGCAGACACCATTTTCTGCTCGCAATCCTGTCACGATGATGCCCAACGCATCTACCACGGTGCCGTTTGCGGCCTCATGGAGAACCTCGAATCTATCGGCAAAGACATCCCCGACCCCAAGGACAAGGCCGATTACCTCTACCTCCTCCTTCTGGGCCGGACCCTCGCCATGGCCGCCACCCAGGACGTGCACCCATTAGACCTCCCAGAAGTGAAGTACATCTGGGGCGATTTCCACGATCTCGATATCACCAATCCCATTGCTGAGTCCGATGACCCCACCGCAACCCTTCCCTTCTCCTTCCAGCTCAACATCATCCAACCGATGCGCCTTCTGGAGGAAATGGAAGTTGATCCCTACGCCTCCCTCCCCCGCTTCGATACCTGGGTCTTGAACACCCTCTACGCCAAATTCCGAGGAACCGCGTCTGGTCGTCTCTCAACGTGGGACGGCGGCCCGGAACTGTGTGCCGTGCATCCCCTCTGGTGTCTTGCCAACCACTCCTGCGATCCGAGCGTCAGATGGGAGTGGGGTGGCGAGATCACCTTCCGGGCTCGCTCAGAGGACGAACGCGCTGTTTGGAAGAAACTAGATGGTACGGACACAAGTGCTCCCACAGTACGGAGAGGGGGTCAAGGCATCAAGAAGGACGAGGAGATCCTCAACCACTACTGCGACATTGGACTAAACGTCAAAGAAAGACGGGAGTGGGCAAGAGGCGCACTGGGCGGATGGTGTCAATGTGAGCGATGTGTCTGGGAGGCAGGGGAGAACTGAACATACCTTCACTTCACCCTCTTGAAGTAAAAATAGACAGCCTGTACATGTGATAGAGATAGAGATAGAGACAGAAAAGGTAGATACCCAGGTGGAAGATGAAATGAACAGTTGACGAACAATATGTCGATAGTAGTAGCTCTATAAAATATATATCCGTCCATCCAACAGTACTACTGTATTTAATACTATACATAGCCTTACGCCGTAACCATAATATTCCTGATAAGTACTAGCCAGTCATTTACTCTTGTTGACAACACAAGGAAATTCTTACTAGTACCAACTCACTCACTCACTGCCCAGCCGGTTTTGAATGAAGACGTACGTGAGTGGCAAGGCGCTGGCTGCACTAGTACTACCCAGTATAGTATACTAATTTCACGTCGACGACGCAGTGGATATCTACAAAATTGGCTTGGCTTGGCTTGGCTTGTTGGGCAGAATATACTACGACATGAATGTTGTTTTTTTTTTCTTACAGAATCTATGGTGGGAGTTTATCAGGTAAGGAAGTAGTACTATGGATAGATAAATGGGTAAGTAACGTCTAATACCACTAGGGTAATGTAGGGGTTCATTTTTTGTTTTGTGTCTCTCTTTCTGTCTGTATTCTGGATAAGACATAACTAATGCAGGAAGAAGTAGTAGTAGTATCGATACAACCCGTAATGAAATAAACCCCCAATCCATAAATTCAACGTATGCCAAGCCTAAACATCCCCGCTATTATCGATCTACTTTCTTGGTGCAATTACTTTCGGTGTTTTTCTCTTTCTCAGTCTCCAGACTTAGTCGCGCGCCGGACGGGGAGGAGTCCGGGATGGGGATCGGCGCCGTCGAGGCGGCGGAGATCGGGAGGGTGAGCGGGACTCTGAGTATCGGCGGCGTGCATCGCCACGGTTGGAGCGCGGTGGGGTAGGAGACCGTGAGACGGAGTCGTGGGCACGACGGGTCGCGGGGGCACGTCGTGGGGATCGAGACCGGCTGGGAGAGCGAGACCCTGAGACGCTCCGCTCAACCCGCCGGCGGGGAGGAGGCGACCGGGACTCCGAGTAGCGTCCGCTGCGTGCTGGTGCGGATCGGCGTGGGGGAGGAGTGATGGATCGGGAGTAGCTTCGGTCTCGCCGAGAGTACGTGTCGCGCTTGCGAGGAGGGGTGACGGACCGGGATAGCGAGCGTCTGGGGCTCACGCTGCGACGAGGGGAGCGCGAGTCGTAAGAGCGATCCCGCGTCCGCCGAGGAGGAGTCCGAGACCGGGACCGACTGTAGGAGACGGAGCGCGGGCGGCTCTTGGAGACAGGGGATCTGGACCGCGAAGGCGTGTAGCTGTAGCTGCGGCGCGAGGATCCGGACACGGACCGGGTGTAGGATCGGCCACGGCTGGCAGAGCGTCTGCGGCCACGGCTGGGGGAGGGAGAACGGGAGTAGGAGTAGGAGCGGGAGCGGGAACGAGAGCGAGGAGTACACGTCGAGCAGCTGGTGGGATGCGATACCACGGACTCGGCGTCGGACTCGTCGCCGCCGTCGCGTTGAGGCAAAGCAGGAATGGTGGGCTTGGGAAGGTTCTTCAGGTGCTCGCGCATGTCCTCCGTCAGGATACCCATACCGATACTGGTGAAGTAATTGATCGAGAAGCGCGTGTTGCGAGGGTTGTCCAGGGGGAAGAGGCCCTCGAAGCTGGGGCGCAGAATTTCGTCTCTCATGCGCTCCTGCAGCTTCGGCAGGCCCATGTGCTCTCCAAGGTCCTGGAAGAGGATCTTGATGAAGATACGGCTGCTAGATGTGGTCTCCTCCTCGTTCATGTGGATGATGGACATGACATGCCATCCAATCGCATCGTTGCTGATCATATGGCCAAAGAAACGCGCAATGTTGCGGAGTCGGTTGGTTTCATAGCGATGGATTGTGTCGTAGTATTTGGCAAACGCAGCTTCAAAGAGGTCCGACCAGAGGCGGTTGATCTTTGCAAATCGCTCTCCGATCAAGCCGTAGAACTTCGAATACGTGCGCTCCTGGGAGCAACATTCAATGATCATCGACGGAAGCTCAGGCTCGAGGCCAGGCGGCAGCGAGATCTTCATCAACTTGTGACAACACTCCTCGAAATCTATACTCGACATGATGGTCAAGTAGATCGTCCTCCGCAGGTTCACCAGGTCTGTGTTGGTCTGGTCTTTGATGTCCATCTTCCGCTCTTCCTCGGACTCTTCATCGGAGCTCTCATCCGACTCGTCCTCGTCTTCTTCGTCATCACTGCCTTCTCCCAGGATCTCTGCCTTCAATTTCTTATAGGCCTCTTCGTGCTCCTCCCACTCTGCGTCGAACTTGAAGATGTTGAGGGAATCCTGCGTCTCGATCTCATCATCAAGGCCGATCTGGTGCGTTATTTGGTCTTCCTCCTCAATCAAATCCAACTCTTCCTTGACCGCCGGGTTGTCCTTGTACCGATCCTTTCGGACTTGGAACAGCACCTCGATCATGTATTGTACTCGCTTATCGATGTCGGCTTCGTGAAGGATATTGCGGAATTGGTCAAACACCGCCAGGGCAATAGGACCGCTCATCTCCTCCAGATGCTGTCCAACTTCTCTAGTAAGGCCGACAGCGATTTCGACACTGTCATCCGTGGGCTTGTGAAGCAGCAACAAAAGGATTTGAGCGGCCAGCATCTCGTGCGCAACCTGCTGGTTGCACAGATGGGCGATGAATGTTGTGGAAGAGATGCAGACGGCTTTGTCATTGCGCTTGAATGCCTTCCGGAATTGGACAATCAGACGGTTGAGCAACAACTCGCCGACTTGTGGCAATTTGGTATTAACAATGGCTGCCATCGCAGCGTAGATAGGCGTGAAGGGTAAACTGGCCGCTTGGGCCTTCATGATACTCCGGCAAAACAGACCGCGACCGCGCACCAAGTTCTCTCCGAAAAGCTCCGGTACGATATACTTGATGTTGGAAACGTTGACCTTGTTGATGAGACCATTGATCGACTTTTTGAGAGCCTCCCATGCCATACGCTGGTACTCCTTGCTGGTCTTGTCCGTGATTTGCGCCTGCAGTGCCCGTAGTCGCGCAGGAGGAATGTAAGTACCTCCCGACCGCATGTTCAAAAGCTTCTCATATTCTGCTTTGGCCGCAGCCTGCTTTTCCTCCTCGGTCATCGGCTTCCGTGCAGTCTCCTGCTTCTCATGCTGGCGAAGGCGCTCCGCGAGCTGTCGCTCTCTTTCGATCGCGCGTTCGGGGTCGATGCGTGGCGCATCTGCACCGTCTTTCAACGAGTCACCCGGAGGAGAGCGACGACGATTCGGCGAAGGAGAGCGAGAGGGAGGTGAGCGTTTCCGGGATCCCGAGGCCTGAGGAGAGTACGAGGTGCCTGGGGGAGGAGTAGGCACTCGCACCGCAGACTGCAAGACTACAGGGTCCGTCATGGTCCTTCGCAGTCCGCCGAGTAAGAGCTGTGTGAGTCGTGATGTCCGCAGAGAACACGACGTTGAACGGGGAGCTCTATGATGAGGCGTGAGGCGGCGAAGAAAGGTCTTAGCGCGCCTCCGGTCACGTGGGAGCTTAGTCGCCAGCCTGGCCGCGCCCGGCCGCTATTCTTACGATTGCTATGGGATGATGATCAGGGAGACCAGACCAAGCAACTTTCCTCCACTGTCACTTACCGACCTCTACGACAAGCGCATCATCATTATGGTATGACCCTCCCCCTACAGCACTGACAAAATCTGGAGATGCTGACTCGAATTGCGCCGTAGCTGGGCCCAATCGTCGGATCCGCCATGCTCCTGGTCGCTACCGCGATCTTTCTCTACTACACGACCTGGACTTTGTTGATGGTATGTCTTAGCGCCGGGCTCTCTGTTGCAAAAATGGCAATTAACCTTCTGCTAGCCATTCGTCGACCCGGGTCATCCTCTCCACGATCTCTTCCCTCCCCGTGTCTGGGCCATCCGCATCCCCGTCTTCCTTACTCTGCTCGGCTCCGCCGTGGTTGGCACGTTCATAGGCATCGTGATGATCAACAGCAACAAGAAGAAGGCAGCTAAGGCTAAGGCGGCGGCAGCAAAGAAGAAGTCTTGAGCTTGTTCCAACAACAGACGTGGCGTTGGGTGGGTGGGTTGGGTGTGAAAATGGCGACTTGGAACAGGTGGCATCATCTTATTATCAGTGTAACATTACTTTTTCCTTCTCCCGAAATTTGGCCCTTGATTGGGTTGTTCAGTCAGCACAGCGTTCAATTACACCATCCGCATTCCTCGCATTCTGCAAGCCTGCCGCGTGGTGAGGTAGGAAGGGGGGGCGACAGGGCGATGACGAGCAACGACGAAATGCCCGGATGCCGCCCGGTCTCAGGTGAAGGGTTCCTGGTTTCTCTTCCTGCCTTATCCTCAATAGCCACCGTGTAATATTTCAGTCACGGCTGGGTCTCAGCCGATGACGATTTGGGGGGACCTTACAGGCGCGGTGCTCGCCATACAGCCCCGTGACTCCCCTACGGCAACCAGCCACATCTGGCGCCAGGCCAACTGCATTCCGGGCCTGGAACTATGTGATTGGCCTGAGGCTATTGGCGGCCAGGCCCTTGGGGGACCCATCCAGGGAAAAGGCAATCCATGAAGAAAGGTCGGGCCCAACTGATCCCATTTCAGTTCCAGCTGCCCTGGGACACATGTCCCGGCCGTGGTGGCTGTTTGGCTGCATTGCCCAGGGCCCTCACGTGATCCTCTTGACCCGTGTTTAGGCGTGGCCGGTTTGCAGTGTTTGTGAAGGTTACCCCTCATGGGGGGCGGGCAGAACCAATGGGGAAACCCGCCCATGGCGTATGTATCGTTCTCCGCCTTACGGGGTACAGCCCGTACGGTATGGTAAATGCAGATCATCGGATGCCTCCTAATTCCAGGTCCCAGCCCATCTGCCTGGATTGGAGGGACTGGCTGGGGACTGGGGGGGGGGGAAAACTGGGGGGAGTCCCAGGCAGACGATGGAGGACAGGCCCACGACTAGTCTCTCGTAGTGCTATGTATAATGTAGGAACCTTACCCGTCTGCGTCAGGTTATGACGGTCATGGCTGCCCGTATCCCACTAGTAGCCAATGATCACTCGGGCCCCGTCATGTGGTGGCCCTGGAACCTTAAGGGAAGGAACGACGGGGGGTGGAGGGACTGATAGGAGATAAGTCCGGCGTCGTAGTCAGCCTACCATGGAGATGTCATCCATGCTCCTGACCTGATCCGGTTCCCCTCCCCCTCTCCTTCCCTCCGGTGTGCTGCCGCCAGAACATCTTCTTATCCACTTCTGCCACTGCACCGTTCTCTGTTGCTTCAACCTCATACGCGTCTGTTGCACCATTCCTGGCTCTATCTACCCAGACTACTGCGACCCGGACAGCCGGTACACGCAGTGCTTCCGACCTGTCCTGTGTACAGATCTACCGGCGTATCGACGGGTCACCGCTCTAGATACGCTGTTGTCTCCGTTTCTCCGGCACGGCCGCTGTAACCGATCCTCTTTGCCTCCCATCCCCCAGCATTCAACCCACTGGAAATTGTTGTGAGTCTCCGCTGGCCCTTCATCCGTCGCTCGATGACTCATGCTGATAAGCGTTACTGGACCACAGCAAACACACTCACGGGATTCCTCCGGCAGTGAATCCTTACTGCCTCTTGCGAGTGTCGTTGCCGGCCGACTACACCTTCAGACCCCCCGTTCTCGGCCCTGACTTAGGGTCCTGAGAGCGGTTGTCCTAGTTCAGACCATATTGCCTCCGAGAGGCAATCCCACTTGGATGCCACCGGCAGCTTCGGACGATTTGTTTCGCCAGCAGAGCCGGTCCCTAGGTGACAATAGCATACTTCCTGAAGATCCCAGTCGAATAACTTTGGAGCATGATCTCGGTGGAAAGACCAAGAAAAAGGGGAAAACCGGATCCAAGGCGAAGGCTAAAGCCGCTAAAGCAGCCTCGAAATCTCCACCTGACGACCTGTAAGTCCAAGTCCCTACACAACTCTAGTAGAAGCTAGGTGTCTGTTCAGATGGTAGCTGACCTGGGTTGACGCGTCATATACAGTCTAGAAGCATCACCGCCTCTGCAGGCTGAGCCGTCATCTTGCCCCAACCCGACGCTGGAGCCGCCTCCTGGTGACCGCATCGTGTCACCTGTACTCGATGCCCTTGGCACTCTAGGGGACTCCCCTGAGAACGACATTGCTTACCGCACCGATAGTTGGGCTAAGTCCATTCCCTTTGGGAAAAGCCCTCCAAACGATGTCGTGGATGGCGAATTTGACAGCGGATCCCCCTTTGGGTTTCTCACCAGCCAGGACAAAGGCGGATTCAGCCATCCATCTTCAACATCTCCTCCTCCCAGGGCAAGGCCCTTAAGCTATGGGCATGGATACGCGAACAGTAGTGTATCTCGACAACAGTCTGCAGACCGACAAAAGAGCCAATCCCTTAGCGGCCCATTCAACAATCAAGTGCCCCTGCCACATCTGCCGCAGGCCCATTTCTATGGAGCGCCTGAAATCGACTTGCCTTTGTTTTCTGGTCAGAACAGGTCAGCGACTGATGGAAGCTATTCGTTCTGTGCGTTCGACACGATTGTCAACCCGTCATTTAAAGCCTCAAGAATGGGAAGTAGCGTTCTCCTGGTCGGGACGGATGGCGGCTTGGAGGTCCTCGCCATCGAAGATCGCAAAACGCGTCTTGTTGGAAAGTTGGCTGGTCTGAATGGCCGTGTCGTTGAAGCCAAGTTGCTGAGCAGCACCTCAACGGATGATCCGTTCCTGTCATCCAGACCCCACGTCGCTGTCATCGTTCATGGACCTACCACTCAATCAGATGATGAGGGCCATATATCTTCCAACAACTCAGAAGCAAACGATATTCCTGCTGGCAGACAGTCGGCCGCCGGAGTGCGTGCCACTAAAGAAGAAACCAGGTATTACCAGACACGAGTTGAGGTGTACTCACTGAGGACGGGAGAACATATAACAACGCTTCTGTCGACCCCACCCAGCCCGTGCTTTGGCAATATACCTGGCCTCCCTGCCTTGGCTCCTTCACCGGCTGGAAATTTGAAGCTCTTTGTGAGTGGTAGCTATGTTGTTGTGGCGTCCGGCTCTAGCGGAGAAGTATATATGTATGGCATGAGCAAGTACCAATGCCTAGGGAAGACGTGGACCAGTGTCAAGTCGAAGGAATCTCGGCGGTACTCTACATCTTCGAGCTCCACTGACCCAGATGGATCTCAATCCGATTCCCCTCATGGATCTCTCAATGCCGATACCCCAATCGTTGCATTGAAGGGGAGATGGCTAGCTATAGTCCCACCGTCGGCCACTTACAGGGCTACCCTCCACGGGACAGTCCCGACGTCTTTGTTACAAGGCAAGGCCTACGGACTTGAGACTCGAAGCCCCCCGTCACGACCCGCAATAACCTGCGCTACTGACGTCGGTGAGGGCGAAAGCTTCTTCGGCAAAGTAGCTCGAGGTGTCACCCAAGAGCTCATGCGAGGTGCACGCTGGATGGGTGACCAGGGACTACAGGCATGGAACAGTTACTGGAATAAAGAGCAGTCGCAGAGCATGCCAGCACGCCGGTCCCCTAATCTGATGGACTTTCCTCCACAGGGATACAATCTCTTTCCTCCCACACATGGTCAAGAAACCCAAGCTATGTCGGCTGCTGAGCCTGACCTAGTATCAATCTTCGACTTGCGAAAGCTTGATGAAGGTGGGGAAGCTAAGACTGCTTTGTTCAACCCGGTGGCAACTTTTCAGGTACAAAATGGCTGCAGCTTTCTTTCCTTCTCTCCTAACGGCCTCATGCTGTTTACAGCGAGCAAGAAGGGGGATGTTCAGTATGTTTGGGACCTCATGCAGGCCAAATACTGCCGAGCAGGTGCTTTCATGTCCGATGATCCGGTAGCTGCACAGCCAAGCGTGCGACAGGTTGCTCGGTACCCACGATTGACTACATCTCATATCGTTGACGTGGTCTGGTGCCCACCTTCCGGGGACAAACTAGCAGTGATTACGAGTAAGCCGACGGTGCATGTTTTTGACCTGCCACGAAGCGCCTTCCATTGGCCCCCCTTCCGTCGGTCTCGACCACAGCCCGCCAAAGCCCATACTCCCGATATCCCTGCCGAAGAGATTTCTGATCGGGTGGCGGCCGCAAATCCCCTATCGGCCGCTTTTAAGATGGTTGGCGGTAAGACGCAGCCAATCCTTGCTGCAGTCAGGAGCCGTACTCCATCCACCGGAGCTGCTTTCCCCTCTGTCGGTGGCTTTGCAATACCCGCTGCTGGCGTGAGTGGAAAGGCGGTCGCTGCTGGCCTTAGCAAATCGATGGGGGCCGCCGCCACCGGCACCGTTAAAACGGTCAACACCTTTCGACACGGTGGTGAGCACCGCCTGCACCTGTCCAATCTTTCCCGGGATCCTGTTGCCTCTCGTGTGACGTGGATCATCCATAAAGGCATGCCTTTCTTGGGCTTGATAGACGGGGGGTTTTTCCGTCTGTATAGGATCAAACGTTCTACCTCGCCCAGTAAGAATCGACAGGTGCAGTCGGTGATTGGAAATAAAGAACTCGAGTTCCGCTTGCCTCCCCAGATGCAGACCCCTTGCGGCCCCATGACTGTGGGTACCTCCAACACCGAAACAACCGTGTCTGCCACGTTGGCTCTGCCATCTTCGAATCTGCGACCGCTGCCGGCATCGAAGCTCAAATGCCAGCCGCTCTCGCAGGCAGAGATTGAGACAAACACCCCATACCAGCCCTTCCATACCGACCAGAGGGTGAACCTTTTCGTGTTCTCCGAGGCGGATGACACCGTAACCTCGGTCCCGACTGGTCAGTGGGCGTTCGGCGGTCCGATGTCGACCACGAAGCTTCATGTCCGTCCTTTCAGCGCCAGCAGCGAAGAGGACGACGACGACATGGTGCATGAACAGCACGCGGGTTTCGGTGCTGAGATGGAGAATTTGATCAGCCTGGGAAATAGTACAGGCAATGTGGAAGAGGTGGTGATCACCACGCGGAGGAAGAAGAAGCCATTCTCGGCGCTGTCATTGGGGGGCGGAGTCGATGACGGCTTTTTCGAAGACGACTGTGAAGTCTTAGACTTTGCCCGGGACCGAGTCTAGTAGCGACATGTACATATCATGTCACCGGCGGGGCCTAAGTGAAACTGAACTAATATGCCATATTTTAGACTTACATCGGTATCGGCGTTGGTGTGTTTGGAATTTGAGTGCACTCCTTTCTGCTCTTGCCTTCGATGCCCTGCACCAGGATCGACCGCATTGTGCTTGCAGGAGCTCAACGCCATGGCGGGATCATGGGTTAATGTCAGCATTGCATGCATTGCATCCGACCTTGCCATTCGTTCATTGATTGTGTTTCTGCCTCGCACAGCTGTATCTTCAGGCATAATTCGTGACCATTCGATTTCGATGTTACATCCTGTGTTACATACCCAGTACTGTACTGTGAATCAATAGATGAATCCTATGGTGTTGCTTTTGGTAGAATCGATGCGTACGGAGGACTCGACATGCCATGGCCCGGTCTGCAGGGGAACCTTGTCCTGACACAAGCCTTCAACCATCATTTTTTCCTCCAGGATTGGAATAGTGCCGACGTAGTCCTAGTCGATCCCATCCCCGATCCTTGCAATAGCTCGGACCTAATCGAAATGGAGATATGGCGATCGACACGCGTACCTTCCGAATAAGATGCATACGTCAGGTACGTATCCTGTCTTTCTCGGTTGGATACGTGCTCGGCATAGCCCGATACCTCCATCCGTTCGACCCAGTTCGGCACGGCGGATCTGCAACTACGATCGACTGACTGGGTCTGTGACTGAGACCTGGACCCAGTATTAGACCCACTGAGGGGGTGTTTACTGCTTGATTATTGTGGGTAATGGGTATATCTACTATGAGTGATAGTACAGTTTGACTTGGTTGTGTTATGTAATGAACGAAATCCATCAATCAATATGTGAGTACCTATAAATTGATGGGATCAATCACATCGCTAGCTCAGTACGATCGTCACAAGGTATTGAGAAGTGAAGAGAAGAGAAGAGAAGGAATAAAAAGATACAGAACCGAAGTAAGATATGGGTTAGGATAGTTGATTGAAGTATATAGATAAATCAAGCAAGTCAAGCAAGTAAGATAAAAGCGCATGAATACAAATTTCACATATTACTATTTGTTCTGTTTCCCGTAACTCAATAATAAGGGGTCCATCATATTAACACAGAGGTGTAGGAGGGGGAGGGGGTCTGGTATTTGCGGGGGTAGATCTGGTGTGGCTTGGTTCATTTACAGAGCCCAAGCAGCCAGAATGAATCCCACGACACCGGCCGCGGAAACTCCCAGCTTGAGCTGCGTGATGGCAGCGGCGTTTTCGGTCGAGCTGGCGTGAGAGCCTGTCGCAGTGCTGGTTCCGGTTCCAGAACCAGAGGAGCCGGACTTGTGGTTGGAGCCTGTGTGGGTGTGAGGGTTAGTATGTTGGGGATAGATGGGGAGTGGGAGGAGGAGGGGTTGGGGGAAGGACGTACTGGATCCAGTGGATGAAGAGGAGCTTCCACTCTTGGTGGTGCTGGCGTCGTTGGAGCCGGCCGTGGTGGCGGACGAGCCCGACGCGCCAGTCGCGCTGGCTGGGAAGAAGTAGCTGCTGTAGCAACTGCTCTGGCAGCTGGCGTAGGACTTCTGGTCGCTGGGGGAGCCGGAGCCCTGGGGACAGGCAGCAACGCAGCTGGTGGTGTCGTTGGCCTGGGCGTTGTTGGGGCAGGGGACTTGGTAGCATTCAGCGATGCAGCAGATGTCGGTGTCAGCGCCTAGGATTTATTAGTTGGGTTTGAGTTGGGGAGGATAGTGGTTGTGGTTGGTGGGGATGGAGTAGGGATATGCAGGCCGTTGGGCTATGCGGACGGGATTGAAATCGAGCCGGGATGATGGATGATGGGGAAATGAGGTGCATGGTTGGTTGGTGATGGGGGAAAGAAGCACTTACACTTGGTCGCGCAGGAGGCCTGGGGAGACAAGCTGGCGGTGGTGGTCGCGCTGGCAGTGGTGGAGGAGGCGTCCTGGGCGACGGCCAGGGCCAGTAGAGAGGACAAAGCGAGGGCGCTGTTGAACTTCATTTTGGTGGATAGAGAGATAAATAGATTGAGAGATAGATCAATGAGGGGGGAGGAAACGACAGACGTTAGATTGATCTGGGGGTGGAGAAGATAGCGAACGAGCGCAAAAGGTGGGACAAAACGAAAGACTTGTTGGTTGCTGTGAGGAGAAGGAGAAGGAGAAGAAAGAAGAGGAAGGGAAAGGAGGAGCGAGCGGCGAAGATAAGGTGAAAGGCGAGCAGACAATGAATGAATGAGCCGGGGTCACGGCCAGCGTATCAGGCGATACTGGATTCATCCGCTGCCATTAGTGGGGTTTCAGCGACTAGACATTACACAAGCTAAGTAGCTAACAGGTAGTCTCCTCCTCTCTCTCCTCATTTTCGGGATGGTCTCACTCTGGTCCGGAGCTAGTCCGCACCCTTACATGAAGTGGCGATTCCATTCAAGTCAATATGTCGGGAGGAGGCATCGGCCTATCTACATAATACTACATTCTAGGGGACCCAATCCGGGGAAGAAATTGCGCAGGAGCTTAAAGAGGGGCGCAATGCACAGTCCATGTCTGAGATCGGAGCCTGCAATTTCGAGGGCAGAAATGTCGGAGAAGTCAGAGTCAACGCTGAACCCTGAAAATCTGGGGACTGCGCAGGATCGGCTAAAAATAACCCTAGCAACCACAACCAAGGCTAAGAGCGACTACTAAGTCACTAAAGGGGCCACTAGTGAACCATCACTGTCCACCAGCCGGTCTTATCGCCTGGATGGAGTCGGGACAGCGCATCCAACGACACGGAGCACGGTCATTGGTGGGCTGGCCTGTCAGAAACTGTCATGAGGACTGGCTGGAATGTGGACGAGGGTAAAGTGTGGCACGGGGGACAGACAAGAATAATGAAGAATCGAATAAATAGGGGCCATGCATCATGCATCGACGCAGTACTTGCTACTTTGGGATTAGCGTGACTCGGGCAGATCCGACGTGGTTCTGGCCAATCCCGAGTCGAGGCACTCTAGGCACTCACCCCCCCAAAGGCAATTAATCGCCCATCATCAGCATCTCATGACATTGACGAAGGCTTCCATGGCACGCAATCCATCTATCATAGGCTCGGATTCCAGGTCCCGAGGGGTCCTCCTCGGCAACCGGGCTATATTACCTCAAGAAAGAATGAAGGAAAATGTAGTTGATTCTGCATATTCAAGTGTTAGGTAATGTTGCCGCTCTAATCTTATTTAGTTTCCTGTAATTGGTTCGGTTGAAGCAGACCATCGAGGTTGTCGAGAACATGCTGATATTGTTTGTATGGTAGCATTCTTACTTCGTATACCGTCGTAGCAGATCGAAAGGGGTCGACAATAGGGAGAACCAGGCCCTTCGATTCTCCTCTGCCCTGGAATGAAACGGACACAGGTCGGGCGGCTCTGCATGAGTACCTCCTATCGGGAAGGGGCATCTGAGAGCAGCTATAGGACCAAGGCGAGTCACAGTATGGCCTAGAAAGGGGACCGATTCGTCTGAATCAAAATCGTTCTAATTCAAACCCATGAGTCCTGTTCGCAATAGACCATTATGGTCGTGGCTCTCGTCGCTCGTTGAAGAGCTGGGAATGAGTTTCGCAATACAGTACTCGAGAACTCCAGTTCTATGTCAAAAGCAGCCCTCCCTCTTGTCGATCAACAATCTCTTTCCAGTCGACGTCACAACCGTCTGCCACATTTTGACGAGCTTCGCGCTCCCTCCATACCCCCTGTAGCACTTCTAGAGCCCGCTGGATATTATGGAAGTGGCGCTTCCCCATCATAACCTCCAGTCGCATGCAAACCATGTCCATATGGGCGCGATGGGTGGCCTCAGCTCCCGCCATGAAAAGAGGGAAGAGAAGAGCGGATTCAACGACTCCGCTGGACGGAATGATTTCAATATGCCGTAAAACGGTTACAATCTCATCTTGTATCTTAGAATGTAGGTCACGATAAAGATCCTCGGGCCAGGTCCCGGAAAGAACGTTTCGGAGCCTCAGTCCGCGAATTGCTCGGCGATAGAGGTATATCAAAGCACTACTGCGATAGGCGTGTGCTAGTGATGCCAGGGCCTGGTTCGTTCCTGGTGGACATACCCAGGCTTTTAGCCTTCTTTCAATCGAGGTAAAGCTTTCGTTCAATGGCATATAATCATTTACCAGATCCAACGGATTGAGACAACTGATATCTGATATGAAGACCAAGATACCGGCGGCAACCCCGAGGTACGTATCAACCACGTCTGTGATACCTTGTAGGTAAGAACCCGGAATCAGCGGCTGCGTTCCCAAGGTTACGCTACCTAGGATATCATGATACGCAAAGTTGCGCAATATCCACTGTCCTTCGGGGCTTTGTTTCAATGCATCAGGCCCCCGTATCAGGGAGCCTTCTGTGGATGTTGAAGACTGAGTAGACATAATTATATTCTTGGCACCAATAAGATGACTGTACCATCTAGTATGCCATCCCAGACAGACCTCCGATGTCATGAGGATGAGACTAGTAGCTGCGTTAACCTCACCAGATGAAATGTCATGGGACGAAAGCGACATTGCTAATGATCTGAGAGCATTGGATCGCGCCTCCAGAGCTGTGAAGCGATAACAGCTATCTCGAGATGCCAAGTGACCGGCCGACCAGGCGACTAAAGCGTCTGCTAGTGCTGGAGATTCTAACGTCATTGGGAGGAATGCTGCACTAATGTCAGCGTGTATAACGTATTCCGGATTACCATGCTGGAAGGCGTTTACCAGAGAGAAAACAATTGTATTGCTCGCTTACTGTCAGAAGTTGGGATAGAATCGTGATGTAGAAATTCATGGCAGATCGGCGCTTGGAATGTTCCACATTGCCGTGCGCATGGGAGGTTTTCCATTGGGACAGCATGTCCATCGTCGGGTTGGAAGCAGCAGAGAATACTTGGCGGGTTGACTCGCGAACACACTCGAGATTCAGGCGCTTGCAGGCCCCGCAGACCGGGAAAGTGTTGAGGGTGCATTTCTTGTGTCTGATTCTTGGCTTAACTGAGACCATGCACAATATGTTGCGGGTACTTACCTGTAGCGGCAGGTCAAGCAACCCGTCTTGTCATGCTTGGAACCATTGCGTCGTCTCACATCTTTCGTCGTCTCTGGGGGTCCCATGTTGCTTGGTCACGGTGAGAAGGAGATCAAAGTAGGAGACTACGGTAGTAGGTCTGGTCTACGGAGTACTGTGCGGATGAAATACGCCGTGGAGATCACGGTGGAGAGATAAGAGAAGGCTGACAAATCTGAATTACATCACAGTAGTACCCTTCGCAGATATATACCCTAAGGTACGCGGATCACCACCTTCCCCGTGTGAGTTGACCCCCACAGATATCCATACGCCTCCCTCACATCCACAAAGTCAAAAGTCCGATCAATGACCGGCCGAATCGAGTTGGACTCAAAACATGCCAGCATCTCCTGCAACTGCTCCCGGGAACCAACAACCACTCCACGCAGAATACACAACCGATCCAATGCCAAAAAAGCAGCATCCGGCCCCCGAAGCTCTTTCCCAGCACCCAGGGGGTCCGGGTTCGTGATATGTCCAATACAATGAATTATCCCATGCATGGCAATAGCATCGAAGGACTGTTGCAAGGTGAGAGTCCCACCGACTTCAATAATGTGATCGACGCCACGACCGTCCGTGATCCTCTTTGCCTCCGCTGCCCAATCCGGGTCCGTTCGATAGTTGATTGTGTGATTGGCACCGAGCTGTTTGGCTTTGGCCAGTTTCTCATCAGACGAGGAGGTCACAATGGCCGTTGCCCCTGCCGCGTGGGCAATCTGCAAAGCGAATGTCGAGACGCCTCCAGTGCCTTGTAGAAGAACGGTCTGGCCTGGTCGCAGAGGGGTCAATCCATACAGAGCATTCCAGGCCGTGAGGGCGGCGCAGGGCAGACAGGATGCTTCCTCGAAGGACAGATAATCCGGGATGCGAACCACCCCAGTTTTGGGGAAGATGAAGTACTCGCCGAGAAGACCTTGGATTTCACCTCCCAGCTGGGTCAGAAGTGTTTGAGGGGTGAGTCGGCCAGCGATGTGGTCTTGGGTGAAGTTTGCGAGGACTCGGTCGCCAGCCTTCCATTCTGTGACCCCTTCCCCAACTTTTTCGACGATACCTACTCACAAGTCAGGATGTGCAATGGGTCGCAAGCAGCTGGGTACATACCTGCACCGTCACTTCCTGGCACGAGCGCATCCGGTCCAGGAAATGGGTACGTTCCGATGGCGAGGATTCCGTCTCTCCAGTTTAGGGAGACCGCTTTGATTCGCACCAAGATCTGACCGTACTTTGGGGAGGCTTTGGGGACATCTCGCAGAACCAAGCTGTCAAAGCCCTTTTTCTGCGGAAGATAGTATTGCTTGAAGGTTGACTGAGACATTGTTGTTTAAGTGAGGATGCTTGCAATTTTTTATCTACCGCGGGGAGGTTTGAGACCATTTATAGGCGACATGTCGGACAACTGGAGACATGATTCCAGAGGAACCCTTTGAGTTTCTCTGTATAGACTGCAGATAGATAGTAGATACGCCATTTACGCCCGGCCGAGACCCACTTATTAGACCCACCGAGAGCCTACTAAAGATACGCCATTTACGCTGAGCGAATCATGGAGATTGTTGGGGGTCGGCTCATAGGAGCAATTATAGACTCTCCTACAGTCACCCTGTCTTGGTATATGAGGGTAACTTGGGTTGCCCTCCATTTAGGGACTTGGGTAGTCTGGAGATAAGAATGCAATCATAACAAAATACAGCTCATAATACACTGAACAGTCTTCAAAATTGTATCGATATAGTTCCCAACATCTCTACCTCAATCTATTAAATCAACCATTATCGTCTCCAGTTGATGAAAAGTACGGCAATATTACAACTAACCCCATTTTCGACACCGTGAAATTTCTTTCACTACTACCTACGAGTATTTTGGTATAGATGCCGAGCGAATCACCGCCGTTTGATATAAGTCGCCGGATGACCATCTAAAAGACTATTCATCCTTTTTCACTGCCCCTTAACATAGTATCCACTCAACCCCACAATCTTCCATCATTTACATCCCCAAAACTCTCCAGTCGCGTTATCGGCATGAATATCGGCTTAGAAACACAGATAGCATGTCTTATCCATCTCACCGGCTTCCTTATCCTCAACATGACATTGAATCCGCCATCCCGGACGAAAATTGGGTGATTAGTGACTTGTGCGCTGCAATACTAATGACGCTTACTTGCCAGGTGGTCAACTGGCTTTGCTTTCAGCGCGCTAACCGATGCTGTCGACCCTAGCAGTCATTTGCCATAGCACTGCGTCTAGATTCAAGTTGGAACAGTGAGTTTCAATCGTGCTTTCCATGGAAGTAAGTTCTGGATACTGTCCACTCGCTGCTTCCCTTCTTGGGTTTTCGACTTTCCCACACCAATTTTACTTACAGAAAAGCTCTCTCACAGTGCCTATCAAGATATCAAGATATACTCAAAAACCGAGAGTATTTCTGTCATCCATTCCACCATTTCGTGACAATTCCCCACCAACCCCGAGGTTCGGCTCCTGACCACGGAGGGTCCTCGTCCATCAGATGGGCCTCCACCCCGCTGGCAGATGGTTTTGGGAGACACCCAAGTGGCACACCACTTTCGACCAATTCGCTTCTGGTGAATATCCTAAGCAGGCGGCGAGATTTTGGCTCGTTTCCAGGCGCCCTAGACTTCGGATCATAGAGTGCCAGAACAACAGAATAGTCGAAATGGGGATCCGCGCCGCAGCTCAGGAAACACTCTACCGTCCGAAGAACGCGAAGTCGGGTCCGACGTGACATATTAACGGGGAGGTTATCGACAAAATGGCCCCATATTGTACATCCTTTATAGCAAATGTTGACATTGGGACATTTCGAAACCATGGCGTCAACGACATCACAGAGAAGGAACGGAAAATCGTCGGAATCACCCCGCTGGTTCCAGTTGGCCTTCTGCATGACGAGAAACTCCGCCCAGGCTGTTCCTGGTCCGCGATCACTATGAACAGTGGCACCATGGCTCAAGAGCTGTTGCATGACTTGGAGGAGAATCACACGACTTGCTGGCTCGATGGTCTGCCACGACTGTGCAATGGAGTTCAGGAATCGGATCCACACAGTATTATCTTTTGCTCCCAGATCCCAGTCTGGATCAGCCCCCCTATCGAGGAGAAGTTCAACCATATCTGGGTTGGGGACCTCGAAATACCCACCCACGAGATCTTGTGTAGTGCATGGAAATAAAGCACATAGCAAAAGTGCGCTCAGGTACTCTCGCGTCTGCAATCTTGGTTCATCGTCAAGTCTTTCACGGACTTACAGAAAGAGGTCTCTTCGAACGCATATAGCCGTGAAGCTACCACCTACGGCCTCGGTTAGATGCCGTATGGGCCCGAAGGTATCCGGCTCCATGAAAGAGTTCAGGAGGTTGGCTCCGAACTTGGAATAGAGAACTGCGATGACACGCTCCAACTCGTCCAACAAGTCTGTCTGGGGACTAGAGTTCTGCCCACAAAATTCAGACTCACGAGCAAAACACGTGGCATTTTCTACCAGTGTTACAAAAAGCGGGCGAATACTCGCCAAGCTCAGTCCTGGGGGCAGACATTTGACTTGTTGTAGGAATGATGCACAGAGCCAACGAAGCGAATCAAATATTGCCAGTAACCGACTTGAGAACATTCCACGCATTTCGTCTGCTTCAAGAAAGTCCCGCACTGTGCGGTGCAAGAAATCAACACGGTAGAGCTGAAAATCATCGGGTGTTGGGAAATTACTTTTGGTACTCCTAGGTATATTTGTACGCCTACCAGAGCTCTGTAGTAACGCTTCTAGAGCAGTTGAAGGTATAGAGGTTTGTGTGGCCGTTGTTATTTCCAGGAGATCCTGACATCTGGCATTCAAACGCTTACTCATAGCCCGGCATCGTGATCTCAGATCAATCGCTGTAAGGGGCTTGATATGTGAAGCAAGCACGAGCCGAACGGGATCGTCTTCATCGAGGAAAGAATATGTCAACAGGCTCAGAGCCCTCTTTGACTGCAAGACAATATCGAAGCATTTCGCTGCTTCTACCCTATATGTTGAGTCAACGTTATTGAGCATGTGGCGAAAATAGGCCTCCAAGTCCGTTGGAAGCATCCGAAGCCTCCGTTGCAAATCCGGGAGTCGATCCTCATTCTCAAGTCCACGTTGCAGAGAACGGACCACGAGATAGACCCAGAGGAAGACACCGTTGGCTCTGCTGACAACCTCGTGCACCAGGTCACATCCTTGCGCATTTTCTTCGTGGATAAACCTTCGATATGTGGCATGTCCACCTAGTTTGGTTTGCACATAGAGGAAATTATCATTTCTCGTAAGGTCTTCCAGGAGAAGATATGGATAATCCTTTTCGCCAAATGCCGCCTGAAAGACATTCCATGGTCGACTGGAGAGACAGAGCTTGACGTTTTTATTGCGATCAACGAGATTGCATAAGAGGTCTATCAGCTCTGCATGATCACCATGGTATTCATCGAGTCCATCAATGAAAAAACAGAACTTGGATGAGATGGTATCCTGTCTCGCCAACCGGTAGCATGCGTCGATCAATTGGGACCTTGACCATAGACCAGGGGATGTGCTGTTCGTCCATTTGTCGATGTCTCCATGCCACTCCGAGGGAAATACCTCTTCGATAAGGTTTGGGTGTTTCTGTAAGACTTCATGCAGTATTGATCGGAGCAGGCCCTCCTGGGACTTCTGAAGCGTGGTGCCAGCATTCCAAAAGAAGAATCGGGCCGTGATCAACTGTTTATTACCAGCCCAAGAACGCAGTGCGGCACGACTGAGCTTGTGGGTGCAGAGAAACTTCATCAATGTTGACTTCCCTGATCCAGCTTTGCCAGAGACCCAGTATATTCCGCTTCCATCCTTTAGCCACTCGTGCAACAAGCATTGAGCAGACGAGTTGGACGAGTATTGCGCACTGAATACCCATTCAAAGGTCTTGGCATGCGATTCTCGGATTTGAGATTGCCTCTCCCGAATGGAGCGGTACGAGAGACTATCCAACAGCCTGGTTTGAACAGCGAGTTTATCGCTGGCCTTGATCCACCGAGAAAGGTTTGATATGGTCTCATTGAACTCGCCTGTTCTGGAATCTTGGACTCGAAACCATGTTGCAAGGCCTTCATTCGCGGCCAGGTGATCTCGCATGCTGGCGACTGCTTCTGAGGCTATTAAGATGCTTTCGGTACATGTCATTTGTCTCCTTCAGCATTTGAGTATTTGCCGCAGTGAGGATTTGTGATTGGCGGTTAATCCCATAGAACTCCTGCAAGGATTTCCATGTTGCAGAGCTGTGATCGCAGAAGATCAACATCAGACATGTGCTCAACTGCTGGCCGTAGGTGTCAAGCTTCCTTGCAAACTTATCAATTTCTCCTGACTTTCTCATGCGTCGCAAAGCAATGCGAAAAGCTTCCCATTTTCTGTGCAGTGAATAGTCTGCCTTTGTTCGTGCTTGGCCATCAGTTGGCGCATGCAATGACGTGAAATTTTCTGCGGCGGTCGAGGTTTTAAGAAGGCGCAAAAGATCATCCAGGTCTTTTGCCAGCTTTTTACATCCCTCGGAAATCTCCAGCAAGAGCTTCTCTCCGCGTGGATACTCATGTCCCGGTAGCGAGGAGGGTAGAAGACGGGCACTGTCGGCCAGCTCCAGGAGCCGCCCGGCCGCGGACTGGAGCTCCGCATCATCAACATAAGTCCCGGTGGCCGACTTGTAGATTTCGCGACTCTTCGAAAATAGTTTGCATCCGAGTTCGACAAATTGGACGACGTTCCCCACGAGTGACAACGAGGACAATGGATCCAGAACCATTCTTGCAAGTGTCGCGGGCACCTACCTTGGTGGGTATTTGACCGGTACTTCTAGAACCTGCACCTAAAAAGGTGACTTGCACAATGAGAAGCTCCTTGATATTTATTCTCACTCGCATTCGTGCCAACAAAGGTGTCTGTGGTGAGCTGTGCTCCGCATGTTGTGTCTGCAAGGCTACAGCCTCCTGCAGGTTGGGTAGAAGAATAGCACTGCCTCGGCAAGGCTGGCCACCCATAAACCTTCTGCCAAGGTAGGATCTGGCTTGTGGTTGGCCTTTGACCAGGGTATTGTCAGCCATTCTTCGTGCATGCGAGACCATCGGGTTGCCTCTTCATCCATGGCCGATCACATCTCTTTACGAGATGACGGGCCACATCCACCCGCATTCATGCGGGGTGGGTGACACAGTGCGACAAATCACTTCCAATCAGACAGAACATCATGCATGTGGTAAGCTGGGACAACCCTGGCAAAGCCTTTGCATACTCTCACCCCAAGCAAAAGCATGGATTGAAATTGGCCTGCATTGTATTAATGACATACCCAGCTTGGGTATGCGCCATTATTCACTATGATCACGAACCAGTTGAAGACTGTTGATGTGGAAGAACTCGCATTATAGTAACTCAAGTTGTAAAAAAAGGCAAGTGAACCTCAGTCTGTCTACAAGCTTCTAGGCTTGCAAAGTATTTACTGCTACTCCATCACCTCGACACAGTGACATTCAGAGAATTAGTTTGTCTGAGTGGATGGGATAAGTATCGCGAATTCGAAGTGGCTTGCTGTCCTGTGCAACAGGGAGCGCCTTGATTCTTTGTCCGCAATCCGAGAACGGATGCCCAGTGCTTCCTGTATCTCCTAGCTATATAAAAGTCCCTAGAGACCTGCCAATGTAAAGTCCTTCAGGCAACACAATTGGTTCAAATTGCTCTCTCCGTCCGGTTCTTCGCTAGAAGCCTGCTCCTTCTTCCCCCTCGGTGGTGAGCACATCAAAACCTTTGCCTATTCCCGTTCTAGGTTAGGGTATGCTATCAACCCAGCGCTGAAGAAATCCCAGCACTAGCTCAGCTGATGTTAGTGCAGTCCCCAGTTGGGCTGGGCCGGCACCATGATTGTATGAACTTAGGAGCGTGGGATTCTACTGGCCGAATCACTTCTGATTAGCGCTATACATGTTTGAGAGCGTGCGTGATTGAGGACTATTAATGCGACATGTAAGTCGCACTTAGTATGTTAAACTAAATGTAAACTAGGGCTCATGGCAGTGCATTTGATATAGAGGGCATCCATAGTTGCTTACTCACAAATTACATAAGCCATACTATCAGATCGGGGCAAGTGATTGCTATCGGACGCGTCGTCGCGTGTGGCCGCTCCATTGTGGCATCGAGCTCATCCTACGAACCACCTCGGGTTCGACATGTCCGGCCTTGATGGTGGCTCGTCCGACTACTTTGATGATGATCTGGCCGACTGGGTTGTCGACCGGCCTTCGGATGCGGCAGGTACTCCAACCGATCCTGATACCCCTCCACCAGCCAAACGCCGTCGCCTGAAAGCTGGGGGAAGTCCTTCAGAGGGTTTACAATCACACCAAAAACGCCGTACCGGTAGTAGCGATAGATTTGAGGCCGGTCCAAGCTCCGACTCGTTTATCGACCATGACGATGACGAACTGCCGTCGCCCGAGCGAGAGTCGTACTACTTCCAGGATGATCAGGACCGGGATGCGCGGTCAAAATACAAGGTCTTCGCTCCAAAGAACAGAAACATTCAGGAGAACATCTTTGTTACTCAGCTAACGCAGCCCCCTTCCCCTCCGGAAATGCTTCGTGGCCCTCGCTGGAAGAAGCCCGATCCTAGCATGCTTCGAACAACCACAACCGCGCTGCCTGACAAGCAAAGGAGAGGAAGCGGTGCTGGTGGTGGCAGTGACGATGACGAGTATGACGATGATGAAGAGATGAAAGCGGCAATTGAGGCGTCGCTGCAATCGTTCGAGGAAGAGAGTTCCCGACCAACTCCCTCCCTACCTTTACATCCGTCCCCTCGTCCTTCAGTCGCCCCCGCGGCTATACAGCCAAGCACAGCCATCGAAGCCTCCGATGACCTTTTCGACGATATACCCGACGATGCCTTTGATTCAGATCTATCCATGTCCCCGCCGCCTGTGGCCCAGTCGCGCCCAGCAGCTCCGTCTTTCACACAATCATCCAATCGCCCATTGGGTGTTCGCCAGACCACACTGTTCGATATGGCTGTCAGGAACCCGGAAAACCAGCCACCGCGCGGTGAACAGGTGTTCTCGCCGCCTGAGAAGAGCGAACCACCTACTCAGCATAAATTAAACCAGGATGCACTGGGTACATGGGTCTATCCGACGAACTTGGGCAAGACTCGGGACTATCAATTCAATATCGCGCAGAAAGGCCTCTTTCATAACCTCCTTGTGGCACTACCGACTGGTCTTGGTAAAACGTTTATTGCAGCTACAATCATGCTCAATTGGTTTCGGTGGACTCAGGATGCGCAGATCGTATTTGTTGCGCCTACCAAACCGTTGGTTTCTCAGCAGATTTCTGCGTGTTTTGGAATTGCGGGAATCCCCAGATCACAGACAACCATGCTCACGGGGGAGGCTGCTCCAGGAATCCGAGCCGAAGAATGGAAGGCCAAGCGCGTGTTTTTCATGACTCCCCAAACGTTGGTCAACGATCTCAAAACTGGAATTGCTGACCCGAAGCGGATCGTTCTGGTCGTTGTTGATGAAGCTCATCGCGCAACTGGCGGTTATGCTTACGTGGAAGTGGTGAAGTTCCTCCGGCGGTATAACCAGAGCTTCCGTGTCTTGGCCTTGACAGCCACCCCAGGCTCGACAGTGGAGTCTGTACAGGCTGTTATTGATGGACTGGATATTTCGAGGGTCGAGATACGAACAGAGCATTCGCTGGATATCAGAGAGTATGTTCATTCTAAAAATACGGAAGTGCAAACATTTCAGAATTCGGAGGAGATGGTCCTTTGCATGGACCTTATGTCGAGAGCCTTGCAACCGCTTCTTGATCAGCTGCGAAGTACAAATGCCTATTGGGGACGAGACCCAATGGGGCTAACTGCGTTTGGTCTCACCAAAGCCAGACAGCAGTGGATGCTGTCAGAATCTGGCAGAAACGCCCATTTTGGTGTGAAGGCCAAGATGAATGCCATATTCACTGTTCTGGCTAGCTTGGCACATGGTATTGATCTTCTAAAGTATCATGGGATCACGCCTTTTTACCGTCATCTTGTGCATTTCCAATCCAACACGGACGGGCAAAAGGGTGGCAAGTATCAACGGCAGGTCGTGCAAGATGACAACTTCAAAAAGCTTATGAACCATCTGCAGCCGTGGACTAAGAACCCAGAGTTTATTGGTCATCCAAAACTGGAGTATCTGAAACAGGTTGTGTTGAATCATTTCATGGATTCCGGTGAAGGTTCCGGTACAGGCGAAAACCAGGATCAACCGGCCACCCGCGTGATGATTTTCGTACACTTCCGTGATAGCGCGGAAGAGGTGACGAGAGTACTCAAAAGATACGAGCCCATGATTCGGCCCCATGTCTTTGTTGGGCAGAGCAGCGCCAAGGGCTCGGAAGGAATGGGCCAGAAAACGCAACTCGACATTGTGCAGAAGTTCAAGAAGGGAACGTACAATACCATCGTTGCGACATCTATCGGTGAGGAAGGGTTGGATATTGGTGAAGTGGACCTCATTGTGTGTTACGACTCCTCTGCTTCCCCCATTCGCATGCTGCAGCGTATGGGACGTACCGGCCGGAAGAGGGCCGGAAATATCACCCTCCTTCTCATGCAAGGCAAGGAGGAGGAATCGTACATCAAGGCCAAGGATAATTATGAAAAGATGCAGCAGATGATAGCCAGTGGTACCCGGTTCACCTTTCACGACGACATGTCTCCGCGCATCCTTCCTCCAGGTGTACGGCCTATTGCCGATAAACGAGCGATTGAGATTCCCGAGGAGAATGCCGCGGGCGATTTGCCAGAACCAAAGCGGCGAGGACGGGCTCCCAAGCGGCCGCCAAAGAAGTTCCATATGCCTGATAATGTCGAGACTGGATTCACCACCGCGTCGCATCTGGCGGGGACTACCAAGCGCAAAACCCAAAGCAAAAGTAAGACTCGCACGCCGACTCCAGAGCCCGTGGAACTGCCGGCGCTTGAAGACGTCTTGCTTACCCCAGCGCAGCAAAACGAACTTGAACACCTCTATAGCAACGCCGGGCCCAGTGAAGAGTTGTTGGTCTGCTATCCCAGGAGCGACGCCTTCCCACGTCTTCAACTCGCCCCAAGACCTACAAAGGCTGTTAGGCACGGGTCCTTGACTTGTCGCATGATCAAGACATTGCAGAAGATGGATCAAGTGAGCCCGGACTGTGAGGATCGTTACAAAGAGGTTTTGGCCCGAGAGTCGGCCTCCCGGCCGGAGACAGTGTCACCCAGATCCGACGGCCATGGGATTAATGACCGTTCAAGGTACAGACCTAGTCCCATTACTATGAATATACCACCCAAAGAAAAATACCCCGATGAGGAAGATCTCTTTGAGATCCAACCAACACCGCCACGAAAGCACTCAATGTTTAAGGCTGCCCCAGAGATTGAACCATTTTACTGTTCACAACGGACGCAAGACGAAAATACGGACGATGATTTCGACCCTCCGGATGTCGACACTCTTTTGAATAGTAGTGTTGATAACAGGACTCGGAAACGAGGCCTGTTTGTCCTTGATGACAGCGATGACTGAATTGGACCTAACGAGCAATGACCTTGGATAGCATACTGCATTGGTACACTTTCGGTTACATATACCCTGAAGCAATAGATTCATTTTTTAAACATCCCGGAAGGCCTCCTTCAACTCTTTTTGAAGTTTTTAGACTGGGAAATGACATGTAGTAGATCGTGCTTCAAATCATCGATCTGCTATCGGAGTATGGAATGTAGTGTCAGATGCTAGAAGAGTTCTAGTACTTGCTAAGTGAACTGTCTTCATTCCATTTGGATACCTGTGTGACACATCCTGCCCTCTTCCCTCCCCTCATGAGTCCTTGGAGAATACACATGAGCAAACCTTCTGTAGCATTAGATGAAGACCGAATTTATCCAAACCCCAGTGGCTTTCACACCCAACAGCCCATAAAGTCACCTTATTCGCACAGCTCGCTGCTATATCTAATACCCATATCTAGATACAAACGCCCCCAAGCAACAGAGGACGAAGCCAGACTAATACCTTAATCAGAAGATAAGTAACTCATGTTTCGCAGCCCAACCACCACCGTTATCAACATCCTTCCTTTTGCTCCGATCATCTAAGATACTCGCCTTGTCTTGTTCTTTTCTCTGTTTTCCTGCTCACATCCTCGTTTGGCACCGTGCCTAACTACACCATTCAAATCATCCGGCGGGGATAAATTCGGAGCAACTAGCTCCGTCACGATCCGACCCGTGAATATTGTGTAAGGCTTGAATGGAATCCTCTCATGCCGAATATTGGGCCAATTAACCCCTTCGGTGGCATTGTTCGAATCCCTAAGAATTGCCAGCATCCTTGCGGATATCTCTATCTCGTAGAGATGGATATATTCTTCCTCGAGTGCGTGGGTGACAAGTAGTCGCGACTGTTGGGAGTAGATGAGCTGGGGACTGACTACTACCAAGCTGGCGCGGCGGCCTAATTGAGAAAGAAGACAGACATACTGTGTAATTTGGTGGTTTTGGTGGTTTTACTTCGCGCTCTTGAAGCTGTGTCAACGCCACCAAAACACATAGGAAATAAGGATCCTCGGCCCATTCGGTTGGGGTTATCTGAGCCGCTCGTTTATTGCGAATACTCGCACCAATGAGATTAAGTCTTCCGCTTGGATCAGGACGAGGCTCGAATTGGTCGAGACGAGCTCCGGTGACATTTGTATAATGCAGATAACCTATTAAGGGGGGAGAATGGCTAGGGGTGAGCTCGGTGGGTTGTCCATGGCGGTGGAACACAGTATAGTGTGGTCGATGAACAGGCTGGCCTGCAAAGAAGAATGGAGATCCTTTGCTGTGTGGTGAAGGGGTCAGTCAGTTGCTCAGGCTAGGCTATGGATAGGTTGAATGTCTCGTTTCTTACCGAGTTTTTGCAAATGCGCGACCCTCACCAACTAGTATGCGGACAAGGCATCGATGCTTCACGTCCATGAATAGGTTGGTCGCAAGTGACTCGACATTACTGAGGCTTCTATCATTATTGGACCCACTGTCGTCGAGGGTTGTCTCTATGCTGGAGGCTTCGATGTCTTCGAATTGACAGCCAAGGAGGTCGAGATGGTGAGAAGTCCAGAAGAGTGGGTTCACAAATAGATCGCGATGATGACGCATGAGAATGCGGAATGTCTTTGGAGCAGGATCAGCTGCCATGGTGGAGATGAGTGGAATAAGGCCGACGCTTCTTTGCCTTCCCTCACGGGTGCTTTTTCTGAATGCAAACGGTGACGTGATGAGAGTTGGTGTAAATGCGAACTGGGCTTATCCACTGTGGGGATGGGGATGGGGATCATCACAGTAGATAATATCACTCACCACTACTAGTACATTCACTTCGAATTAGCAACAATGACCAATCAAGACCAAATCACCGGATAGAGCCTCATTTCAAGAAAAACCTTGAATGTTGCTTGTTTTCAATTATTCTCTTCGATTGTTTCCAACCGGGTAGGTGTGTAGCAGGCAGCAACTGAGCAGCCTGGCGCCTGCCTACTTGGGCGGGCCTGACGTCCCACGCGTTTGGGTTCTCCTTGCTTTCTGACAAAATAACTGGAAAATGACAAACGACACTTTTTCTATTGTTCCTTCCTTGTGATATGCCTCCTCTTCTCACCATGGGAAGGGCCGTTTCACATTCTTCGTCTACTATGTTAGGTTTAACTCGCTTTTTCTTTTTATAGAAAAAAAGGAGGCATTCACCGCCTTTTGTATATCTGTATACCTGCCTAAAGCCATGCGTACACGTCTCAAATTACTGAAAACAGAATCCTTTACGTGTCTTTACGTGAAGGTTCTGGATTCCATGCAATAGAAGGACCCTGGGATAGACAAATCTATCATGTTGCAAGATTGGCCGTATAAACAGCCTGCATTAGCGGCCGCAAAGTGGAGATATGAAGTGGATCCTCAGGGCACAAAGCGTGGAGACTGACGATATCGATGATTGCATAGCAAGATTTTTGTTACTTTTTCTCTGATACTTTTCCTCTTTTCAGGCAGAATATAAACCCTTTATCATATCCGACATATCCAATTGAAATCTCATTTTCCCTTTTTTTTCCGCCGCGTACTCTCAACCTCTTTCCCCAAATTTAGCCTGGAATAGTACCTCGTTATATGCTCCGATGGGTCGTATTCTAGTCACTGGCTCTGCGGATAGACTCGGCCTCAAGGCTGCCCGACGGCTAGTTCAACGAGGACATACCGTTTACCTCCATGCGCGCAATGAAAAACGCGCGCTGGACACCAAGTCAGCCTGTCCCGGTGCTGCGGGAGTCTTGACAGCCGATTTATCCAACCTTGCCAAGACCCTCCAACTTGCCAAAGAAGCGAACGCTATTGGCAATTTCAATGCCATTATTCACAACGCCGGAATGCTAGACGGTCCCTTCCGAAAGACTCCGGACACCGGCATAGCGTCTGTCAACGTCCTCGCACCGTACGTACTTTCGTGTCTAATGCGCCCGCCAAAGCGCATTGTTTATATTGCATCGTGTTGGGACACAGAGTCTTCGTTCCGTCTGTTCTCCAGATGGCCAGCGGATTTCCGTTTTGGCCTACTGGTATGAACTTAACACATCGCAATTGCACCGTCAGGCGGACACGAGCGTGGAGGACGTCTTTCGGTTCAGACGGGGAGAGGCTGGGTTTCGGGATTTCCCTGCATACTGCGACTCCAAGTTCCATGTCATGCTTCTCGCCAATGCGGTAGCTCGGAGATTCAAGAACACAACAGTGTCTTCAGTGCACCCGGGCTGGGTTGCAACGAAACCGGGTGGACAGGGTGCACCGGATAGCTTGGAGGATGGCGTGGCAACGTATGTCATGTTGGCTGAGGGGTGTGATGCCCCGAACCAGCCGGGGAGGTATTTCGACCCGAAGAAGAAGGTCGGGACGCCGCTTCCCGCCACGGCAGATGTCCAGCTGCAAGAGAAGCTTGTCAAGGCTTGTGAAGATGTGACGGGTCTGACACTTCCCATCTAGGGTGCAACAAGGTAACAATGTACATAAGCACGAATTCAAGTCTGTTTTAGAGGGATGCTTAAAAGTGCTGATGTGACACGTGAGGCATGCATGCTAAGCTCGTGCTGACCAACCAGAAAGCAGGCCAGCCCCCTTTCTTCATCCATGTGCCTCTCAACTATCTCATTCACTCACCTAAGTTGTTCGTTCCCTCTGGCGCTTGCCCTTGGATATTCAATGCCTTCTCTGAGGTCATGGACACCAATGCCATCATTGATATCATCCACGTGGTGCAAGGTCAGCTTTGGGTTGACCAGATGAACGAGACCCATCGAACGGGCCGTCTCTGTCAGTGGGTGTCAACTTTCCATCCCGATAAACTTCCCTGTCAACTTGATGGCACCTTTCATCATGGTGCTTTTAATGCCGGCGTGAAGATGGTCTTCCGTGACCGCACTGCCTGGATGGTTCGTTTCCCTCGAGTAGGGATGGTCTCTGACGAATATGCCGACGAGAAGGTGGCCATGGAGGTCACGGCTCTGGATCTTATCCGCCATCGAACTGCTATTCCTGTCCCGAGAGTCCGGGCATGGGGTCCCGCTGCCAGCAACCCTCTTGGTCTCGGCCCGTTTATCATGATGGACTTCATTGAAGGTGTGAGCCTTAGCGATCTTCTCCGAGATCCCAACGCCGAGTGCCCCAGCAGAGTCATGAGGGAGGATATCAGCGATAATGATGTGGAATTTATCTATAGACAGTTGGCGAACTTTTGGCTCCAGCTCTTCAAGCTCGATTTTGACCATATCGGCAGCCTGCCATCGCCACAGGCCGAAGCCCGTAACCCTACACTGCCACGGCCGCTAACATTCAAGGCACATAGTATTCTACAGAATGGAGGAGTTAATACCTTTGGTACGTCTTGTTTCCTCTCTTGATACTCTCAGCAAATGGACTGTCTTGGCTGACGAATGATGTCAAGGTGATCGAACCCAGGGATTTGCGACGACGACCGAGTATTTTCAGTATGTCGTCGGCCAGGACTTGGAACAGCTTGTTCATCAGCCAAACTCGATCGTCGGTGAATACGACGCTAAGAATAAATATTTAGCATTTCAGGTCCTCAAGACCCTGATACCTGACTTGATCAACGCGAAGTATGATCGTTGCAAGTTTAAGCTGATTTGCGACGATCTTGGCTTGACGAATCTAATTGTTCGTGGCAGGGAAGACCTTACGGTTATTGGAGTAGTGGACCTCGAGTGGTCTTACATTGGACCTGCCCAGCTGTTTGGCTCGGCACCGTGGTGGCTTCTTCAAGACAGGCCCGTCAACAGCACGTGGGATTGCGAAGGCGACGAGCCGCCCAAGATTGCCACCCGGTACTTTAAATACCTAGATCTTTTCATACGCGTCCTGGAGGAGGAAGAAGAAGAAGCAGGAATGTCAGAGCACAAAGAGACAGAGCTTTCCAATCTCGTCAAGTGGTCGCAAGCCTCCGGAGCCATGTGGCTGCATATGCTTCTCTCATCTGGTTTCAATGACCATCGCAGTTTTCCTTTTACGCAACTGCGCCGACATGTGGGGACTACCGAGTGGGCAAGGCGTGAGAAGGACTTTGACCACGCAAAAGAGCTTGATGCATTTGCGGAGGGGAAGGTGAATGAGTTGCTTAAGTATGATGAAGCCTTGGAGAAGATAGAGGAGAACAAAACGCTCGTGGATAGCGGGAATATGACAAAGCAGGAATTCTGTGCCAAGGCTCTATCAGAGCCAGGCTGTATTCTCAATACTCCATTAGTGACGCACGATGAAACGAGAAATGGCTAGAGATTGTTCCACAAGCCGGCTGCCTGGCTCGGCTTGCAAGCTGCAAAGCTGAGAGTAACTGATAGGACAGGATGACGATATACTAGATCGCCAAACAGAAAAGAATTTCTTATTCTTTTGATGCCATAGAGAAAACGACAACCTTGTTTAATTCAATTCCAAGAATTATCCACAGCTTCCCTGCGTATCTTGGAATGTTGAACCTGAAGAGACGCCGGAGTCCAGATTTGAAGCATTCTGCAATATCTCGCCCTATCAAACAGTGCTTACCTCTCAAGTCAAATAGCAAGTCATGCTCCTATTCTGTCAAGACCTTTTGCCTTTAAATAATTGATGGAAGGCTTTTTGAAGACACGAGCACAGATGAGGCCATCAAGGCGGTGATGGATCTGCCGGCTATACGATCAACCCTTTCCTGAATAGGCAGGCGGGGAAATTTGCGTAATGTGGCAGAATAGAAGCGGTGTAGCAATAGCCCCACCACATTCTCAATCGGGAAATAACCTAGGGGGCGGCGGATCAGCCCTCGGGGAGTGTTGACGGAACCCGTGCCTAACAGTAGACACAACCTGAACCAGACAGATCCTAGGACATCATCACCATGGCTGACGCTCAATTCGACAGTGCGCTGTAAGTTTCCTCGTCTGGAATTTTCCCTGAAACAACCCAACCTGCAACCCCCCTGGAAGCAAACCGGTTTACGCCGTCAACCCCGCTTGCGGCCTCCCGCTGACCACCCACCTGCTCTTCAGTGACCTTCTTCGGCGCCTCAACCCCCGCGATACAAAGAAAAACCTCCAGGCGATTACTTCCATCGTCCCCGATCTGACCGAAGACCTTCTGTCCTCTGTCGACCAGCCCCTGGAAATCCGCAAGTGCCCCAAGACAAACCGCGACTACCTCCTTTGTGACTACAACCGGGACGGAGACAGCTACCGCTCGCCCTGGAGCAACGAATTCGACCCCCCGTTGGAAGATGGAACCGTTCCCAGTGAGAGAGTGAGGAAGCTGGAGGTGGCTGCCAACGAGGCATTTGATGTTTACCGGGAGCTGTACTACGAGGGCGGAGTGGGTAGCGTGTACTTTTGGGATTTGGACGATGGGTTCGCGGGTGTCATATTGTTGAAAAAGGGTGGGTCTAGAGTGCTCTCTTCGCTTGGCTGGGTTAAGATTGTGTGCTAATGTCTGTTCTTCATGAAGGGGTTACCCCGGGTGCGAAAAGCTCGGGAGAGTGGGACAGCATCCACGTCTTCGAGGCTACCGACAGAGCGCGCATGTCTCACTACAAGTTGACTAGCACCGTCATTCTTCACCTGGCCAATGAGTCCGAAGCCCTCGGTGAGATGGACCTGAGCGGCAACATGACCCGTCAGGTGGAGGTGGACTTGCCCGTTGAGTCGGATGCAAGCCACGTCGCCAACGTTGGCCGACTTGTGGAGGACATGGAGCTGAAGATGAGAAACTTGCTGCGTATGTTCTTATTTATCTCCTTGGTAGATGATGACGTGCACATCGTCTGTGGTCTGGGCTGATTGCTAATCTGACTGGTCCAATAGAGGAGGTATACTTCGGCAAGGCTAAGGATGTCGTGGGTGAACTTAGGAGTGAGTACAGATTTAACCAGCTTGTCAAGTCTAACACTAATGAATGCAACAGGTCTTCCCTCGTTGTCCGAGTCGAACAGGGACCGGGCTACCCACTTGGAGATGATCCGGTCTATGCACAGCTAGTCTACTGTTGTCAATTAAGTAAGCCATGTAGCGTCGTCTGTTGCGTTTTAGAGGCTGTTGCTCATTTACCGTTCTGTTGGTGTATGTACTTTGACTTCAAGGTTCCTGGGGATCCGAATATTACTCGTACCGATGATGAACCGCGAATACTAGAGAGTATTTATGCCTGTATTGAGGGCATAGCGGACCTTTGGGGAGCTCGTCTCCATATTGTGCTAGTCACATTTCGTTCCTGACCATTCTGTGGCTTGCTTCATCCGGATCTCTACGGAAATTGTTCATTACTGCCCATCTCAACCTAGGCATAATTCAGCAAAGTCCTAGCTCCCTACGTGCCCGTATACGTCATCATATAGTCGTGTAAATTCGAATTCAAAGATATCGAAGAGAATTGGGTATCATAGACAGGCTTCGCTCTGCTCCACTTGCTGGCCACACATACAGCGAGACCGGGCACAACCCCCCAATTAAGAAAGCAATTGTACCCAAATCCCGGCGACGTATCCAGTCATCAAGCACGTTCACCAGTTGTAAAACCATGTCATGTCAAACTGTTCCGTCTCCATCATAAATCGTCTCAACGCCAAAGTAACTAGTCAACCTCCATCTTTTCCTGACCATTCTCTGCCTTCGGGGCCGAGCCCGTCGACGCCGAATTGCCAATCCGCTCGACAAATTCCCTCGCAGCAGCCCATAGCTCCGCCTCCTTATCCTTGCCCACGGTATCCTTCCTACTATTAAGCCAACTAACATCGAGTGGGTTCGATGCGCCCGCTGTTGCCCCGCCCGTACCAGGTAGATCCCCCGCTCTGGAAGCCGTCTCCGGAGCTAGAATCGACGCTTCCTCTAGAGCATACACCTGACGACGAAGCCGAACATCAATCGACGAAAGAAGCGCGAAATACTGCGACGTGGCCTCCTTGAAGCGGGCTTGGTGGGATTCAAGAGAATTGTCGACGGGTGACTCGCCCGACCGGGCATTGGTGAGGGCTTGGATTGCAAGTCCCGCGGAGTGAATTAGCTTGGCCACATCCTGTAAATTGCGGAGATTAGTGATGTCGGAGTTGGTGCAAAAAAAGTTGAGATTGCGTCATGGTCGCGGCGCGCGCGGGGAATAAGGTATTATTTCGCCCTGCTCTGCTTTCTCCGATCTTACCTTGTCTATTTCGTTCAATTGTCGGATTCGATCCGCTGAGGTGAAGGTGTGGTCTGGTTTGCGGGTGTCTTTGATGTCTGTCATTTTGTGTGTGTGTTTTTCTTTTTTTTTCAAGTTATCTGCAGAATACCGGAGGAAGCCGTCGTCGTAAGTAGTAAGTGAAAGTGGTGGAGACGGTAGGAGATTGGAGAGATCGGAGAGAGTCAGTCAGGGCTGAGAAGAACAAGCTCCGTCACGGCGTCACGTGCGGGCCAGCCAACAACCCGGGGAATTCTGCTTACCTCAGCCGGGGCCCGACGCGCTAGGCCCGAAGCGCGATAGGGTGATCTCCGAAGTTCAAAACCTTGGCGAGTACTTAAGAGTCCCGCCGTCCGTCACCCTGTTGGCAATCCCGGCCTTGCTCTCTTGTTCCTCCCTCCCTCTCGCTCACTCCCTTTCCTCACTTTACGCGTGAGGCTTTTGAAGCTTGTCTGCACTTGCACGTCAAGCGCGATGTCTGCGCCAGGTGGGGCCCCCAGCCCTGCTCCCCGAAGTGGAAGTATGGGGCCCGGTGGTGGCATGTCTATGCCTCCTCAGCAGCCCATGACGAACACCGGGCCTGTCACACCGGGTCCTCCTGCGCCGCCGCCGCCGCCGCCCGGAGGTCCAATGTCGCAGCAGAACTTGAATCAGATAGTAAGTGATTTCATTGCTAGCACGGCCCTGGTGTTGCTTCTACGGTGTACTACATGTTTCATTGCGTCATGTCCCTGCTGTCCTTCCTGTCTGGGATTGATAGGATGAGGTGTTACTGTTTGCTCTTCCGAGTTCGTGTCATGTTGACGCACTTGGCTTGGGAAAAGCATGTGGATTGATTCCGATGCAATTGTTCTTTGCTGGGGCTCTGGGAAAGCCGGCTTCTGCCTTTGGCCCTTCTCTTTGTTGTCTGCGGTTACTGTCGGTTATGCTGGCGTATATTGCTGCTATGCATCAGCCAGATATCTTATGGCCTTTGCTAACGTATGCCAGGTCATTGATTATCTTGCCAAGAAGGGCTATAGTCGTACGGAGGCTATGCTTCGTATTGAGTCGGCTCATCAAGAGATTGATGGCCGACCTCCTATGCCTCCTCTTGGCGAAGATGCGCGACCCAAGTACAAGATGGGCTTTGGTAAGCCATAACCTAGTCTTGTCTGTCACTATGAAGTACTAATGCAGCATTAGACTTGCTCAAAGTCTGGGTTGAGGACAACTTGGATTTGTACAAGGTAAGAAGACTGTCCGTGTGTGTTGGATCGATGCTGATTTTCTCTGAAGCCCGAGCTGAGACGTGTTCTCTGGCCGCTGTTCGTTTACACTTTCATCAACATGGTGTCTTCCTTCAAGCCCCAGGAGGCCAAGCAGTTCTTCGACTTCAATAAGAACCTCTTCTTGCCTGAGCATACCGAAGATGTTCGCGCATTGGAACCAATCAGCTTGCCAGAGCATGTGCAGGCCAATGGGACCGCCAAGCTTTATCGCACGAACAAGTACCGTCTAGTCTTGAGCAATCCGGCCTTCTCGAACCTGATGCAATTCCTGGAGAGCAAACAGAAAGAGGGCGGCTCGGACATGACCGCCATCTTGAGCAGTTATTGTACTATTATCACCAAAGAGCGTACTGCCGATGACAGGTTCAGCTTCGCAGCCATGCTGGGCCAAACGGATGGCCAGACATTCCCAAGCGAAGATGAAGGAATTCCCGGACACCATCCTGGGTCGGCATACACCGGAGACAACCCTAACATGGCCGGAACTCTGCCCAGGCTGAAGCTCGGAAAGCTTCCTTTAGAGCAGACCCTTGAAACCGATGTGAGAGGCGAGCTCGCAGATGAAGATGCCAGACACCCTCCCGGGCCTGGGCAGAACACCCTGATTCAAGAGTTTGACCAGATGATCAAGAAGGAAGAAGATGATGAAGCACCAACTCGCGCTGATATCCCTTATCCTCCGTCGACTGCTCGCGACGTGGCCATAGAGGTTCAAAAGGTGAAGGAGAACCGTGACCGGTTCAGGATCGAAGGCAGGACCGGTGGTGTGGGCCCGGCAGTGAGCGTGTGCATGTTTACCTTCCACAATACTTACGATGGGTAAGCAATTCAGTCATCACGCTGGTAGATCCTGACTAACGGACAAAAGCGTCAACTGCTTGGACTTTTCGGATGATCTTATGCTCGTCGCAGCTGGTATGCAAGAGTCATACATCCGGGTCTGGAGCATGGACGGCAAGAGGATCCAATCCACTTATGACACCGTGGACGACAATGCAGTTTCCAACTCTCGTCGCCTGATTGGACACTCCGGACCAGTGTACGCGGTTGCATTTGCGCCATCAATTACCCGGGCAGACAATGCCGTGGCACCGACCAACGCTCGTTGGCTGCTCTCATCCTCCGCAGATAAGACCATCCGCCTCTGGTCCTTGGACCTTTGGCAGTGCATGGTTGTTTACAAGGGCCATGACCAGCCGGTTTGGGATCTCCAGTGGGGTCCCTACGGCCATTACTTTGTTTCTGGTGGACACGATAAGACTGCCCGTCTTTGGGTCACGGATCATATCCGCCAGCAGCGGATCTTTGTTGGGCACGACCAAGACGTCGACTGCATCTGCTTCCACCCGAACTCCGCTTACGTCTTCACTGGCAGCTCCGACCACACAGTCCGCATGTGGGCGGTTACCACAGGCAATGCAGTCCGCATGTTCACAGGGCACACTGGCAACATCACAGCCTTGGCGTGCAGCCGAGACGGAAGACTTCTTGCATCAGCAGACGACCATGGATCCATCCTCCTATGGGACCTTGCACCCGGCAGACTCTTGAAGCGCATGCGCGGACACGGAAAGGGCGGCATCTGGTCCCTAAGCTGGAGCGTTGAATCGACAGTTCTAGTATCTGGTGGCGCCGACGGTACTGTCCGCGTATGGGATGTCACAGGCCCCGCACAAGACCCTTCACAAGGACGCGTCGTCGGCGAAGGCGGCGCCGGAACCAAAGTTGACGGCAGCAACCCACCCGCAGCGAGCACGCAGGCCCCCAGCGCCGTAGCCCCAGGAATGGGCAAGAAGAAGGGCAAAGACGTGGTGGTGACACCTGACCAAATCAGCGCTTTTCCCACGAAGAAGAGCCCGGTCTACAAGGTGAAATTTACGAATATGAATTTGATCATTGCTGGGGGCGCGTATCTTCCTTGAGGGGACATATATGCACAGATACCCGTTTCTTCTTCCGTTTTTTTCTGTTCTGCTTAATCCGATATCCTGGTGATTCATCTGCATGATAGGTCTTTCTGACAGGATACTCAGCGGCATATGGCGTCTAGGGCATTGAGGGTGGCATTGGTGTTGGTGGCGGCGGCATTGTAATTATGATTTACTCTGGACTATCTAAACGGTACCCAGAGACAGCTGTGTTTGAGTATAGCTAGCTAGCTAGGCTACCTTTGCATTACAACCATACATACATACATACAGATTTTTCGTCTACGAATGGTATCATCACTGTACAAAGTAGAATAAGCCTGCCTGCCGATCTATCTATACCTAGTATGTATATCCATCCGACCCAGGCTCAATCTTCTATCTAATATTTACTTAGTGCTTAGTACTTACACCTTCTTGAACGGACCTCCAAACCCCCCAGCACCCTTCTTCATCGCCGCCGAAGCCTGCATATCGGCCACCTTGGGTGGCAGAACCAACGCACTCCGATCGTTTCGTCTATAAAAGTCCACCAAAATCTGGGCCGTCTTGGCCGGTTGGTCTTCCTGAATGAAGTGGCCTGCTTCGGGCAGGACTTGGAGTTGATATTTTCCTAGACATATTGTTAGATTTAGGATTATATCAGGTGGGATATAGATAGAATAGAAGGTAGTGAGGTGGATGTAGAGGGAGAGGAAGAGGGTGAGGAAGATTAAGAGGAAGGGAAAGGGAGGGGAGGGGAGGGATGCATGCCCTGCATCTGTCCAATCATCAACTCTTTATCTAGTCGATCTGTTCCCGCCAAAAGAAGTAATTTGCCGCCGCGAGCTTCGAGGAACTTGCGGCTGAGTCCGACGAACCAGTTCTCCCAGAAGGGCTTTGTCTCGGAGAGGTTGGTGCGCCAGATCCAGGGTTTGGTGGGGTCGGGGGGATTAGGGTCCTCGTAGAGGAGAGAGGGAACGGACACCCGCGCGGAGGTTTTGTTGCGGATTGTGCGGGAGCGGGTGCTGTTTCTTTTCTTAGTATTGGGATACTTATGGTTGTGGTGGGTTAAAGGAGGGCAAGAGATGGGGATGGGGATGGGGATGCGTACTGCCATTCTATTCCCGATGTGATGGATGGGAAGCGGGATGGGCGGGTGGAGAGATATGTTTCCATGCTCTGTAGGGCGTCCATGGCGGATCCTGTGATCTTTTAGCATAATCCCTGATGTGATGTCTGGGGTGGAGTAGTTTCAGGGGTGGTGAATTGATAGAAGGTTGTGGAATTTACCCTCGACAACATCCAAAACAGCATACGCCAACACCTTCCCCCCCAACTCACCCTTCCTGGCAACATCCGTAATCACCGCACCACCCAAACTATGGCCTACGAGGATCAGATCTGGGAGACTCTCCCAGCCCATCTGGGATTGTGTCTCGCGGATCACAAACACCAGGTCTCGGTTCAAAGTGTCGAGACTGAGATCCAGCTCGATGTGTGTCTCCTCGCCGGACGCAGTGGTCACCGCCGTACTGCCATGATCGCGAGCATCTACGGACAAAATGCCGGCTTTGGGGACGATCTTGCGGATCTCTTCAGCGCAGGCTGCAAAGGAGAGCCCAGATGAGCCGGCGCCGTGGTGCATGACGAAGAGGGGACTGGTTGGATCTACGGGGGGCGTGAGGTAGACATGATGGGTGGTTTTGATGTTGTTAGTTATGTCTATTTGTGTGAGGTAGAGTTCTTGGGTGAAGAAGTCTGTCCATGGGAGTGTTGTTGGTTGCAAAGATCTGATGGGTGTCAGTTTGATGAAAAGGGGATGGATAGTAAGGTATACGCACCCCCGACCGGGCCTTGCGAATAATTGTCTGCTCGGTGAGGGGACCACCGTCCCCGTGGACGAGGCGGAGGAGGAGTCATCGTCGTGACTGGCCTCCTCGTCGAGGGGTTGCATTGACGGGCCGGCGGGCGGTTGGAGTGGCAGCTTGGCCAGTCTGGACTTGGCAAAGGATTTTTGCAGCTCGCTCATGAATGCTGCGCAGCTAGGTTGGATAGCGTGACCGCGGGGTTGTGGATAGGGTTAGCTCCAGGGTTGGAGACGTAGACGTGGACGTTGACGTTGGAGAGCTGGAGTTGGAGCTGGAGCTTGAGAGTGGATCATGCGGTTGATTGGGGGGTGGTTTAGTGGCGGGTGGTTACTGTTGGATCTGAAGGGGAGTGGTGCGCATTGATGCTGCAATCACCCACTGCCGATCATGCCCGGTTTCTTGTGAGGTGGATCGATGTCGATATCTTCCTGAATGAAGTGGAGGCACGAAGTACTGTGTAGTTATAGAGAGGTGAAGGATTACAGCATCATCCAAGAAAGGCTGGCAGGATCCCCGGGTACCGTACCGTACCGTCGGTGGTGATACCGCGTGCCCCGGATCTTTCGGTCCATACATCGGAGTCGTCCCCTGCCAGGAATCCTTTTCCGGCGGAGATCTGTTTTCTCGGCAGTCTCCAGAGGCTCTGCTGCAAGGATATTAACATAGTATCTTCTGGAGGTGGTGATGAAGTTGGAGGGACCCCACAGGAGATGCTGGCGCGACGCTGCTGCCAGTCACCTGACTGGGAATTCACGGCGTGCACGGTGAGCTAACCGGAAGGGGATAGATGGTTCTTTCCATCTTCTTTCTCTCTTTCTTCTTATCTTTGTTTTATCTTCGTCTCATCTCTTGAGGGACCTCCACACATCCATCATCATCACCATCACCATCATCAATTCCCCTCCATCTATCTCAATCCGGTCCGTCATTGACTCTCACCCTACCCAAACTGATGGCCGAGACAACCATCGACGACGGTAACATGCGCCCGCCATGACGTCACTCGGACACACGAGACGCGGTGCCAGTTGCGCATTCCAGCCAGCCAGCGCCGCCGTTGATGCTCTTCATCATCATGGATCACTTCCTCAGCCATTGCCATCCGGTGACGTCAGTTTCACCACCATGAACCTATCCATCGGCATCCCGACCGCGATCGCGCAGTTGTTTCCCCATCTCGACCCATTTTCCTCCCCCGCAGACCTTCCTCCTTGGTGCAGCTGGGCCTAGGGTGACAATTTCAGCACAATGGTATCCTTCAAGTTTAGAAGAGGCGATGATGCCGACAGAAACGGCGAACAGAGGGAGCATGAGGAGGATCGGCGGCCCGAAGAGCCAGATGAGCGTACACGACTCCTGCCGCGCGAACCCCCTGCCTATTTGAGCCCAGATGATCCCGCCGTGAGTTTTGATCTCGGGGAGTTGCTCATCGCTTGCCATGGCTGACTCTGGACTCTCTAGGTCTCTCCCTACAACCTCTGGGGAATCCGAGCCCTACGGGCCCTCTCCTCCATCTTTCTTGCCCTCAGCTTCATTTGGTGGACCTTCCTGCTCGTCTCCCTCTTCGTAAGCCCGCCGATGATGCATTCCCGCGGATCTGGCTTCTTTGGCTTCGCCTACACCACTCTGACGGCTGGATACCTCCTACTGGGGATCCTCTTCTTCGCCGTCCCCTCCAAACCCATGAGAGTGTCCGGCTTCGTCATTGCAGTCTTCCTTTGCGTCGACATGGTCCTTACCCTGGCCGTTCCTCGTATTCGTCTCGAAGAAGGTTGGGTGGGAATCGCCTCTGTGGTTTGGGCAACCTTCATTTCCCTGTACACCATCGTCCAGAACCAGTCCGTAGCATGGGGTAAGCGAGAGGAAGAGGAACGCCTGACGGGTCGTCCGGAAACCCGCCGTCCCCTTCGCGAATGGATCGCCGTCCTCATTCAGACCGTCTTCCTGGTGATCTTCGCTATCATTGCCATCCTGTTCACCGCCACCCTCATCCTCCGCGCCCGTGATGCCTCTCTACCAAACCCTGGCAAGAGATACCTCGTCAACGGCGACAGCTACCAAGTCCACCTCGCCTGCGTCGGCAACACCACCCACAGCCTTGGCGGTAACACCCCCACAATCCTCATTGAGGGCGGAGAAGGGCCCGTCGAACACACCCTTCAGCCCTTCATCGACGATGCATACCAATCCGGCGTCATCCCCCGATACTGCTACTGGGACCGTCCCGGCTTCGGCTGGTCCGACAACGCTCCCTCCCCATTCTCCGCTGGCATGGGGGCAGATGCCCTCTCCGAGGCGCTCGCTCTAGCTGGCGAAGAAGGTCCCTGGGTTCTAGTCTCCTCCGGCATCGGCGGCCTCTACAGCCGCATCTTCGCCAGCCGCCACCTCCTCGAGATTTCCGGAATCCTTCTTATCGACACCCTCCACGAAGACTATCTCAGCAATATTGGCTCCTCCGGCCGCGGCTTTACCCTCTGGCTTCGCGGCGTCTTCTCTCCACTAGGATTGGATCGTCTCGCGGGCGCGCTCTTCAAGGGACGCACGCGTGAAGACCGTGTTTATGGACGCAGCTCCTACCAAACGGGCAAAACAATCAAGGCAAAGCTGCAGGAGAATCTAGTGGCAGAGTCGATGACCTCCTCGGAAGTCCAGACCGCTCGACACATTCAGATGCCGGATACGCCGGTCGTGGTGGTGAGCTCGGGAATGGAGGTCAAAAGGAGCCAGAAGTGGGCAAAGAAACAGGAAGAACTGACCAAGATCACGCAAAACCTCAAGGACTGGGATATTGTCGATGGAGCACCGCATGAAGTTTGGCGGGCCGTGGAGGGGAGAAGAGTCATCGAGAAGAGGTTGGCTGAGTTGATTGGGAAGGAGTAGCTCCCTTATTACGCCCTTACGTTCTGTTTTCTATCTATTTTCTCTATTCATGTTATTTTCTCCATCTATCTGACTATTCATTCCTCCGGCCCTTTGCTCCTCTTCTCGTCCTCTATGTACCAGCTTCTGATATCACATTTCTCAACATGTCCAGCCACTCAGCTCATGATCTACTTGCTCCCGTGCATGAGATTGACGATACGATACATGCATAAGCTCAGTGTTAAGTTCATGATAATGTACAACTTGATCATTATTCATATCCATTTGTTCGCGTCACGTATGTATCATTATTACCTTATATTCTAATTGAAATTAAAATAGCTACCCAAGTCCATCTCATTTGACTTTTTTGTTACTTTGTAGCTAAAGAATAATGATAATGATCGATCGACCCAAGCCAACAATACAAAATAAATCAGCCCGCCCCCTATTGAAGCACAGCAGGTAAGCGAAAGCAAAGAAATATAGCATGATAGGTTTGGTTTGTGAGCGGCGTAGTAGTGCTGGAAAGATGGAGACTGTGTCGGGGTCCCGGAAATGATATTGGCAGTAATAGGTAGTAAGTAGTAGGTAGATGGAGGTATGATGTCATATCATGTGGGATAAGTGAATACGATCAGAGAGTGAATTAGCAAGCAGGTTTCTGAGATTCCGATTCCGATTCCTTTCCTTATCCTCATCCTCTTTCCATTCCCGTTTCCTCCTCTAGGTGCACGTATGCGGTTTATATATTGATGATGGGGTTGATCGAAAAGGGTTGAGGTTGAAGCTGAGGCTGAGATTGAGATTGAGATGGAAATTGAGAGAGAACACGGAAGTAGGAGACTGGGATGGGTGGGATCGGTATCGGACTAGTCCCTTCATTCTAGACTAGCTCCCTTAAACCTCTTAGCAAGATGTTCACTTTCAGATCTGGGAGACTCAGGTCTGGTAAAGGGGGTGGAACGTTTTCCGGGGTTGGGCACTGGGCGTGGCGGGTAAAGTTCGGCTGTGCTCAGCCAGGGGCGCTTAGGGGGCCGCTCACCACTTTCCTGAAGAATGGTAACCAGGGTGGCCCATCCGGGGGTGTTGATCAGTTGCAGCCCGTCTGCGGGAGCACGTTGCGTCGCGACGCGGCAAAGCAATGCTTCTTCGTCCTGGAATAGAGTTAGGAGGGTCCTGGAAGAGCCGGGGGGTTGATCGGATAGGCCATGACGTACCTTATTGAATGTCGACATTGAATGAAGGAAGCACAGCATGTGGAAGTCCGAGACGGCTCGGATCGCCTTGTCCGGGTCGCCGTGGGTCACCAACTTCCTCGCCACGTGGACGAGCTCCTGGCTCTCGCCGATGACTTCGCGATGTTCGATGGGGAAGCTGCTATCTGTGAAGAGAGGGGAGGAGTCCGTGGGGAAACCATGTGTCAAGGTGACTAGAAGGTACTCGACTGGGAAACTGGGTTTGGCATTCTGCTGGGCGCTGATCCCGTATTCGTTGATCTTGCGGTAGAAGACCTCGGGAATATACCGAGACTTGTTCTCGGTGTCATCTTCTTCTGATTGTACCAGCATCACAGAGGGCTCCGCTGACGGTTCGACGATGTCCGCTCGGACCATCTCTACAGCGGCTACCGACGCCTGGTAGGCACTGATCGAGATGGCGCCCTCCTCGTCACCACTCAGCACGCAGGTGACAAAATTCGAGCCGAAGCGGCCGGTTCGGCTCCATTTCGTAGCCTTCGGGGACTGCGCTTGCAACCGCGCCGCAAAAGCGATCTCCAAGGATGACAGGTAGTAGGAGTCAATGTGTCGTTTGCAAATGACTGATCCGTCTCCACGTCCTGCATCCAGCAGGTCTGTGAAGATCACTCCAACCTTCTCCAGACCACAGAGACGTGCAACCTCATCCACCTCCTTCTCGTTTTGCCATTCATGGAGCGTTACCCCATCCACTTCATCCACCTGTGGCGGTTCATAGATGGCCTGCACCACCGCCTTCACGCCCAGTGGAACCTCCTTATACTCTTCGTATGTCCCGTACAAAAACCCTAACCGTTGAGCACCCGACTTCCGCCAAAAGTCAAGCAGGGAGTTGATGAGATCGGGCGATGAGAACTCCACATGGTCCACCATCCGGAACTCTTGTGGCTGCAGACTGATCGCACTCGGCTGGCACTTGGTACAGATGCCCTCCGGCCACTGGGGATGTCCAGAGGGACAGTCTCGCCTGACCCGGTAGTATGGTTCACTGAGCGGGGGCATGAACGAGCTCCCAAGCTCGGCTTTGTTAGTCGAGGCATTGATTTTCCGCAGGTACGAATGGAACGAGAGATGCTTGATCTTCTTCTCCGCCAAGTATTTGGGGTCGTATGGCTCGAGCGGCATGCAGTAGTCACACATGCCTTTAGGTCCGTGTCGGCACATCTTATCCTGTTTCCGCTGAATCTTTCCGTCCTTCTTGTCCAACATGTCGTCCAGCGGCGATTGTTGCACCACATCCCAGGGGTTCTTGATTGTGGCTGTAGGGGAGCTCGGTTGGGGAGGGCGGAAGGCGACCGTTTCGGTTTGGGGCACGGGGACTCCATTCAGGCGCCGCGACGAATCTCCGGCGACAGAGGTTATGTTGCCATTGGTGGTGCCGTTCAGTCTTCCTTGATTCTCTTGGTATCCTATGAAGAGCTTATCGCCGTGTCTGGACAAGCGAGTCGAGCAGTGTTAGCAGCCGTGACAGGCAACCCGAACAAGCGGCAAATCTGTCAACGTGCGAGTTAGGACTCACTTGATACCGACTTGATCAAAAGACACGCCATCTAAGCTGCTGAGGAGTCTCTCTTCACCACCGGTGCCAATAGGCCGGTTGGAGAGGCTGATGGATGAAGGATCGACGTCTGGTGGGAGGCGTTCTAGGATCTGAAATAACGAATGAGCATTTTTCGAGCCATCCTCTCAGATACCTCGAGGAGAAAGAGTACACACCTGTGGCTGCAGAGTAGGGAACAGATCTTGCGGGTTGGCCGTCAACCGGAACTGGCCGTTGCGGCTTTCAAACCTCAGCACGATGGGGCGGGACGCCATAGTGAGGGAAGACACGGAGAGGGAGGGACGAGCACTGGTCAACAGGGTTGGGTCACTTTCCGTGCAGCTTCAACAGCTCGTCAAGCTCATCAGATCATGACAGTGAGGAAGGAGGGGTAGAGGAGAAGACAGCGCGAGAGAGCTTGGGAAGCGAGCAGGATGAAGGCGGCAGCGGAGCTCTATCGTCGTTGCACCCCGTTACCGCCTGGTACCGCCCCGCCGCCTCTTTCCACCTGACAAATGGCGTACTTTTGGTATTCTAGTTACATGACTGATGTTTCTATGCAGGCACTCCTACGAACCCAATGGAACGAGCATTATCACCGAGCTCACCAGTACATACTCCATGTTATGGATGGCGTATCTCATGAAGCATAAATATATATTATCGTGGTGTTCTATTTATATCAGGTATTTGCATCACAAAAACATGAAACCCAGTCCTCCGAAACAAACGCCAATCGCAAACCAACCGGTCAAAGCAAGCAGGGCATGAATAACTGCAGGGTATTGGGAGCAATCTGATTACATAATGACACACTTCTTAGGCAGGCCACACGGTCCCTCGTTGCTCTTCTCTGCACTCTTCGTTCCCTGGGTGCCCTGTCCGGCCTGAGCCGGCGCAGGCTGGGCTTCGGAGTTTCGGCTTTCTGTTGCTGCGACGCAGCAGCCGCTGCTGGCTGCGACTCCGGCTTAGCCTGCTCGCTACCATGCAGTCAAGCGAAGTTGACCTTAGCAAGGTGCTCGTAGAAAGCCTTGCCCTGAGCCTCAGCGACAGTGAGCTCAAGAGCAGAGGGCTGGCGGGAGCCATCACCACCCTGAGTTTGACATTAGCACCTTGTCACAGAAGGGATCGAGTTAAGTTATGGGATGAAGCTTACAGCAAAGGTACCAGCACCCCAGGCGCTACCACCGTGGACCTCGTCCAGGTTGGCCAGCTGTCCGAAGACGGTCTTGTAGCCGAGGGGGACGTAGATGAGACCGTGGTGAGCGAGGGTGCTCATGGCAGCCAAGCAGGTGGACTCCTGACCACCACCCTGGGTACCGGTGGAAACGAACAGACCGGCGTACTTGCCCCAGTAGCCACCGCTGGCCCAGATCTTGCCGGTGCTGTCCCAGAAAGCCTTCCACTGGGCGGGGAAGTTACCGTAGCGGGTGGGGATACCGAACAGGACGGCGTCGTACTCGAGGAGGGTTTCGGGGGTGACGACGGGGTAGCTGGACTTGGCGGGGGCGTGCATCTTGGCCAGAACCTCCTCGGGGAGGGTTTCAGCGACCCTGTAGACCGGATGTTTTAGTCACGGTGATCGGTGGCAACGATCATTGAAGCCATTGACTCACTGGTAGATGTCGGCGGTACCGCCAGCAGCCTCAATACCCTTCTTCTCCGCCTCAGCCAGCTTGAGGATGTGGCCGTACATGGAGTACTAGATGAAGGGACGGTCAGTCATATTGGTCCAGACCTCTGACAGAGGTGGGGTAGCATTAGCACTCACGAAGACGATAGCGACCTTGGGAGCCATTGTGATTGATGGTGGGGGGAGTAAGGCGGGGAAGGAGATTCACGAAAGCTGATGCTTGGGAAGATGGGAGAAAGACAGGCTGGGTATGGCAGCGGGTCTTTATACTATCCACGAGGGAGCAGTTCAACGGCTGAAACTGTTCGCAGCAGCTCAGTTTTGTCAATTGGCAAGCATCCCGTAATCGATTACTACCATTTTCCTATTCCTGTCCGGACCCTGTGCCCCTTCGCCGCTGATTGGCCTCTCGGTATCTAGAGCGGGGCGGAAGGCCCACGTCTGCCAGTGACAGCCAATCAGAGCCACCGATCTGGTCTTACGGATCATTGACAAATGTGCGGCGTCGAAAACCTCGAACGAGCTCATAGCGCTGAACGATCTCTTATTCAACATCTCATAATCCCGCCGGAGGTGGCCGGTAGAGCTACCTCTTCCGCACAGCACGGTTCCTCTTACTCTTAGAACTTACCCCTGTTGAAATTAGGGAAGGCTATCCATACAATCGCTCATCTCCCGTAAGAATGGGGGCAGCAGTCATGATGTCATGTTGGCTTCAACCCAGCACTCCCTCAGCATGGAGGGGTCCTCTATCTACCTACATCGCACTGCTCCCGTCAACTCCGAGCATTAGAACCATCAATTAGGCCTAGTCGAGTAGCTGAATCCATGCGCGGCATGGCTAGACCTCCATCGACCCCATCATGGCGCCATGTCATGCCTAGAGTACCCCTGTATCTTAGCACAATGTACCCAATGAGACTTCATCCCTCGTATTCCAATCTATCTACCTGTCACCCGGTACGGAGTAGTGGAGTCGCTTTTGTATATGAGATCAGATCAAATGGAACAATAATATGTCTAACGTAGTAAACAAGCATAGCATGCCTCTCAGCTGGGTATCTCGACGTTTTTTCAAGCTCAAATTCGGAAAAGAACACACACCCATCTAACCGCGTCCCCGGCCCCGGTATCGGCCCCGCATGAACCCTCCGCCACGGCCACGCTCGCTCCTCCACTCGCGCTCTCGCTCCTTCTCCTTCTCCTGTTCCTCCCGAATCAAAGCCCGTTCCCGCTCCAGCTCCTCTTCCGTCTTCTCGACCCGGATCTGGGGCCGGGGGAGGTTCTCCGACCACCGGGGATGAGCATCCACGCAGCCTTTGCCTTCCGGGCAGAACCCGGCCAAGTAGTATTGGCACAGGCGCCGGCGGACGTGCCGCTTGGCACACAGCGGGCCCAGTTCACAAAACCCTCGGTCGTAGTGTTCACAGGGAGGCAGTCGCGCCTGCTCCCGCACGTGCTGGTACAGGCAGTCATCGCCATTAGGACAGTAGCCGGACCGCGAAAAGGACTGACATTCTGGCATGCGGCGGAGGTTGTATTCGTGGAGGTACTCGCATTTGAGACCCTTTTTGCAGAGCCCCTTGAGGAAGTGCTTGCAGACCAGAGATCCGTGTGTGGTGGACGGAGCTAGTCCCGAGGCAGTCGTGGTCGACGTGGTGACGCGCGAGGGGGTGGGATGCCGATCAGGGCAGGCCGGTCCTAGGGGACAGTGGCCTTCACTGTAGGCTTTGCATACCGGCACATCGCTGGCGAGTCCAAAGCCGTAGCTTTTGCGCAGGAAGGGGATGAAGGAAAAGTCATCGTAGCTCGGGTCCCGAGAGCTGTCGGAGGAGAGCATACGTGATGCTGTGTAGCTCACGTCTGCCGCCATGGTGATTGGTCTTGAGTCGGAAGGAAAAGAGTTGACCTGACACGTGGATCTAGACAAGGAACAGCGATGGAGGGACGAGCTTCTCGCTCGTCGACACGTCTGAGTAGGGATGTCCTTGCCTGGGATGTAGTCCGCCAGTCAAATACAATGGGCTGATAATTAAACCTAAACGATGCCCGATTGTCTGAAACGAGGTTTGGCACCGTTCAGCGTTTAGCAGGTGGAAAAAATCCAGCTGGAGAAGAGTGATGCGGTTGCATTCGGACGAGAGAATGGCAAGAACGGCAGTATATTCCAAGGAGGCAGGCGGTGGCAACCACCTGGTTCTAGCTCTGCTGAGTCAGCAGTTGCGGCGTGGAAGCCAATCGAACAAGAATGAACAAGAATCCGAGTGGATTTACAGAGTATACGAGGAGAAGAAACACCTCTAAGGCAGCAAGAATACGGTCAATCAGCCAGCCCTCTACGGAGGAAACCCCTCGCCCTTGTTTGGGCACAGTCAGCCATCCATGCTGCAGCGAGACGTACCCCATCTTTGCTCGACGGCGGCCTGGGGAGCGCCGGGCTCCGCGGCAGCAGGCCAATGGGTATAGATTCCCATGCGGAGTCGAGCCTGGCTGCCCCTGCATCAGTGCATACGAGGATTCCTACGACTCACCGGATCACATGGTCCGTCACTGGATGGGTCCGACGCCCGACGGCGATGCGGTTGGAACAGGCATGTGGTACGGTGTAACTGGGTACACAGTCCGGGGGAGTCCGGGCAGTAACCCATCCCAGGCAGACAGCACAGTCCTCTCATGTCTCCTCCTTCTTCCTCTTCTCCGTAGTGAATGACTTCAGCAACATCAGGCCGCTGCTGGCACTCCGTCGCAGCTCCGGGCACTGGCAAGTGACATGCCGGAGAAAAACTGTACTGGACGCTAAGAATCCGAGGGTCACTGGCTGTATCACCCCTCCTCGTCGCCCTCCCTGCCTATTTGCTCGGGGATCAGCTGCATGCCCGGTATGATGATGGCAGGCCTCCCACTCAGCGTCAAAGGGATGGGGATCGCAGTCCTTCATGCGGGGATGGGCGTCACTAGTCCTATAGGTTAGTCGGCCGCGGCTGCGTCTCCCCACAGCCAACTTTTCCCTCAGACGAGAGCGCCATGGGAAAAAAAGCAACCACGGGGGAACTTTAAGTGCAGCCATAAGAAAAATAGTCGACCAAAGCTGCATTTCCCAACCCAGTCGGTCCCCAGTCTGATCCGGAACAACCGAGCGAATACTCCATGGGGATGCTGAGGGTCTACCTATGTTGCCCAATCGCTGCCATGCTGCCATGCTGAGACGATTCCGTATTTATTCTGGGCGTGTCGCATCATCATCAGTCGATCGCTGAATTTGCCTCCCTGCTGCTGTCAGATCCAGCAGCACTGTGCAACGGGTCTATAGTCTCATTGCAAGCCCCCCGGGCTTTGGAAAGAGGTTGGGGGAGGGAGGCGACGGCCGACGGACTTGGGGGTAGACCCCAGCATCTCACCGGAGAGTATCAAGAGGGTAGGAGATGGCTCTTAAAAAACCTTAGCAAGCCGCGCACTTTGCCCGATACACCAGAGGAGGACGATGAACGTTCCGAGGCGGCCAATGATCAACACGATCGCTTGATCTGGTTCTCCGAACTGGAACAGCAAAAGGCGGGGGTGAAAACGTTTGGACCGTGTCTGGGGCTGGGGCTGGTCATCATCAGATGCTGCCATTGTCGGACGTGCTCTGATTGACCCCTAACCTTACCTGCCTGCATGGCGACGCTGCATGAGATGCTGCCTGCAAATTGGCCGCATTGCAACCCTAGAGGGAAAGAGAGAGAGAGAGTAGGTAGGTATACGTTAGTAGTACGTGGTAGGGACAGGGAAGGGTCGTTGTAGAACGACCAAGTACCTGGATCGTGAAGAGTGGAATGATGTCGTAGCCACTGCACCAGATGGACTGGCGAAAAAGGTGGTGGTGGTGGTGTTGTTATTGTTGTTCCTGCTGGAGTGGTTCCTGTGGTTGCCTTGTTCATTTCTGTCAGTTTCTCTCTTCTGTTGCTCCTGCCGCAGATCGAGAGGCTTTAAATGGCTCACGAGCTCAGAGAGAAAAAAAAAAAGGAAAGCCACCACGGCCAGACTGATCGTACGATCTTTTTTTTTTCCTCTCAAACCAGAGGGGAAGAACTAGAGAGCAAAAGAAGAAAAAAAGCCATCGTCAATTCCCATCGCCAGAACCAGGCACTCCTCCCACACGTGACGCTGGCCATCTTTACCCTCGCATCACCATCTTAAGCTTATTTTTGTATTTCGACCTTGCATCCTGGTCTCTTCCAAGTCAATCCCTTCTTCGCCTCTGGATCTACCGTCGTCATCGTCGTCCCCAACCCCGGCCATGTTATCGGGCACGTCCATCTTCCCGCACTGGCGTCGCAAAGCAGCCGAGCGCTCGAGCAACAGTTCCTACGAAGTGCCCTTCTTTTTGAACGCCGCCTATTATCCCAATTGGAGGATATACCGGAAACAGCCCCCATCAGCTCTCCGATTGGGCTTCATCTCTCATATCTTCTACGCGTTTGCTTGGTACTAGTACCTTAGTCCGCACCATGCCGAAGGGCCAGGCCACCCACACAGACAGTTGTTAACCAGCCTGCTTTTCTCATTCACAGGGTCAAAGAAGATGGCACCGTCTATGTAACCTGTCCTCTGCCTCTGGCGCTCGGATCCCGCTGACCGGACCTGATCCAATAGCTCAGTGACGAATGGGCCGACACCAAGATGCCCGTCGACGGCACCACCGGCTGCCTGCGGGCCTTTGCGCAGCTCAAACAGCAGTATTCGAAGATGAAACTCATCCTCTCAGTCGGAGGGGGTGGCAAAGGCAGCGAGAACTTTGCCCTGGTGGCCCGCAGTCAGGCCCGCACCGAGACGTTTGTTCGGAGTGCCAGAGCGCTGGTGGATCAGTTTGGTCTGGATGGCATCGACGGTAAGTCTGGTTATTGATCCGTGCCCCTCCCCCTGACAGCCGGTCCGGCGAATTAAGGTAAATTTGATTGCATGCCCTAACCAAGCTGTGTGGCGCGACAGTGGACTGGGAATACCCCTCCGACCCACAACAAGGCTCGGATTATATCCGGCTGCTGGCGCGACTGCGCGAGGCCCTTCCAACCCCGCGGTATGTGCTGGTCTCCTGTCTTCCAGCCGGCCCCTGGGCCCTCCGTAACATCGACCTCGCCAAGGCGCAACTTTATCTCGACCTGATCAACCTCATGGCGTATGATTTCTCCGGGCCCTGGGAGAACCAGACGGGCCATCAAGCCCAGCTCTTCAGCAAGCACCCCTCAGCCACCTCGTGTCAAACAGCCGTATCATATGTGTTGAGCCAAGGTGTCGACCCCAAGAAGCTTCTCTTAGGCGTTCCCGCCTATGGCCGCTCGTTCCTGGGTAGCAATGGCGTCGGCCAGCGGTACGTAGGCTGTGGCGGCGAGGACGGCGTCTTTGACTATAGCGAGTTGCCGCGACCGGGAGCCAAGGAGCATCACGATAGCAGTGTGGGCGCGGCGTACTGTGTGGGCGGCGATGGCGGGTTCGTCACGTACGACACGCCTCAAACGGTGCAGCAGAAGGCGAAATTCGTCACGAAGATGAAACTGGGCGGGTTATTCTATTGGCATATCGGAGGCGATGCACGGGGACCTCGAAGTCTGATCGAAACGGGGTATAACACTTTGCATGATATGTAGCTGCTGCTGCTGCTGCTGCTTCAGCGTCAGATGGGGAAGAAAAAGCAAAAGGTAAACCAAGGAACAAGAAACAAGAAACAAGAACCAAGGACCGGGAAAAAACGGAGGCGCGCGTGACTTTCTGTCTGTCTGTCTATTAGCTAGCATTGTCTATCACCCACCTATCCGCAGCGCAAAAAGAAATGGGCAAACATTACACCTTAAATGAACAAACCAACCTGCCTAAGCGCCCCCCTCATGATAAGGAATATGTACCTTCCCTGTGCAATGATAAGCTCCTGTCCTCTTATAGGGGAGGATGTTCGCGCCAGGATGATTCCCCGTGCAGGTAGGTAGATACATTACATTATGTACCTACCCCCCCTCATGCACCAGCATCTGTGCATACATGACCTATCTAATTCATCCATTTCATTCTATTCTACTATTCTATCTATCTATCTATCTACTCCATACTCTCAACAGAATGTTAGGGGGTGTTTATTGTGAACTCAAGGATCATGTAATTCATCATAGAATGGACTTCTGAACAGATTAATTACAACTATGCTTCTACTGCTATGTAAGTAAGGTAAGATAAGTCAAGCAGTACTATCATCACTCGTATGGTATTCCGGGTTATATAACGTTAGGCCATCCAGGCAGGCAAGCAAGTGGGAATCACGACAGCATTTATCCGGATGTTTGGGATTAGGCATATATAGTTAGAAGAAAAAGATAAATAGAGATAAAATGGAATACGCGCAGTGTCGGTTAAGATGAGGGGTTTAAATCAATTAACCGATCAATAAACCAACTAACCAACCATTTTTAAGAAAGGATATGCGGAAAATTGCCTTATTAGAGACCACTCAATGCCTTGGTGACGTTCAACTCGGTTTGCAGCTTGAGGGATCCCAGGGCACCCGCAATGTAGGGGATCACTTGGTTGTCGTAGACGCTCGAATTGCCGGTGATGTCGATGGGGATGATGTAGTTCTTATAGTTGCCCAGCATGCCCGCGACGGTGAGCTCGCTGATGTTGGCGGTCATGGCCACGGTGTTGTTGCCTGGTCGGAGGGTGAGGTCGTAAAGGAAGGCTTGGCCGATGGCGGTGTTGTTGACGGAGAGGTTGAGGGTGAGGTTACCCTGGGAAGGTTGTTAGTTAGAGCTGAGAGAGAGAGCTGAGAGAGAGGAAGAGGAAGAATGCATACCACGGCGATGGAGATCACAGATGGGTTGGGGATGTATACGGATCCTTTGGCGTTGGTGCCGTCCGAGTTGCTGGTTCCAATTGACATGTCAAGTAGCTCGAAGCCCTCCAGCTTGTTGAGGCCTACATGAATGGTAAGTGGGACGCTTCTTGAGGTGGTAAGTGTTTGATAGAAGAGAGGAGCTTACCCTTCATCGTGGTGGTCTTGTTGTAGGTGACAGTTGACTTGGGTAGACTGCCCTCTTTCAGACCTGGCCTGCCGTACACATTGAGCTGGAACTCCTCGCTCAGGATGGCGGCCTTGCAGAAGTCGCCGAATGCCGTCTCGTTGGTGATGTCCACACGCTGGTTGATGTCCACGACGACGCCATTGTGGGCGTTGAACTCGGGGACCTGGACGTGTGCAAAGGCAGCGAGGCCCGCGAGGCTGACGCCTGCAGAGAAGGAATAAATGGTCGGGTGGTAGGAGCTGTTGGACCCAATGACCTGCGTCTGGTTGAGGATGAAGGATGAAGGCGATGGGTCACTGATGACCATGGACGTGACGGTCAGGTTCGATTTGTTGACCAAGTTCTGAGCAATCTTCGGGTACGCGACATAGACTCTGGTTGATTCATGCCATGTTAGTTGGGGATCGGGGCCTGGGGTTCGCTTGCTACAATGGGGACATACACAGGAAGCACCACCACGAGGACAACCACGATCAAGATGATGAGATACACCCACCACCACCGCTTGAAATGCGTACCCACGCGCGATCCAAAGCTGGGCCTGGCCGCGGCCGCGCCTACTCCGGCACTTTCGGTCACTTCAGGCTTGCTGTCGCCGGCCATCTTGGTTATGATGCGCTGCTATGTCGAGTCGTAGTGGACCTGTATCCAGAACCAATGTCCTGATGATGTCTGTGAGACAATGGCGGGGTCTTTTACTCCCGTGCCAATGTAGACGGATATGAGGACCGAGCCGAGGAATGTGGGCTTGCACAGGGACTGTTCCTTCCAAGTTCCAAGACGCACGGGGCTAAAGGCTGACTGACTTAATTGAGACGGACAGACTGCAACGAGGTCAGCAGCCGGCTTGATGGCACGGATGGAGTATATATCCTGCCACCATGATGTGACAACAACGTCGATACATACCCACAAGTCTGGGTAGGGTCAAGTGACGGACAGGTATTAGGCGAGAAGCACGCTGAATAGAGTTGAGGAATGACCACGGAACCCCAGAGGCCGAATCAAGGGAGGCAAGGGAGAGGGCCAACAACCAGCCAGGATGAGAAGAAGGAAACAATCGGACCTCCCCCCTGTCCCAACGCTATATCTATATGTCCCCGGGAGCTGGGACCATCACATGTCCGAGTCGAGCAACCTTGATCAGCTCTGCACACCGCGGGTCGACTTAGTGCGAAACCAGGCTCAGACCGCGCTGGATATGCCGCTACCACTTATTAAGTGGATGTAACGGCGTAGGAGGCGAGCCAACAAGGGCCGCCATGCCGGGACCCAGAATGCGGACGGACGATCCAGATAATGAGAACAAGGTCCATCCGGCCCCGCGCAAGGACCACGGTTCAGCTGAGATCGCGTGTATCAGCTGTATATACATTGTTCTAGGTAGCTCTTAAGCAGGTCAAGGTCGAGAGCAGGAACAGCTGGCCCTGGGGTAGCCGAACCGAGGCAAGCGGCGAGTCGTCGCATCATTCAGATGAGGGGGTGCACGAGGAGAGGAGGAAGAGGCGCCTGCACTCTGCAGCCCATCCATTGACGCTGCAGGTCGGGGCAAAAAATTGAAGAGGGAAGGATTGCAGGCGGGCAGTAATGCAACCCCCCCCCAATTTCCCCCGGGCGATCAGGGCAGCTTGGGTGGGACAGGATGCCGGCCCCAGGCAGCCTTAGTCCCCTTTGGTCGCGAACCTCGACAATCGCCACAATAGCGCCGCTCCTTTCAGCCAATCCTCCGGCCTCGCCTTCATCGCCCACCAATCGTCGCTCTCGGCTTTTCGATGAAATCCCGGGGTTTAATATCGCCTGCCAATCAACAGAGCCGGTCGCGGCGGAGAGCACGGAGTTCTGGTGCAGACAGGAAAAAGGATTGATGTCCAATTTCGAGCTGGGAGTGGACGGGGTTTCACCCCCGCCTCGTCTCTCGACACAAGCCCTCCCCGGTGGCGCCCCCGGTGTAATAATTTAGGTAGTCGGTCGTGCACTAGATACCAACGAACCATCCCCCCCTCGAGAGAGCTGGATGGGCCCAATTTATGGTTGGCCATCCCGCTGAAACAACGTCACTACATCCAAGAATTGATACATGTCCAAAGATTCAATCCATCAAACGATGGATGCACATCCAATTATGTAGGATCCTCGTGAGCATCATCAGATATGATCTCTGCCGACACACCCACCACACGGCTATCTAAAGGAAAGGAAAGAATGGTATTACACAAGTCAAAGGAATGGATGAAGGCACAGCGACCGAACACGGACAAAGTCCATAGATAAAAAGAAGAAAAGAAACGAAAAAAAAATCAAATGGTGAAAATAGGTAGGGAAAAGATATCCCCGACAAAAGAAGGTAAACGAGTAGAATCGAACATCACACAGTGATTCGAAAACGATGGGTATCCAAGAAACGAATTTCGATGCTCGCAAATTGGATCGCGTAGCCAAGTGAAAACCACAGGCCCCGTGCCAAGATGTGGAGCAGCTAGCAAGGCCTGCTCAAGGGAAAAAACAATAAAAATAAAAATCAAATAAACCCAGATAGTGCGAAATGGGACGAAAAAAAGCAATGAAGGGAAAGGGCAGCCTATGGCCAGACCCGAACGAATGAAACGAAGATCGAGTCCCTCAACAGGCAGCGCGTGTTGAGGTTGACTCGAGAAACCGGATGATCGAAGAAGAAAAACCCTATGAAAAGATAAACCATGCCAAGCCCAAGGGAAGAAGCTTTTGCTTTCTTTTTTCGAGGCTGGCCAAAAACGAAGGTAGGTAGTACAGCCGCCTATGCTTCGGCTGCAACTGACTTTTTGCGGTGGAAAAGACTGCGGGTTCGGGATTTGCTGCGCTGCTTCTTCTCGGGGGTGCTGCCAGACGGACCACGACCACGCGGGTTCGAGGTGGAATCAGTGTCCATGTACTTGTCCTTGTAGATCCTATCAAAGCCAGGTTAGATCCACCCCAACCATCTCCGACCACGGTGGAGCAACTTACCAACTATTCCCAACCATGCTAATGCCCTTGGCCTCCGCCTGGCGATAGAATTTCGCCGCTTTCTTCAGATCCTTTTTGCATCCAATGCCTTCTGCGTAACAGAAGCCGGCCTCCGCTAGCGCATCGCCGTCGCCCCATTGGCCAGCTATTTCAAAGCAACGCAGGGCCAAGGATTTGTCCTGCTCAATGCCCCACCCGTTCAGATGGCTCACGCCAAGCTCGTAGATACTCAAGGCAAACTGGGCTCGATAAGCCTTCTGTAGCTCCCTCGCACGAACAGGAATCGTCGGGTTAGAATCGTCCATCAGTTCAATACCAACCGAGTCCACGGCCTTGCGCAACCACTGCACACCCTCCCGTTGATTCGGTCGCATACCCCAGCCATGTCGGCACGCCAACGCATAAAGTAGCATTCCCGTCGGGTGATTTTGCTTAGCTGCTATGCGCAGGTGATATGTCGATTCATTGAGAGACCCTTTCTCGTGGCACTGGATGCCTTTGGTTACATGCTCATCCGCGGTAATCACAGTCGATGTCGTATTCGTCCGTGCGGTTTGCGGCCGGACAGTGGATTCAGAGCCTGCAGAAGAGGTGGCATCGGTATGATCATTCTTCGAGACCTCTGCGTCCCGCTGTTCCATAGGAGCCTCAATAGGGGCAGCTTCGGTAGGTTCGGGCTCAGGTTCAGTAGAAGTGGGCTCAACAGGTGTCGGCTCAGCCTCGGGCTTGCGTTCGGGCTCGATCTCAGGCTCGGGCTCAGCATCAGCCTCAGCCTCAGCCGGTGCCTGGGCTACAGCCATTGGCTCGGCAGGTACCGCGTGGGATGATGGTCTCACTTCAGGAGACGGCGGGGTTTGTTGAGGCAGAGGTGGCTCCGGTGTCAACAATTGACGGGCCGATGAAGGAGATTCGTACATTGAGCGCGTCCTTGAGGTGAAAGAACCGTGGTGGGATGGAGATGGGGACGGAGTCCTCACAGATTGAGCAGGTCCCGCCGTGCTGTGCCGAGTTGGGCTCTCAAAGAGCGGCTCCTGCCACTCGAAGTTTGGCGTGTGAAGGCCCGAGAAGACTACCGAGTCCCTTGCAACCGAGCGTCCACGAGGTAGAGAATACCTCACATAGGTGTATGAAGATACAGCAGAGGACGGGTCTTCGTTCGGGTTGAAGGGCACGTCCGACGGTGATGGCACCACAATTGGGCTAGGCTTGTGTCCGCGATTGATTGCGCTTTGCGGGTTAGCGGTCGACGGCTCCGACGAGCCCATGGGACCGGGGGCCGAGATACTCGTGCTGGACCGACTTAACGGACGCGAAAAGTTATAGGGCCGCTGAAGGTAACCCCCCGCGTTGGAAGTCTCTGAGCTCATGGACGGCGACCGGGGATGCGAGCGTGTTACGGAAGACGACATCGAAGAGTATGGTAGTGACACAGCACTACTGGCGGACATTTTCCGGGGCTTCGAAAACGTCGATCCGGCATTCGAGCTACTATAGTCGTCGTCGGAGCTCTCGAGCTGTGCCCCTCGGGAACTGCTAGATGGCCTTGACAGGGGAGAGGCTGGGGGTGCCAGTCCTCGCGGGATATTCAGGCGAGAGGCAGAATCAGTCGAAGAGGTCCGGGAGGGCGCCATCACAGAAACACCCAGCGGGGGAGGCACCCCTGTCGGCGCGAGACCGGTGGGAGAGACTGCGTAGAAGCGAGGGCGGCCTTCGGGTGGAGATTCGGGTGAGCTGTGTAAGGAAATGGCACCTTCTGGCGATTCGGCGCGTGGCATGTCGAAGGCGTTCACGCTCAGTTCCTTCTTCGGGGTAGTATCTTCATCCTCTTCCGGGTAGTCTTCCATTTCGCCAGCCAGGTGTGGTACCCCACTCAGACGAGGGTGTTCGGACTGCGGACGGAACTTGGGTTCCTCCACCTCAGGATTCAGTTTCTGCGTAGGTTGTCTCGACAGTTCGTTGCGCCCTCCGAGTCCTCTTCCGCAATGGGAGGAATCGCTTGAAGATGGGGATCGAAAATAACCGGGCCGAGGTTGCGACAGGGAACGCGCCACGCTGGAAGGGGGCAACCGGCTCATGCGCCGATTCCTTCGCGCCGATTCCTCCAACTGACGGGCCAGGAGACGGCCTTGGGCGGCGAAGGCATCGAGCGGGGAGAGCGCAGGAGGAATTTCACCATCGTAGTGCTCAACGCGTGGAGACGGGGCCCCGCTGCGAAGGACGTCGTGGGAGGGGGACCGGTTTTCACCAAACTTCGGCCGGGAGGCCATGGTTGTTATGCAGTGACCGTCAATTTGTTGGAACGATAGAGACCTCTTTTCTGTTATTTTCCGGGACTAAGACACGAAGGCCCGGTCAATCAATTCATTTAATCGATATCGATGGACGAGGGGTTCGAAGGTTCAATCGCTTTGCATGAAGAATGTGGGACGATGATTGGAATTGGGGGGGAGGGAAGTCGGCAGCGCTTGATTGCTCTGGAAGACTGGTAAGCCGTACACGCGCCGGGACAATCTTCGAAGCACCGAACAGCTGATTGATACGGACAAAAGGAGGGGCGGAAGACACAAAGGAATGACAGCCCCAGGGAAAGAAGTGAGCGGAAAGGGTGGAGGAGAAGCGAAGGAATGGCTATGAGAGGCGGGTAGGCAGGTAGGTAGGTAAGCCAGGCTCAAGAGCAGCAGGAGGGGAATGGATAGCCAAATTTAGTGGTGTGATGTGATGTGATCCTCCCCGGCGGATAAGTGGTGGTAGTATGTAGGGGTCAGTACCTGTGTGGAGGAGTGGTGGTTGGTTGAAACAATGGTTCAAGGGTCGTCACACAAAGAGACGATGAACAGGCATCGCGGAGGGGAAAGGAAGGGGAAAGAAAAGAGGGGAGAGGGTTTGAGAGAGAACTGGAGGGAGGAGAGAGACAAGAGAGACAGCGAGACCGAGACAGAGCGACCGAGTGTGAGGAACGTTGGCCATGATCGGTTTCGAGGAGGGAGGTTTCGTTACGCCCTGACGATCCCCAAACAAGGACCGTCGTTCTGGGCGTCTCCACGCGGAGGGGGAGGAACGGTAACGCCATTACCGACGGGCGCCATGCGGTCCTGCACCCATTTGGGCCCCAATCATGGTGAATCCGCGTAACAAACACTGCCTGGCCTGCAGGCCCCGGCCCCATTTCAGGGGCTGCCGTTACATACCCATACCGGACAACTGACAGTTCCTCGGCCTTGGCAGCCGCAGCTGCAGGCGGATCTTTACCATGCCCATTACGCCGACTTTACCACTCGGGAAGTCAGGGGCTGCATTATTGTTCGCTTTATCGATGATTATTGACGGACGAAGATGGGGTTGAATCATTAATGGCTAGGTACTAGTATGGGCATCGGGGCAAGCACGGGGAAGTGATCCGGTCGGTGGATGGTCAGCTTCTAGAAGGCAATAGCATTCCGACCATCGTGAGGCCTAGATGGCGTCGTCTCTGGCCTCCGTAGTCTGGTTAGTGGTTCGAATTTAGATACTACTACTAGTACTAAAGACTGGTTAGCGGTTCAACCTGAGTCGAGGGTGGAGTCGGCACCACACCGTGGCTCTTGCTATTTATATTCTCTTCCCCTGCAAATTTTCGCATCCCAACCGAGAGCGTCGCTGCTGATTCGACCATTGAGTCCCATGGGTTCTTCTCCCCCTGCCAGGTACCACAGTTGCTCCAACGACCGTCGTTCGTTTCTCTGCGTCCATGGTGCCTATGGCTAATGGTGTTATTATGATAGTCGTGCGTTGGTGCAAGGAGGCAGATCTGGTTGGCGTAACATGCTTCCTGGTTCCTCCTATTCACAGTTTGCGACGAAACCACCCAGAGGCACATGATGGGTGCCATTCGGGGCTGTTTCATGTCAGCTACGCAGTCTTACTAGACCCCGGAAGTATATCTATTTAGATAGTATCTATATAAGTACCGTATCTAAGGGGCGATCGTAAGGATCGTTCGCGCGGATAAAGTCTTGGAAGAATGAACTCTTTCTCGCTCGCTAGTCGCTACCCTGGGCATGAAAGCCCGAATTATTAAAGGAGGCCTGCCCATCCCACCTCGGTCAAAATGGCATGTTCCTCATTTATGGCCTTGTGAATAAATCGTCCCCTCTCTGAGAGGACCCAACTATTGGCGGCGGCGCAGGTGCTCCTTTTGTGTGCTGGACCGAAATCAAGCACAACGTCGCGGAAACGCCAAACAGTCTAAAAGAACGGCGGGTCGGCGGTGATTGGTGCAGCAATTAAGACACTGGAGCACCGGGAAATTCTACCGCCGGGGGGGTTGCATGCCTGAGGTGTATAACTGCCCTGCTGATAATTATAACTGACCAGTAAGTAGTAAGCTGACTACAAAACACCCATCTGCAGATGAATCTGAGTCCATATTGAACCTTAAGGGTTAGCGCTTCGTATCACCTATCACCTTTCACCTGCCCTACTCAAGATTTGCACTCGGAAGCATAATGATGCCCCGCCCGATCTTATCATGCGTCTGGGCCTGAAGTCGTACAAGGCGCTCCCACCACCAATCCTGTCGCGGATGGGCGCAAGGGAACCGACAGCCGTTGGAATGTTTCAACCCGATGGATGACATGAACCAAGTTCGTTGGAAAATCTCTTCAACCTCACAGACCACCCTCAGTACTACGTACTTATCGCGAGCTAATTGAGGTACGGAGGAGCAGCGGAGTCGACCATACTTTGCGCCGCCCAATCAAGATCCCCATCGCACTGACTAAGAGACCGTTTCGGCCACGCTCCGCAGAAGCTTGGGTGCTAGCAGCATGAGTTTAATAAAGTTGGGATGATCGGTCGTTAAGTGGTTAGGGAGAAGGAATGTGAAGGGAGGGGGAAGAACCGGCCAGAGACAAATTGCCCACAACGGCGTACCTAGTCGACTCATAAATCCCTGGTCGCGTGTCCTTGCGCCTATTCACCCTATTCACCACCATATCGAGCAAGCTCCATGTCAATCATCGTCGTCCCCATGATTTACTGAGCGCAGCGTCAGCCCTAACATCATACTCTGTACAACCACCAGAGTGGACCTGGACAACCCCCTCCCCCTCATCAAAATGAACAATCTCAGGAACCGCTCCCTCTACGAGCTCCTCCACGTCGATCCCTCCCTGGACAGCGCCCACGTCTACGAAACCTCCTGGCTTCTCCCTCCCCTCCCCTACGCCATCCTCCGCGGCACCATCTCCCTCTACATCTTCACCAGCGTCTTCTTCATCTGGGGTTGGAGCGGCACCCATGGCGACCGTGCCGAGATCGGCCAAAGCTTCAGCTACTTCACCTGGCTCACCTACTGGGGTCTAGGTTTCTACATGCTCATCTCCTCCATCCACACAGCCTGTTACGCACTGACAGGCCGATCCGTTCTCTTCGACCGCTGGTCTCGAGCCCTTCGCGCCCTCCACTGTCTCTACTACGCCAGCATCACCTCCTACCCATTCCTCGTCACTATCGTCTTCTGGGGCATCCTCTACTCGGGTCCATGGTACACCGTGACCTTCTCCGGCTGGCAAAACGTACCCCTTCCCCTCCCTTCCCAACCCCCCGCAACAACTCACTAACCAAACCCACCGCATAGATCTCCCAACACGGCCTCAACTCCCTCTACGCCCTATTGGAAATCATCCTTCCCACCACAAACCCCCACCCTCTTCTCTCCCTCGTTGTCCTCATCTTCATTCTCCTTCTCTACGTCTCCCTCGCCTACCTCACCTACCACACCGAGGGCTTCTACACTTACTCCTTCCTGGACCCGGGTCCGCACGGTGAGAAGAGCGCACATGTCGCGGGCTACTGTTTTGCCGTTTTGGCTATCATCATCGTGTTCTTTGTTTTCTCGTGGTGCGGGATCTGGTTAAGGAGAAGATTCACTAATGGGAAGGTGAAGAGGTCGAAGTTTGATTTGGGTGGGAGGGAGTATGGGAGGGATGGGGAGATGGAGATGGGGATGGAGGAGGTGGTGGCGCATCCGAAGTGATTTTCGTTGTTGGGTTGGGTTGGGTTGGTGAGAGTAGGGGAGGGAGTGTGATGAATGAAGACATATCAGAGAGAGAGAGGGAGAGAGAGAGAAGGTAAATAGGGTGGATGAGGTGTGTTTGGGGCGGTTAACGATATGGTATGTATGGTATGGCATGGGTTACTAATGGATATGGGGAGGATATGTATAATACAATTACAATTTATAATTCAGTTTGAAATTACTCCATGTGGATGCGATTTGATGTGATGTGATGTGATGCGATGCGATGAGAGGGGAAAAGAAGAGGAGATATGATATCATGACCACCAAACACCAATATTAAAAAGAACCTATTAGACCTTTTCCCAGCTCGTCTCACTACTTCCCCCACTTATATTCTCCCCTGGAGACACTGGTCCAGTCCGCAGCCCCAGCATCCACCCCACCACTCCGGCAGGAACCCACTCGCCGATCAGGTGGTAAGACCGTGCCCCTCGACCAACATATATGATAGGCTTCTTGGCGACCTTTCTGCCGAAGATGTCCTTGGATGGCGGGTCCAATGCTTCCAGCACGGCGTAATGCAACGTCCGAGCTGGCGATCCGCGGACCGTGCTGGGGCCTGCGGACGCGACAGGTCGCTGTTCGATGCTGTTGAGGTACTGTGAGGCGTAAAGAGATCGTTGTTGGACGCTCCAGGCGAGGACTTCCGTGCCGGTGATGTGGCTCTGCGTGTTGCGGTACTGTGGGCCCAGGTCGATGTTGCCGAGCTTTAGCTCCACGACATCTATGTTGTTGTGTTGCAGGAGGCCGAGTTCTCGGCGCAGGGAGGTTGCGAACCCGGATAGTGCTCGGGTGGTTGCGACTTCGGGTCCGGTGAAGGGGGCGGAGAGTGACGAGGAGATGGAAGGATATGCGAGGACGATGGTGCTGTTGGTGTTGCGGAGGGTGAGGAGAGGGAGGAAGAGCTGGGCTGTTAGGATAGGGGAGAGGAGTCGGGTGTTGACTATATCGATCCAGGAGGATGGTGGAATTGTGGCCACGGGCCCGGAGGCATAGTTCGGCGATGGCGCGAGGATGAGGCCGCTTAGTTGGCAGGTGTGCGGTGGTACACCGGGCATGGGCGACTGGGGTTGTGAGATGAGGGAATAGATCTCATTCAAGGAGGGATGGATTTCGGATGGAGAAGAAGGTGTCTGTAGATGTTGACGTTGTTAGCTCGGTTACAGATGAGGTGGTGGGTTGGTCGGTCTTACAGCTGAAAGGTCTAACCAAAGGGCCCTGATGTCTGCCCGGTTTTCTGACTGAACAATATGTTCCTCCTCCGCAGATGAGACCGTCACATAGACGATGTACCCTCGACGTTCCAGGTCGGAGGCGATCGCTCTGGTCATCTGCTCATGAGGCGAGCCGGCGACGACTGTCACAATGGTTAGATCACAGACTGGCACGTAGGAGTGGCAGATTATCCATACCCACTATTTCCTTTCTGGCTCCATTCCCAGCTTTCCTGGCTCTCCTTCGCTTCCCGCTCAATTTCTTGTTCCCGTAGTACAGCACGCAGCTGGTGCCCAGAAAAGCGATGATTGCGGCGCTCCATGCTCGATTGCGCAGAGCCCAGCCGTGCACGCGATCCACGAAACCTTGCGATATGGGGGTACTAGGTCGGTTTCTGGATACCGGTCGAACGGCAGTAGGTAGCCATGACTGGCTGGAGAGGGTATCTCGGAGTGCGTTGGCGGCGTGGTCCACTTGTCGGTCGATCGACTCGGCGACTTGGAGCGAGTATTTTCTTACGTCATGCGGTATCGAAGCAAGCTGGGAAGAACAGAAAGATGTCAGTGCGAGATAGCAAGCAGAAGATGCGACGGTGTCAACTCACATAGTCGAAAAAAAACTGGTCGTCACTGGTCATGATGATGCTTTTTGCACTCTGGTACTTGACTGACTGGGATGAGAGAGTGTGATAAAGATTGGCCGGCAATGAAGAATCCGATCTTTATCAGCGGGCGGGTCACATGAGCACTTCCGCGTCCTATTGGACCGTCCGGTTCTACACCTGTACAGCTGCACCGTTGATGTGGATGCGGTGCTGCTGCTGCTGCTGCTGCATCCAACAGGCATATGATGAGTCGCAAAGTAGTTTTTTCTTAGATCCCTTACGTGTGCTTGTTGGGTTGCTTGGACAACCATCTAGAGAGGACACTGACAAGGGCCTTCTTGAATATTCTATCTCGGATATAGATTCATACTATTTCATTTCGTTGAAGCTATAACCATATGCGGCACCACTCTGTTCACAAGTTCATTAGAGGAACTCTCAATTCCTAAACTGATTCCTGGTGCCGTCATACTCTGATGGTAGATTAATGGACTGAAGGTACCAGAAAAATCTATAGTGTAGAAGCTCGGAAGATCAACTTCTGATTACAGGTCTGCTCCCAGTTAATCTAGAAGATAACTATGAGGTTAATCACTGACCATTTGAAAGTCCTGACTAGGCGCTACTTATTTCTTCAACTCGGAGTTGAGGTACTAGGCGTGCAACTTGTTCTAGAGACAAATTGGCCGGATGAGGACTTCTAGTCGCAGGAACGGCCAGCAATACTGAATCGCTCTCCCAACAGAAATGGAAGAATAACGGGGGCAATTCGAACGGTTAATCAAGGTATTCCGTCGCAGCAAAAATTCATGAGGAAAAAAGTATGACCAGACTGGGGCTCGATCCCAGGACCTTATCGGTGTTAACGATACGTGATAACCAACTACACCATCCGGCCAACTTGTTGAAGAGAGTTTGCAGTGTTTGCTCTATAAAGAATTACACGGTGGGCTCTGTATGAACAATCTACTGCTCGAATAACAAGGTTCGACGCAGCTCAAGTCTTGGCATCCAAGTCAGCGGGAGTCTGGGAGAGCATTTTCCGTGCAGTCCACTTGTGGTGATACTGTTATGATCCGGTAATGTGTGATACCACATCAGATAAGATACCGCAAATAAGGTTTAGCGGCACCCGCCAAGTCTATCCCGGGCCACCACTAATCCTCATTGGGGCATTTCCGTCCCCTCGCCAACAGCTCGAGGGCTTTCTTCTGGTGCGCTCGTTTCTCTTCCGTAATATCACCGGCCTTCATCCGATCGATCCCAGGTCGGACTACCGTCTCTGGTGACCTTTCTCCACGATATTTTGACTCTGCTTGCTTAGAAAGTACCGAACGGAGTACCGAACTTAAGACCTACCTACACATTCCATTCATACGGCTCGAGCTCCTCCCCCCCCCCATGCCGATGCGCTTTCCGTGGGTCTCCATGTTTCCGTGGCCCGCTTGTTGCGCCACTAGTGACGGTAGAGAAATCGCTGAAATGCCTGCAATAGACGCCGGGTCTCCTCGGGCCCCGGGAATACGCACAGCAGACCACAGCTGGTGGAACTGTGGGGGCTACAGGCTGTCACGGCTCAATGAGGGTACAGAAAATAAATGAAGGGAAGACACTGCAGTGGGGAAGCAAAACATAGGACCCTTGCATCGGCAATGAGAGACTACTTCATGAAATCATCGTGAGGTCTTCTCACTGCTCTAGATGTATGTGAATGTGGCAAACTAACCGTTCACGTAGGATATTCTCTGGAAGGTCTGCTCCAATGGAGGAGCTCCACAAACAGAACTTATAATCTGGCTCTGCTCTTGAAACTTGAATGGCCTGCTGTAATATTGCCAAGAGGACAAGACTGCCCAGAGTTCCACTACTGTAAGCCTGAACCAGCACCCACAGCGCGAATTCCTTACGTGTTGGTTGTCTTGGTAAATGACTACCGGGAAATATTGGCAGGAGAGGGGCTCGTGGGAGGCGAAGACGTGGTCCCATTCCAGGCTACAAAATACAGCGGATATCCTCCATGCAGTTGACTCGCTTCTGAATCCTCCTACCACTGGTGATTTTGCCCCTGAGCGCGTCGTTTGTTCTCCATCAACATGACCATTGACAAGGCCCCTGCTACTACTGGGGTCAACGAGGATCCAGTCTCTTTGGATCCTGAATCTCCTCAGCCACCAGTGGAGGATCAAGATCAGCAGGATGGTGTCCGTGTCGCAGAAGCAGTCACTGCTTCGTGGTCCAAGAAATCCCTCATCATCACCTATGCCTCGTAAGTACTGATCTCTTGTTCGCCAGAATGCAGCTAAAGAATGAATAGCATGTGGTTGTTGTATTTCGTCAATGGATTAAACAGCAGCTTGACAGCGAACCTGTCTGCGTACATCACGAGTGATTTCTCGGAGCACTCGCTGCTTACTGTGATCACTGTTATCACCAGTGTCATGGGTGCTGCGTGTCTGATGCCTATTGCCAAGGTGTTGAACCTGTGGGATCGTACTTTGGGTATCTGCATCATGATTCTGATCGCCATCATGGGCCTGATTATGATGGCGGCCTGCAATAACATCGCAACGTACTGTGCTGCTCAGGTAAGTCCACCTGAACCTATAGCAACATACCCAATATGCTCATTGTTCAGGCATTCTACACTGTCGGTTTCACCGGTGTCATCTTCTGTGTCGACGTGTTGACCTCCGATACCTCTTCACTACGCAATCGAGGCATCGCCTATGCCTTCACCTCCTCACCTTACATCATTACTGCCTTTGCTGGCTCGCCCCTATCTAACCGATTTCACGAGACCAACTGGCGATGGGCCTATGGAACCATCTGCATCATTCTTCCTATTGTCGCCCTCCCACTAATCATAACCTGGGAATTGGCCAAGCGAAAGGCGGACAAGGAAGGCCGACTGCAATACAAGCCCCGGAGCACTCGGACCTGGTGGCAGAGCGTTTGGTTCTACATCATCGAGTTCGATAGTAAGTTATCCATCCTCAATTCCACTTTTCAAATCCTCACTAACAACCATCTCACCCATACAGTCATCGGCATCCTCCTCATGATCGGCGGTCTAATCCTTTTCCTCACCTCATTCAACATTGCCGGAAACACCGAAGGCGAATGGGCCTCGGCCAAGATCATTGCAATGATGGTCGTCGGATTCTTCGTTCTGGTGGCCTTTGTCGCCTACGAGCGATGGGGAGCCCCCAAACCCTTCATCCCATACCATCTAATCACCGACCGCACCGTCATCGGCGCTTGTCTACTAGACATCACCTACCAAATCTCCTACTACTGCTGGGCCAGCTACTTCACCTCCTTCCTCCAGGTCGTCTACAACACCAGCTTAACCCAAGCCGGTTATATCAGCGCCATCTTCGACCTTATGGACCCCATCTGGCTCATCGGCTGCGGCTACCTGATCCGCGTCACCGGCCGATTCAAATGGCTGCTATTATGGGCCGTCCCACTTTACCTCCTCGCCAGCGGACTGATGATCTACTTCCGCCAACCCGGTCACAACGTCGGGTACATGTGCATGTGCCAGATCTTCCTGGCCGTCGGCGGCGGTACTCTGATCCTCATCGAGCAGGTCTCTGTCCTGGCTGCCTCAAGACACGAAGACTACGCCGCTATGCTGGCATTGCTCAGCACATTCGGGAATCTGGGCGGTGCTGTAGGTGCGAGTGTCTCGGGCGCTATCTGGACTAACACCCTCCCTCAGAAACTGAGAGAGTACCTCCCTGATGACACCAAGGATCAGTGGTCGGATATCTACGAGTCTCTGGATATTCAACTAAGTTACCCCGTGGGATCTGACACCCGTATTGCCATTCAAAGAGCCTACGCGTATAGTCAGCGAAATATGATGATTGCGGGCACCGCAGTCATGGTTCTTTCGATTGCTTGGATCTTGATGATGAGGAATATCAAGATCAAGGATAATAAGAATGTCTCGCAGGTCCTGTTCTAGACTGAACCACGATGGTCTCGTGATAGGATGAAAAATTACTGGGTTTTATAGATTGATTGGTATCTGATTTTCATGTGTGCCTTTGGCAATTAATGCCCTGAGTTAGAATGATAAGCTCCAGTACGTTTTATCGTTACGTTATATACTAATTGATTGATTCATGAGAATTTGAACACTTTCTTCCGGGGAGCTGCTACTAGTATCCGAGCTGTAAATTAAGTCGTCGTATATCGGTGTAGCAAACTAACTCCTCCAACTGAGTACTACAATAAATCCATGTGGTATTTCAGTCAGTGGAGGTGTAGGCACGACGAAGGAGGGATGTGGACAGAGATACGATTCGCAGTCTCAGTAGAAATAAAGAATCTGCTGTACCTTCCAGTCCTGGTCAATCGAGACTCTATCGGTCCTTCCCCAATGTGAGGTAGGGTGGCTCTTTCTTCTTCCTTTTACACCTAGTATCATGAAGAAAACATAAACATCGCTGTTCGATCAACACCCTATTTACATGATAATTATAATCTCACCTACACTGTCGCCCCCGGGACACATCCCCAGCTACAGCCCAACCGTCGAAACGGCAACGGACGCAGCGTCTCCCCCGAGCCTCGTGGTCCCTTCAAGCCATTCTCATACGTACTGCAATCCCACCACTCGATCCACTCTGTTCGCGCAACCACAAACCCGCGATGGCAAACCGAGCAAGATCGTCCCCCAGCGCTCCGAACCTCTTTGGCCGCACGGAGCAACCGCACCATCAGCGCCGGGAAGCCCTCCATCTCGTCGTCATCCATCAAATCCGGATACGCCGACCGACTAAACGCCAACAATGACACCTCTCGCAACGATGGGACCCGCCCTTCTTCTCTTCCTCCTCTCCCCCCCTCAATTCTTACCCCTTCCGCATTATACCTCGTCACTGGACCCGTAGCGACGTGGATCGGCGCCCATGCTTCCTCCGGCGGAGGTCCCTCATATACACACGACTTCATCTCCTCCTCCGGCACATGCCACTGCGCCACCTCCACCTCCTGCTCTTCGATCTGCAGTAGCGGGTTCGGCCGCACTGTCAGATGCTTGAGATCGCCCTTGCGGATCAACCAGAGGAGTTCCCAGGGTAGATTTTGTAGTCGGTTCACGGAGAGATTAACCTCTTGGAGCAGGGTCAGTTTGCGGATCGCCGGCGGGATCTCTGTTAACTTGTTGTTTCGGAGACTGAGCACCCGGAGCGCATCCAACTCGAATATCTCCCCGGAAACATTGGATAGGGCATTCCCGGCTAGAAAGAGTCGGAGGAAGGGTTGGAGTGAGCTGTAGACGTCTTCACTGATTGGAGGCTCTTTGATTGCGGGGAGTTTGGTAAGATGTTGTAGTGGGAGGAGAAGGCCGGTTGGGATGGTACGCAGGTTTCCGCCGCTGCATACACATCAGTAAGTAAGTATTTTGGTTCCAAGTGGAGAGAGAGAGACAAAAACAGAGAAGACTCATACCTCAGATCCACACTATCCTCCCCCCTCTCCAAACAATCATTCACGATCGTTCGCGCAATCTGCTGTTCTCGGGGTTCCTCCTCCACCATCATCACTCTCCTGGAAACACCCACTCCCACACCTCGCGGTTGCATCTGTGCCTGTATCTGCATCTGCACCCTCTGCGCATCCCCATTCCCACTCGCATTCAAAAAAAGTTCACCTCCCACATCCCCTTCCGACAACATAAAGCCCGAATCATCACTCCCCATCCAGACCCCACTATCCACCAACCGCTTATCCTTGAAGTCTCCGCGCTTGCGCTTCACATCCTTATCCTTATCCTTGACCATCTCCCCCCACCAGGTCCCGCGGTATCGGCGCTTCCGACTCCCAGCCGGTACAGGTGCATGGTAATTCTCTAGTCCGGAGGCAGGAATATCATCGCTGGAGAAGAGCGCCGGGTCACTGGAGGGGTCGTCGAAGTAGCGGTGATGATTGCGACGGGTTGGGGAGGAACGGTGTCGGATGCGTGGGGGTGGGGGGAGGGGGATTTCATTATCCATTTTCTTCCTTTTTCTTCCCCTCTAGGGCTGTTGGGACCTGGTTTGAGTTGTGTGAGAGAGCGTGTGTGGAGAAGGGATTATGATGAGATGTATCTTAAGATGTAAGGAGGGATGCGCTGAGATAAAGTGGTTGGAGGTAGGTAGGTCGGCGGTCGGTGGTAATGTTCGGGAGAGAGGGAAAGATCACATCACCACCGGATCATGACGTCCGATGGAATGTCGATCGATTGGGTTGGGTCTGTCGGATGGAGACTTCCGGAGGGAGATTGGAGGCGTCAGGGGGGAATTTCTGGCGTGCGATTCGACATTGTTTATCTCGACGCGTCGCGGTGCCCGCCAAGTGGAGCGGGGCGGCGATTGATAACAATCCTTCGGATTTACGGATCATCGGCTTTATTTCCATTCTTTTCTTACTTTGATAACTTGATTAATTACCTTGGGCAAATATTCAGTATTCACACCTACATTTATTTGCTGAGTAGTTTGATAGTAGGTTTTATTTATCAGGTCGACCCTATACAAACACTATGCACAGCTTCAATCACTCACGGCCGAACCCTGAATAAGATAGAAAAAAAAAATCAAACCCCAAAACATCAACTCGTCAATCTGAAACATCATAAGGGTATGGGTATAATGTGAATCCATAATCAGTGGGTACATCATCCGAGGACAATGCCCGAGGAGGATTAATATAGGCGGAAGAAGCAGAATAAAGTATGTGATAAAGAAAGTAAAGAGTTGGTTGTTTCCCTCTCAAGGATCCTGCGCGTGAAGAGGACTTCATGTTGCGGTAAGCTGGCGGTGGTGTTCATGGAGAAGCTTAAGTACTTCTTGGTTTAGAGAGCGCCCAGGATCAGGGCCAAGGAGCCTGCGATGAACGCGACGGGCATCTTGGCGTCCATGCTGCCCACGCCGGAGTCCTTGACGACGGGGGTGGCAGAGGCGGAGTCAGCGCTGCCGCTGGAGACGCTCGAGGGCACTGCCACTGAGGATGACGCAGGAGCAGAGGAGCTGGCGGCGATAGAGCTGGAGCTGGCAACCCGGATGCTGCTAGACATGGCATGGCTGGTCGGGATGACTGGCACCGAAGAGGTTGATGACACCACACTGGAGGTGGGTGTCACCTTGTCGACGTGGACCACGGTCTGGGTGATGTAGGTAGTCACCGTTGAGGTGCTGGTGGTGTCGATATCTGCAGCGACAAGCTGGGAGGCTGCCAGGCAGAGGATGGAGGAGATGACAGTGCTGAACTTCATGGTGGGGGTGGTTCAAAAGGTCTGCGGGAGATCTTAGGATGCGAGATATGTATGTTGTCTAAGAACGAGTGACAAGACGCAAAAGAGTGAGCGTCGAGAAGTAAAGCCAGTGAGGAAAGAGCGTGGAGAGCGGTGCTCGAGACAAAGGATTGTGAAACGATGCAATGTCTGAAGACGCGCCGAAGGGGAAAAAGGAGTTGACCGCGGGGGTCGACTAAATATGAGCCTGGGCGAGACTCAGCACGAGGGCCGGAAAATTGCCTGACAGTGAGTGGTAAGGGGCACTGCAGACCTGCCGATTGGACATTGGGAATGTGTCCGGGCATTGTTCACGAGTCACGACTCACTTCGACACGCCGCCAGCCCACAAACAAAGCACCGGCCACGTTAGTCGCCAGCGCATCGATTGCTGCGCTGTTGGGCCAGCCCGATTGTGCCTGACTCCTTTTCGAGTGAGGATCGCCAGTGTGCGTTGCTTGGCCGGGGATACGCCCTGGTCTAGTGAACTCACTACCCGCCGGGGCGGGGAGGAACAGGGCTGATTGGGCTTGGTGGTTCCTGAGTTCTGCACTGGTCAGCCGGAGCCTGAAGAATCCTTCGCAATCGTCCAGATGGTTCTCCTAGAGCCGTGGTTGTCACGACGTGAGCTGGTCTCCGGCGGGTTTCACTCACCAGGCGCCCTGGACTCCTCGCTGCCCCCTGGCTTCGGAGACTCGTTTTGAAGACATCTTGAAACTCGAGCGATTCACAATTTATCGGTCAATAGTCTGGTTGGGAGGTCGAGGCGTGAGCTGGTGAGCTGGCCAGTGGCTGCTGACACGAGCCCCTGATGGAGGATGCCAGCGCATTCGGGAAGCAGTTGCCGACGAAAGGGTGGAAACTCCACCGGTTCGTTCCTGACTAGTGACTCGGGCAATCCCCAACCCTCCAGACTAGCCGGTTAGTCCCTCTAGTCCGTGCAGGAACCAAGGGACCATTGTGCCCTTGCAGCCGTAATTAAACCTAATCCTGCGCATTTTTCGGCGTCAATTTCATCGCCATATGTATTATACTCCGGTCCGACTTGCTGGCTTCGTCCAAATGTCCGTTTCTGCCAGTAAGTCCGATAGTTCGGTGTCGGGAATGTTCCTGAAATTATGACATACAAATATATATAGGGGTCCCCTGTGTTGCCTCATCATTATCGTGAAACATACCCCAGAAGTAAAAGGGAAAAAAGAGAGCGATTAATTAATACACATTATCAGGAGCTCACAGCAGCATCCAAGCACCCCCCAGAACAACCAACAGTTCGGTTATTCCCTTGGATGCTCTCGATGCAGCACCGGTAAAAAGTGGCGTCGCGGCCATTTGTGTCGCACTGGCAATTCCACTGGAAGGCTCCAACGGCGATGCGCTCTTGTAGGAATGGCTGCTCGCAGAGGGAATTAGAGTGGACGCAGATGTCTTTTTTCCGGTCGCGTATCCTTGCTCGTGGCTGCTGCTGCCACTGTTGGGAATAGATGAAGGCAATGTGGTTGAAGCCATCACTGGACGGACAGAAATTGTAACGGTAGAGGATTGTTCAATTGTCACAGTAGAAACCACCGGCACAGGAGGTGTGGATTGGGCTCCCGGGGTGCCGCTGTTTTGCTCTGCCTGAGATTCATTATGAGGAACAGAGCTTTGGGACGAACCGCCCTGCTGGGCATAAGGCTGAGTATTCGTGCTAGCCCCACCAGAGATGGCTGAGTCGGACTGTGTTCCCGAGTAACCTTGCTGTCCATCAGTCGAGCTCTGGGAGTGAGCATCGGTTGCGCCTGAGGAATCTGCGTGGCCACTGGCGGAGGAGCTGCCTGCTGATGTCTGAGGTTGTGAACCATGCAGACCCGGAGAAGAGCCAGACCCTGTACCAGAACCACTTAGTGGCGAGCTAGTCGCAGACATCTCGGGCTGTGAGCTATGTTCACTTGGAGAGTCAGTCACTTTGCCTGAATTTCCCTGCGGCGAGCTAGTAGTTGCAGATACTTCGGATTGAGTTCCATGTCCACCCATTGAAGAGCCAGACATATCGTCCGTATCACCCTGTGCTGAACTGGTCGCTGTGGGTTTCTCGGGTTGTGACCCATACTCGCCCTGTGAAGAGCCAGATACTCTACCAGATCCACCCAGGGATGAGCTTGTAGCGGAAGTCACGGGCTTTACGCCATATTCACCAAGAGAAGAGTCACTGGGTCTGCCCGAATCTCCCTGTTCCAAGGCAGCTGCAGAGGCTTCGGGCTGTGAGCCATGCGTGTCCTGAGAATTACCTCCCTGGGGAGAGCTCGTAGATGTAGCCGTCTCGGGTTGTGAGCCACCCAGATATGATCCAGGAAGTGACCCAGAACCACCATTTTCTGAACTAGTGGACGTCCTCAATCCAGTAGAACAAGGCGAAATGTACGTCTCCGTCAATGTGATGGTGACGACCTTGGTGGGTTTGGCAGTATGCTTAGATCCGTGCTGGTCGACTGCTGAGTCGGTTGTGAAAGATGCTCCGGAACCGATTCCTAGATTAGATGAGACACTTGGTGACGAACCCACAACGATTGTTTGGGGTAGAGCGGTTGATGTCCCTTCCGCACCATTAGATAGACTTGGGTGGGAGGGAATGTTGCTCGACAGAATGACACCACTCGAGATAGCACGGCTGGGCTGAACCGGGTTGCTAGAAGGGATGGCCCCGTTGGACGGTGTAACCCGGTTAGAAGGAATGGCGCTGCTGGAATGGATTGGTTTACTGGGAGGAATGGCTCCACTGGAGGGTATGACTCCGTTTGAAGGAATTGCACTGCTGGAGTGGATCGGCTTGCTCGAAGGACTAGAAAAAACAGCACGACTGGAAGCAAGGGAACTGCCAGAGACCAGACTGGAGGACGCTGGACTTATCGAAGCACTTGGACTGCGCGAGGCCACACGAGTGGAAGCGACAGAACTGCTTGATTCGATAACGCTGCTAGATTGAATAACGCTCCTGGAGTGTTCGGTCCTGCTGGAAGGAGTCACTGAATGAGAGAATGCTGAGCTGGGAGTCGGAGTGGCCAAGATAGATGTTGTCACCACAGGGGTCGGTGTCGGGGTCGGTGTACTTGTGGTACAATCAGTAGTTGTGACTTCCACCGTGACAGTGACCTCATCTCTCTCATGAAGGCCAATAATGCGTGGCTGAAGTGACTCATAGAGATAGAGATCCCGCTTCGCCAGAGTCAAGGTCGCCGGTCTAACTGTACAGGCCTCCGTGACAGCGGTAGTAGCCGAAACCGTGGTCGTTGAAGTCGAGGGAGCACACGGATTAGAAGCAAATCTAGGGGCTGCCTGAAGGGTGCCAGAAACCACAGTGACAGCGCCTTGATATAGCCGGCAGGTGTGGGAGGAACCGTCATAGGTGACGCCTGTGCATCCCGATGTCACCGAGCAGCCACCCATGCACGCACGTAGTGAATATCCCTCCGAGCTGGTATATGTGCCGCCTCTGAGGTCGTTGGCGCAGTATTCTTCATAATAGTAGCCATCGTAAAGATAGTACCCTGGTGTGCAAGCGATGGCCGCCGATGTTTGGACCGTACAGGTGGATGATGCTGTTGTTGTTGGCATGTCTGCGACAGTCAGGGTAAAGGCAGACTGTGCCAGAGCCGACAAGAGAATGAGTGACTTGGCCATTGGAGAGGCCATGATGGCAATCGTTAATGACAGACTGGGGTGAGTGGTCGCACCATGAGTCGGGGGACCAGGACGGGGAGGGTGTCCTCGTACTTATAGTTCGAAGTACTTTTGGGCCACATGCCGCTTTCTATCCATCGTGGGTTGATGGCTGCTCCTGGACCAAGTCTATCGCCTTCGAGGTCGGCTCCAAATGCCGATGCTGGATGGTTTAACCTTCAGCTCGACTGGAGGATCCGACGGGATGCCACTGACCAGGGGCGCATCAAGCCACCACATATTAGGCCACATGGTTTAGAGATCAGGCACGCGATCCCGAGCTCTCACTGGTGCTTGAGATAAAAACACAGTGGGGAAGATGCATGCCACCGTGAAAGCGGATCTGGAGGCTGAGGCATGTGGACAGAAGCAGTACACATAGCCGACAGATGTCTGTCAAATCATCGGCGTGTCCGACCGTTGGACTGGGAAAGAAGTCAACTACTATCATAACAACGGAGTCCCCCGCTAGCTGGTTGCGTCCTCCAGACCCGCTCTGCTGTCCAAACTAGCAATTTAAAGCGAGCTTGACAAATAGTTGATCCTTGGTGTCAACCGTATACTACAAAGCCATGACTTGATGTTATTTCTAGTGGACTATCGGTAGGAACGCTTTGATTGGTCTTGCTGTCACATGCCTCTAGTCTTTTGTGTGTCATTTGGAGTGCTGGCTTTGCTAACAACCATAACTCCAGACAGGTCTGACACAGAAATGAATGAGATCAGCTATCTAGGTAAGGATGATGGATGTCAGGTATGAGATACATGGCCTTGGAAGAATCAAGGCAGGCTTGCAAGAGGATGATATGGGTCCTACTAAAAGGTTTCTCTTAGACCAACTGAATACGTTCAAACCATTCCCCACATATACCTACAGTTCATCGATGTGTCGCCAATAACCGCATTATATCAAGGGAGCAATAAATATAAGATCCAAGGCATGGAGAACTCATGCACGGGGCGGCGGCTACAATCCATCAAGCCTCTGTGCTTGGGCACTGGGCGCTCCTCTGCCCGATCATCCATGAAGGATTCCAGGTTCGATTCCCTTCTCGGCCTATGTCTTCCTCTCCTATATCAGTGATATCCAACATACGAGGGTCATCCCCGGGACAACCATGACTGATCTATGCCACTTCTGCAGCGAAATCAATTTTGACGCTCTCAGAAACCCCTTGAAATCAGACCTTCCTGCCATTGCCAACAACCGAATTGACTGCAACCGACACCCTTTCAGAAACAAGCGCGACGAGGCTCACAAACCAACCCCCCTCGGAACATTCGGCGAGCTCCTCCAGCGAGCTCAAACATGTCGACTCTGTGAACTAACCGCCGAAATCATATCTCGGCAGAATGGATCCCGAGCCGAAGGCTTTCAAGTGCAAAAACATGAGACCTGTCGGGCGATGACATCTTTTTATGGCGACTATAACACTCCCGGGGGCGCGGTTTTCTGGACTCGTTGGCTGTCCATCCTCATTGGGGACGGTTTAGATACAGAGATCGACCAACAAAAAGACCTGTATGGGGCTTTCCAGGCCTGCGACATTGATGCAACAACCGTTGTGGTGGATGGGCGGTTTCTAGACCCACGTCCAGAGGTGGATATGACGGTCTTCGGTGGACGTCGACGACCCTTGCAGCTGGATCTATCATGGGTCCGCAGCTGGGTTCAACTCTGTCAGGATCACCATGGACAAGCCTGCGAGTTGGCGGACGTTGACCCCCAGTCTAGACTCGACTTGATCCGTTTTGTAAATGCTCGAGACAGATGCGTTGAAACACTAACCAACGTCAGACTATCGGAAACTCCATATCTCGCGCTCAGTTATGTCTGGGGCGGACCACAGACTTTCCAGCTCGAAAAGTCGACCACCACCCAATTGGCACAGTCAGGGTCCCTAGCTGCTGGAGCTCTTCCCCAGACTATTGAGGACGCATTGTTCCTAGCTCACTCGCTTGGGTTCAAGTATATCTGGATCGACGCTCTATGCATCATCCAAGATTCCCCTGACAACAAAGCAACCCAACTTCCAGCCATGAGCCAAATATACGGCTTTGCCACATTCACAATCGTGGCTGCAGCTGGTTCAAACGTGCACAATGGCCTCCCCGGTCTTCATCCCGGAACTCGCTCTCTCCAACAAAAAGAAGTCCTAGTAAAACCATCCAACGATGATGGTCTCCCCGGATTCTCATTAGTGACAACTTTACAACCCCTAGCCCACAACTCCCACCACTACCTCGAAAGCACCGAATGGAACAACCGAGGCTGGACAATGCAAGAACGCGCCCTGTCCCGTCGGGTCCTAGTATTCACTCGCGAACAAGTCTACTGGGCCTGTCGCGAAGCCTCATGGCGCGAAGAATCCAACTTCGAGAACCTATCACTTCAATGCCATCGATTCCACGAGAACGCCCTCGAACTAAGCCTCCGGTGGTCATCCCCCCACAATTCAACCCAACTAGAAAACCCCCAGTCCCAATTCTGGAGGATATATCAGACCCTCGTGACAAAGTACACTCGCAGAAGTTTCACCTACGGCGGAGACATCTTCGATGGCTTCTCAGCCCTCACTCAGGGCCTGTCATCGCTCTCCGGCGAAGAATTCATCTGGTGCTTACCGCGCTCGTACTTCGAGCAGAGTCTTCTCTGGAGTTCCTTTACGGAACAGAGACGCCGGTTAGAAAAGTCCACACTCCCAATGACATCCATGCATAAACAAGTCCATTTCCCGAGCTGGTCATGGATGGGTTGGGTCGGGGAAACTTCCATTTATATATGAGATGAGCGGTTCGATGCTGACTTGGGGTGAGTCCATCCTATCCCATCCCATCCCACACCATCTATCTACAACTCCAGAGTATACACTAACCTGGACTGTACTGGACTATCAGCGAAATCCCCGAAATCCTCTGCTACTACCACACCCACTCACCCCTTCGCATTACGCCCATCCGCTCAACACCATCCCAATACGCACAATCAGACCCACAACCACCAACCCTCCCAGCATGGAAACTCCACCCCAACCAACCAATCTCACTCTCCACCCTCACCCAAACGCAACCCCTCCTAAATCTTCACGAAACCCCAGACACACTCTACCTCTTCTTCTGGACCAGCTCTGCACAATTCACCTTACGACCCCGAAGCACCAGTCCCATATGTCAATCAGAAGTCGTAGACACAGATGGCATCGTAATCGGCGAGACAGGAAAGGCGGTGCATGAGGAAAAATGTCATTGCAGTACTGAAACACCGCATGAGTTTATCGTCGTAGCTAGTCGCAGGAACCAGTTCACTAGGTCGATGCTACTCGCTTTGCAGATTGAGTGGCGGGAGGGGATTGCGTATCGGGTAAATATTGCGGAGATAGAAGAGGATGCGTGGGTTCGGGCGTCTCCTGTTTGGAACTTGCTTGTTGTGATGGGGTAGGATGATTATTAGTAGTGATGCGGGTTACTTTAGCTTGGCTTGGCTTGTCTAGTTGGCGAGTTGTTTTGGCTTGCGTCGCATGATATCGCATTTTGTGTGGAAAGTAAACAGGAACGGTATGCTTTGGCTTGGTGTATTGGCATGCTGAGGATGTATGCACTGTAGTAGCATTGAGCGTGACCACTAGCCCGTTAATATCTGCCATCCGCTACACATATATGGATGTTTAAATTAGATCAGAGCGAGAGAACCGAGTAGATCCGGAGCGATGCCGTACAGAACTTGAGATTGTTCTTGCCCAATGGTCGCTATTTCTTGCCTTATAAACCATCAAACGCCAAAGCAAGGACTGTCAAAACATCGCTAATGCTGCTCACGAAAGGAAACGCTGTAAAACACAGAACCCCCGTCCACTATCACATACATCCAAGGGAAACAGGGGCGGTTAATAATATAAAGCAAGAAACACACATCACCGGCTGCCTTCCGTCTGAGCCTGATGCCAGATCGTATCACCACTAAGAGCAGAGTAACTCAGAGCTGCAAAGTTCCTCCAACTCGGCGGCGCCGACGATGCTTGTCCCTCGACCAGGCCCGCCTCGGATCCAGCATGACGCTCGAGGTCCGACGTTTCGTCCTCACTCACCCCGGCGATCGGCACCGGCGCCGACGATGCGCTATGCTGAGAATCCAAGTCGTGGCGGTATTCATCCTCAATCGAAGGCTCTGTTGACTCGTGGGTCTCTGCAGCTTTGTTCTGAGACATTGACCGGACCACGTCGCCTTTACAGATAGGACAGGTTCGCCGGCGGGTTGTCAGCCAAGGCGTGCTGTGATAACCGTTAGTTAAAGACATCGAGAAGGATAGAAAACAACCGTCACTTACATGCACTCCGCATGGAACTCATGGCCACAGGGCAGACTCATCACCCTGCTTTGCCCATCAACATATTCCTCCAGGCACACCACGCACTCAACTTGTCGACCGGTGTACTTCCGTCGCCATAGAGTCGAGGTTCCAGACTTCTCCTTCCGCGATGATGACATCTTCGATGCACTCGTCGCTTCGTTGGCATGTGATTCCTGTTGGGACCGGGAGGCTAGTCGAGCACGTCCCGAACGACTCTTAGCGCCCAACAATGGCGAAGTCGGCGACACCGGACCAGGGCTGACGGATCGTGGAGAGCTGGTCCCGGAGGAAGAAGTTGTGATAGTATGGTAGGTTCGTACAGGAAGGCGATCAACGAGAGACTTTGGGGCGCGCCACCGTCTCCGCCGGATACGAGACCGCAGCAACAAAAGCACATAAACAACGGTCAATGTGAGCAACGGGCTGACGACCAGGACGAGCAGGGTATCAAAGAAAGGACTTGTCGACATGCTTGTTGGCGTTAGTGTGACCCATAAGCCGTCATGTTCTGCTGCATTAACGCCCTGGCGACTCTGAGAAGTCGCTTCGTGGAGTTCCTGGTCTTCGGCCATCTGCCCGTGAACGCGGGGACTTGGGTTGAGATCCGGCTCATCGTCCGTTGCCCAAAGGAAATGCCGAGAAAACCAGCTGGTCCGCTGGGAAGAGGATCCTTTCTTTACATCCTCGAGCGGAGGTTTGCGACCAAAGTCCTTCATCTTCGATTCCTTCTCGATGCTGGACTTCTCCACGGTGCGATATTCCCCACTCCCTGGAGTGATGCTGCCACCCTTTAAGGTAGCGGACGTGGGATGCGATCCCTTAACACTAGTCTGCACTTTGCTGCCGTCTGTTTCGGTGGTACTGGTAGGTGACGGAAGGGCGCTGCCCTTCGGAACTACGAGGTCTGGATCTCGCCAGTCCTGCACCCCGATAACGAATCCATCGCCGTCCGTACTGCTCGACTGCGCGCCGGATTTCTTGTGGTTTTCGGCTGCCCCGTCGGCTTTTGTCCGGGAGCTCTTGCGCTCAACGTCGTCCTGGGACGGCTCCTGGTCGTCCCAATGATCTAGGAGAATCCAGTTGATGTTTCCGCTGCTTGGCGGGCGACGGCTGTCTTCCGGTGGATACCACGCGGGTCCACCATGGTTGCCGAGACCGAACAACGATAGCAGGGCGTGGAAGAACCCGGACTTCGGTCTCGCAGGAACCGCGCTGTCATGAGTCACGGCCTTGTGACTGGAGGTGGGTGACGGAATGACGGAGGTAGTTGCTGTTGCGTCTATGCGTTGCTTGCCGGTGCTGCCGTGACTCGAAATCTTAGTGTGGGGTCCAGATCCATCGTCTGCGCCCGAGTCCTCCCCTTGCGGAGGGACCAAGGACGACAGCAGATGTGCCGTGGTGTGGGAGGTGAACAAGGCGGGGATCGTCACATTGGATGTGTCACCCCGTGCATACATGGTGACGAGGCTTCCTCCTCGAGTGTCGTCCCCCACAATCAGAGCGATACCTCCACGTCGCTGGACCCACTTGACCTTCTCCAAGAAGCCACAGCCGCCCCTACTCAGTAGGACGACTTTGCCGTCGATCTCGGCGCTTTCCTGCAAGGATTGAATATCCGCATGTGCAGCTTGCCGGTTAGGGTAGTGCTCCCCGTGCCTTTCTATACTCCCCGGATCGGATACTTTTGACTCGGGAAGAGGATGGTGGAGATGATCATCCGTACCGTCGTTCGTCAACGGGGATGTTGTTTTGGTTTTGGAGTCGTGCTGGAGGTCGGCATCCGGCTGGGGATTTGCATGTCGATGGCCTTGTGAGACGGTCGGTTCATTGCCAGGAGTAGACCCTGATTTCCCCAGTGCGTTATCTGCGCCCGCACCCGGCTTCGGGCTATCGCCCTCTCCCCAACCCGGGATATCTGAGCATCCCAACTCCCCTTCCGCTCCAGCCGCCGTTCGTTCTCCAAAGCCGCTACCGATCCATAGTTGGCCGCTCAGTCCCTTGTCCGGAAGCAAAGGGCCAAACGCTGCAGGTCGGGCCAAGAAAAAGGTCGAGTTATCATCGGTAAGGCTGATTATGGCGGATGGCGGGAAGAGAGACGAGGGGATGTTGAAGGAGAAAAGGGCATGCAGTCCCGTTGCTCGACCCGCGAGCGAACTGGGCGTGGATACCCGAGGTGAAGATGTGACCGCCGAAAAGAATGTGAGCAGGATAGGAAGGAAGATGAGGCAGAAAACGACAAGGAGCAAACGTGGTGGGCGCATAATTGAAGGATGTGTGAAATGCAATAGAGAGAGATCGCTTGATGGGGCGGGAAGGAGAGAACCAAGGGAGATCAACGCTCAGGACTGGGTTTCTTGCAGCAGGCGATGTTCTTATGACCAATCAGACGGTCGAGGAAGCGCTACAGGACGGGCACTCATCGAGAGGGCAGGAGGAGGGCAGAAGCAGGTGTGAAGGAAACAAGAAAACTAGGGAAGGGAAGGGAAAGGAAGGGCAGGCAGGCAGGCAGGCAATGACGACTAGATGCCACCCAGGGGCGGATGACGGAAGAAAAGGAGCTGCAGGGACATGGACGGATAGTGAGTATGTAGGGAGAAAGCGAGAAGGGGGATGAACGATGGAGACGGGCAAAGAAAGAATGATCAGCTCACAAGTCAGACACGCAAGCACCGCCTCGAGGGGGGTCACGGGATCGATTCCCTGCCTGAGGCTGGCGGGCCCCATGGAGGGGGTTCGCGCTTTGTCAGGCAACCGCCATCAGGCTTCTAACTACGTCACTGACCTGCGCCCGTGCTCCCTTCCTCGGTACTACTAGTACTAGAACTACTAGGTCGTTTCAGACCCAATGTTTTTGAAAGAGGAGAAAATGACACCCTAAACATTGCTTCCTGGTGAAGTTTCTAAAAAGCTCTCTATCCACAACAACATGACAGTCGAGGTAATCTGGTGTGAGTCTTGGCGTCGTCAATCTTACGGCAGTGGATCTATAGATAATGGCCATGGTCATCTCCGTGGCCCACTTCCCATTTCGTCTCTTGCCTCAACCTTCCTGACTGATAACAAGGCATCTCTAGTCGACCACAAAACAAGACTGCTGACATCTGTTTATCTTTCTATCTCTTATCGCTAACCGAGTCATTCCACACTATTGTGACTTCGAGATGGCTGCAGTTGACCTGGCGCTTATACTCGTCTACCTCTCAAATTCCTCTTCTTGAAGTGGAACAGGCTTACTCTTGCATCCGAGAGCATTATACGTGACACGACAGTTCTATGAAGAGTAATGCAGATGGAAGAATGAGTGCGAGTGCGAGAGTGGAAGCGCCCACGTGCAATAAAAAGCAGCACAAAGATAGAATCGTCCACCCGAATTCCTGGGGACTCCTCGCTCTTGGTTATAGCTTGGCCTTTTCAGAGAAGCGATAGATGACATCCTGAAAGCTTCCACCCGGGAAGACATACAGCCACTCGAACTCCTGGTCGCTGTCGTTCATGACCGAGTGCTCTGCATCGCCTGGGATAAAGACCGCACTGCCCTTCTCGACTTGGTGAGGTTGCCCGTCGATTGTTACCGTTGCTCGACCCTTCAGAACATAGTACAGTTCTGCTTGAGTGTGGCGATGGGCGCAGAGATGCCCAGTATGCGGAGGACAGACGGCAATCCCCGCAGACAGATCGCTGGTTGGCGTGTTAGGTTGAGACAATAGAGTGCGCCAGGTGAGTTCCCCGTGTAAAGGGTCCGAGAAGGACTCTGGGGGGAATGCCGTAATTGCAGAGGATGACAGAATGACTGGCCGAGTTTTTGGCGATGACATTTTGAGCACTGTAAGATGTCCGATATGTGGTTCTATGGATGACCGGCGCCACTGACTATATATGTGTGGCCGCCGACTTCTGCCTGGTGAGTTTGGTAGCCATTTTAGGAATAAGAATGCGAAGAAGAGGGGGTTTTCTACCAAGCAATATTTCGCTGTTTCGGGAAGCTTCTTGAACATCAACCCTCGATGACTTTGACCGACCGTCTACCCAGCCAACGCAATCAAATCATCGTTACGGACCTCGACCAACATTATGTTCAGGATATAGTATTACTCTCAAACGTATCATGAATTTGGGGTGGATGCGGGATTGCGGGATGGCCGAACCGTCCGCCTGGCCCCGCCAGGGCTTTGGGATTCGTGTATCCACTCATATAAGACTGCTGCAGTCGAAAATATTTGTAATATCCGAAAGGGCCCCAGTCCCTGTGCCCATCGTCATCGGATCCAAAAACTCAATCATGCAACAACGTTACCTCTCAGAATAGCAGCGACTCCTGCAACAAGCTTGGCTCGTATTCCCGCTTTGGTCTCCAACACAGATGTCGATCAAAACCTCAGCAACCTCACTCCACGGCCAATCATGGCCGTGGGACAAATTAATAGCATCATTGCAGCTTCCATGGATCACTCTGGTGACCTGAAGCTCGTGGCCGGGAAATATCAGGCCCTAGGGCTAAACTCTGTTGCTGTTTGTCTTCAGGACATGACAATGGGCAGATATTAGCCCAATATGTCTGTGGCAGGTTTATCATGTTGATCTGAGTCAATATGTCCCATAAATTCGAATCAGATTCAATATATTGTGCGTTGGCTTCGTTGTGGCCTTGGTGGAATGTAACGGCCAGTGGGGGATGCTTTGGTGGGACCGCAGGGCAACAAGCGGGGTTGTTCTGTGGCGCCATCCGGGGTTCCGTGGCTGGTGCCGGCCAAGCTTAAGATGGGGCTGGCGGGGTGGAATGACGTGAATGACATCCTGATCCCGCGGTTCCCAACGTCATTTCTCGTGGTGGTACGATTAGTGAGATCCCACAGCAACTTAACATATGATGAGCGTTCTGAGTCACTGGCTCAGAATTATAAGGTAGACTTTCGCCAGATGGGATCTAATCAGTCTATCACTCACGGCAAGTGATTTCATTCTAGAAGTGCACCTAGGGTGGGTTCATGACAGGTGAGGCCGATCTGTTCCCGGACCAGCCTTTCGAGAGGAGCCTGGACCTTATTTGAACCTGCGGTAGCCTTGCGCAATATTTCGAGTGGGAGCCATCGTGGCATATCCTGCTTGATGGAAAAATCAACTTGTTGAACCTCACTACACCGAACTAAGCTATCGGCACGATGTCGAACCTCATATACAAGGTCAAAGATGCCATAATTGGCCATCACAACAATGCTAGTGCTAGTACGAGCATCCCTCCATCACTAGACAGGCTTCGATGAACACTAAGCCGAGTTTAGGTCAAGGGAATCACGGTCCCGGCTTCGACAGATACAGCCCTGGTGACTACGAACGCAGGACTGACACTTATGGCTCGGGTGCTGGTGGACACAATGATGATAACTATGGCTCGGGAAATACTTGCAATTATCGGGCTGGTTCTGGTAGCTATGAACCCGAAACGGAGAGGCTTGATATATCGGCAACCGGGGGACATGCGCAGGGCATGGATAGTCGAGCTAGGCCAGGCTTCGGCGGAGTAGAAGGGGGCAGCAGCTACAATAGCCCCGGAGATGACACCGGCTATTATGCGTACAGTTCTACGAACAAGCTGGACTCTGGCAAGATGGGGTCTTATATGATGGGGCCCGGCAATGTGCGCTTTGCTGGAACACAACGGAACCTATGGTAGGGGCATGTGCAAGTTATCAATGATCTCACGCAAAAGTACGGGTTACTTTTGCTCAGTGCCGTTGTAAAATGATTGGCATTGGGATAAATAGAATGCAGAAGTGAATGAGTTCTCGTTGCGGTTGCGTAGGCTCTGTTTCCGCCATGTGGGAGGAAGACGTAATGACCCCAGGCAGAAATGGTAGGAATCAGGCCATTCACCTAGATTGGAAGGCGCGACACACCGTTTGCTGTACCACGCCGTCCCTGCCTCTTCTGGTATTCACTCGTTTGTGTTGTACTTTTCATCAAATCAACCTTCGACCTCTATGGCTGCCCAACGCTCATTCTCTACATCCCAACTTACCTTATAATCCTCTGGTCCCCCGCAAAGCCCCGCAATGTCTCGCCGTCTGGTTATCACTAGAGCGTCCACGGCATCCTTGATTCACGACGAGGATCAAGAGCTGGACAACTTCGAAGCCCTGGCCTCCTCCCAGCCGATCCCTCTGTTTCAGCTCTGCACCAAGGCCGGCTCGAAGAAAGGTGCAAGAAGTCGGAAGCTTCTGTCGGAGATGCCATCTACGAGCGACCCAAAGGATTTGCGTCCGATGAGCCAACAAAAGGCCCTGTCTCATCTTTCCGCGTTACACCGTGCCAACAGTGGGGACCACCATCTGAAACTGGCCACCGAGTCTTTCGTATCCTCCCGCCTAGAATCACAGGGATGGGACAGCAGTGATGATAGTCAAATTCAACAGAACCCTTTAAGCTATTCTAGGTCTTATGACTCCTCTTACTCGTTTGGCACTCCGCTCCATCGATCGGTTACTGAGGATACTTCTTTGCACCTCTACGGAGCCAGCTTTGATCGGACCTATAGTCAATCTCCATACGAGTCCCTGCGGGTCCGTGCCCGTCTTAAGCGACCTGAAACCCGGATTACATCTGGACTTGAGATCTCGGGGCCTGGGCCACAGCACGAGCAACCCGTGGAACATGCGCATGCTCGCGAACTGGGAAAGGAGGAGAAAAGACGCAGGTTCAAGGAAGAGGTCACAGCGCTGCTCAAAAATGTGGCCCAGAATGCCGAAAGCTCCAAGACAGATGATGAACAGTTACAGCTCCGAGAAAAGGCCGTAGCAGCCCAAGCCCCCAAGACTCATACTCCACCCAAGAGTCCGATATCAGAGACCAACGCTGCCAGCACCGACAATGCGTCGAACCTTGCCAATGAAGTCGCAACTTATGCCGACAAAGTCATAAGAACACCACCCGGACTCACTAGACCCAAAGTCCTGCATCAGCAAACAACCAGATTGGAAGAAGCGGAGGCTTGGTTTCACCGGGACGGTCGAGGTCAGGACGGACTTCGGCAGCAAATTGCAGGAATCGCCGGGAACTGCGCCAGTACGAAGGAAGAGCAGATGACACTTCTCCTGGGTGACATTATTCTTAACCTCTACTCCTATATTGCTGGGGACCGTACGAAGCAGGCTGCCAACTTTGGCGATTTCGGAGAGGTAGATGCTTCCTTTTGTTCGGCCAGGAAGGATGGATATCGCAGCTATTTTGAATAATGCGATACGAAATAGGTCAGCGGGTGGGTTTATTCATGATGTAGTATTAGAGGACTAATTCCGGGAATATGATTGAAAAGCCGACAATACAAAGCAAAAGGTGTTTATTCCGTAGCGAATATTCGATCTCCGATCCGCGACTGACTGACTCCACTTGCCGCAAATCACTTCCTGCGCCCTCGACGTCACCGCCAGTCGCGCATCCCCAAATTTCCCACCCTCAGTGATCAATTGCACCACCAGCCCGGAAATCTCTTCCACACCATGCGCGACGAGATCAAAGATGCCCTCATCGAAGAGGCTGCCCATGACCGGGCCGTCGCCAAAGCGATCCTCCTATCAGGAACATACTTGTATCCCCTGAAGGTAAGAGCAACATCACCCACCATCAACCACAAACAGAACTATATCCCCCCATAAACAAACCAATGCTAACCCCCAATCCCCCCGCTCCCCAGGGCCTCATCTACACAGCCAACCATCCACCCCTCTGGCAACCCTTCCTCTCCCGCTCCGGCAAAATCATCACCCTCGGCCTAGGCGTCACCTCCACCATGTTCTTCTTCACCTACGCCCCGCAAGCAGCCTTCATGACCATCACCAACGGCGCCATGGCCCCCATCTCCGCCGCCCTCCTCGTCCTCAGCGAAAGCTCCACCATCACTACCTTCCTCGCTCGGTCTTTCCTCCTCCCCGACGCAATCACAGATACCTTTGACGCTGCTCTCCTTGAAGAAGGTCAGGATGCGCTTGTCGCGCAGGGCAGAAAGATCAATCCCAAATCCAAGTCCCATGAATCTGCGGCTGATGCGATTGAGCGTCTTGGTGAGAAGGGAGGTGTTAAGGGCGTGGGGAATGTGGAGGCCTTCACTCCGCATTTATTGCTTAGGTCGTTATTGTTCCTACCGTTGAATTTCGTTCCGGTCGTGGGAACGTTCATGTATGTTTATGCCCAGGGGAAGGTGTATGGGCCTGCTCTGCATGAGAGGTTTTTTAGGTTGAAGGGGTGGGGGAAGAAAGAGAGGGAGAGGTGGGTGGCTAGGTTGAGGGGGGGTATACTGGGTTAGTATTTCTTTCCTTTTTTTTTTCTTGGTTTCTGTCTTTTGGGGTGCTTGGGGGATGTGGGTGTCAGTGTGCTAATTGGGGATTACTCTAGATTCGGAATGGCTGCTTTTGCGCTCGAAATGATTCCGTTTGCGTCTATTGCGTTTGCCTTCACGAATACTGTTGGGGCGGCGTTGTGGTCTGCGGATTTGGAGAGGATTATGCAGTAGCCTAGTAGATCTAGGTGGTAGGTGCATGGATGAAGGGAGGGTGCTTGGTTGATAAGTATACATACCTTTGGATCTTTTTTAAAAATTAGAAGGGTGTGTGGGGGGCAGAGTATGATCACTATATTATATATTGATCTTCTTCTTCGCCTGTTGTACAGTGCCAGGTGTGACAATGTGTATTATTAGTATTAGGAGATTATCCAAAGCAAACAGGTATAAATAGAGATAGAGATAGAGATAGAGATAGAATAGAACATTATCCTGGCATTCCATGAGAATTGTGCTACCCATTGAATCAAAAAGTTTTAACTAACTCTAATGGACCCCACGTCTAATCCAATCGACTACTGGTCCAGGATGAGTATCTACAAGACAGAAAGCATCTACACACACACACGCACACCAAAGCAACGCTGGGTATAGTCTGATGATGATTAGAAGAACCTGGGTCTGCCTGTACAGTTATGTCCATCCATATACAAGCGACACTTGTCAATGGGGGGAAGCGAAGCACGAAGAAACAAGCCTGAGCGCCAACAGAAAGCTAGCCGACCTACGCCAGAAAGTGATGCTTCATGATTGCCATTAAAAAGGGGTAGGTGGAAGAAAAGTTCGAAAAAAAGAACATTACCCGGAAGAAAAGAGACCTGTACTAACCCAAGCGCCGAATTTGCTGGTGGGAAGGGGTGGAAGGGATGGGGGGGAAGGGGGGGGGGGGTGGATGGCTCTGGAGCGGGATTGACGCGAATGCCGTTTCCAGCAATGGTTCGTTGACGTTGGGTAATTGAAGCTAGCAGTTCACGAGGTTGATGTGGTTGTCGTTGAGGGCAGCGCAGGCTAGCAGAGTGCGGTGGGGATGGAAGGCGGTGCTTGCAATCGGGGAAGAGCGGTTGTGGTGGAGGAAGCTCGAGTACGGCTCGAAGGTTGATAGATAGGAACCGTCGACGTTGAAGGTCTTGACTTCGTGTCGGTTGGTACCCCTGGTTTAAAGTTAGTGGGATTGTAGGCATCAGGGGAGGAGGTCACATACACCATGAACACCGGGGCATGTTCATGCACACTCAATGTGCGAAGCGTATCCCTGGTGGCGGAGAAAGTCGAGATGGGCATGTCCATTCGGAGATCCCACAGTCTGATCTCACCGTTTCGACTACCAGATACTAGTTCTCTCAGCCCACCTCGTTGCATATGGACATTCGTGATCCACTGCTTGTGCTCGCGCCAGACCTTGACCATAGACGTCGTCGGCTTAAGGCGTTGGTCAAACACTCTAACCGCACCGTCGCCAAATCCTGCCACGAATATATTGCCCGCCACCTGATCAGACGTCAGGGAGGTAATGCAAGACCCAGATCGGGCGGGAATATCCTATACACTAGTCAGAAGCGAATCAATGCTAGGGCACATGAGGCATACGTTAGTGCACACTTCGGTGGCTGCGTTCCACACTCGGATGACCTTGACATCACCTGCAACCAACGCCTTACCCTGACCCTGCTGCCAGTCAAGAACCAGGCCGGCATTGCGGTTACTGGGGATGAGCTCTGGCAGGGCCCTGAATGAAGTGACTATCTCAACGTTCTTTGAGGACTCGTAGTTCCGGAACACTTTCAAGACTCCGTCTGAGGAACCGGTCATCAGGAGTGCTTGATCATCCTCGTTGATATAGCGGACTTCGTTGATCTTTGAGCCAGCTGGATTTCCATTGGAAAAGCGATTAAGGCGCTTGTGGCTCTGCCAGTCCCAAATACTACCTCGAGGTTAGCACACTTCATCCTGCGCAGGCTCTGACACGTACGCAATCGTATCCCGGTCATCCGCGACCGCGAGGTGGTCCTCGAACTGATGGAAACACATCTTCAAAGGCTGGCTGCTGTTAGACAGGAGAGACAACGAGTTATCCCAACGGCTGCTACCGGCGACTCCTTTCAGGGGCTGGGTCTCCGCGATGATCTTCTCGTTGCGACTCCGTCTCCAAAGGCGTTCGTTGTAATCCGCACTGCCGGGTTCATCGGGCTCGTTGGGTTTCATCTGGGGTTCCCGGAAATACTGGATAGGGGTAAGAAGTTGCTCATACTCAAGGTGGTTCTTTGCGCTCATCAAATCAAAGAGTTCTAGGATTACCTCTGTGGACCAATCTAGGAATCTGCTCATCAAGGGAATCGTCGGGTTTGCAGAAGGATCTCTGGGTTCAAAGCCTCGGGACGTAGGGGTTGGAGCCTGGTGATATGCCGTCGCGGGAGCGACTTGATCGTTGACCTCCGGGGGGCGCGTCCACTCTGGGGGAGCTCGTCCTCTCGGCGTCATGGGCACTCGATTCTTCGGGGCCGTTGAGGCTTGCTGCGACTGCGCCTCTGCCGGTGATGAATTGCCGAATGCCAGATTCTTGAGCGACGCGGCGACACTTGCCGTTCGCTTGAGGCTCAATGAGAGGTAGCCCTCCTGTTTTGGGGGTGCAACGGAGGGAGGCGTCGGTGGTGGTGCGGCCTTCTTGGACTCGGGCCTTTCCCGGACCTGGAACTTCTGTGATATGCGGCTTGAGAGATCCAGAATCTCATTCCGGATCTTATTGGTTAGCGAGGCCATGGGGGATTGAAGGAGACAGATATGAATGAAGTCAACCACCATGCCCGCATCTTGAGCAATGTCGGGGTGGGGGTCAACAGAAAGGATAAGTAGTTGTTTCCAAATGGTACCAAAGGTTGTATTCCTGGATAATGTCTGGGACCTATGACTGGGATCCGTGGAGCCATTCGCAGAGACATTGGGCACATCCTCCAGGTAGAGGCTTCGGGTACCATCTTGCTCCAGTTTGAGGAGAAGGTTCTGTTTCTCATCCTGGAATTCTTCGTACGCAGCAACCAGGAATTTGTTCTGGTAGCGTCTAACAAACGTCGAGAAAAAGACCAGGAGTTCTTTTCTTACAAGAACACTGCCGTCCGATGACATGGGCAGCACCGCCATGGCCAGCGATTCTTCAATCTGGGCAACCTGGTCTGTCAAATCTGGAATACCCAGGAACGTTGTCACTGCATGGAGCATTGCAGCTCGAACCTCGGGGACTGGATCGAAATTCAGCTCGCAAAGTCTGGCAGGGGCAGCGCACCGAATCCCCATCCACTTGGCTTCGGGGAAGTCAGACCACAACATGCTAATGCAGAGGCATGACCATTGGCGCAACAGAGGATTCTCGACATCCATGAGGTGTTTCAGACAAGAGTCAAAAAGCTCAGAAGACAGGCACACATTCTGGCCTTGAGGGTAATTCTTGCAGAAGATTGAAACGATGAACGCACACATCGCTCGGTGTTCGCTGGCATTTCCCACGGGAATCGGAGACGACGGATTGAGAATCGAGATGAAGTAGTGGATTCCATTGTCTTTCAACAGATCGTTTTGCACCGTATGGTCGACAGCCATGATCCTTGCCCAGATAAAGACCATCACCGGCTTCAGCTCTTGAGCTGCGGACTGCAGGAGCTTTACGACGTAGGGGAAGATACCGATGCTTAAGGCCAGGTGAACTGCCCAAGGTCCCAGATCCAGGAACTTGCTCAGCAGTATCAGTGCCCTGAGTCTATGTGCCTGACTGAGAAGGACCTGAAGCACGATGGGCAGCTGATCTGGGGGATTCTTCTCCGTCGGGCCTGAAGACAGGTAAACCTCGAAAGCGGTAAGCTGCTCCGCAAAGAAAGTCGAGTGCTGATACTCATATTGCCTCCGACCTTCCTCATGGTCAATCAGGGCCGGTAGCTGCGACAAGACCATCTCAACTGCCAAGTCCCAGCTCTTCCATAATGAGTGATGATGAGTTTCTGGAAGCTCGGGGGAAGAGATTGGATGACATTTGTAAGTACGCATGATACGCTCGCCAAGCAGAAAGTTCCTGAACAGAGCAGCCACCATAAGGTCTTGACGGAAAAGCTTCTTGAACAGTGCCCGTGGTAAGGTATTCCAGGCGATAGTGTCCGTGATCGCGGTGAAAATCCAGTTCAACTCTCCTAGTGGGCTCCGGCGGTCCTGTAGACGGCCTGGGACCCTGAAATCGTCAATTGAGATATTCGTTTGCAAGGGATTCTGTAGGATGAAGAAGCGCAGAGCAATCTCGATAGGGGTAGTCAAGCAACAAGTGAAGAGATCCGCCGGGAGATCGGGATTCGTAGGGAGCGACTCGGCCTTTTGACATGCCGCGAGGATGATGCAGTCGCCATAGTTCTGGACGATGGCATTGGGATCCCGCTTCTTCGCCTCGACATTCTCCTTCTCATGTTTGTCGACAAATGTGTGGAAATTATGAACGATGTTTCCCGCATGTGAAACATCGAAGACGAACAGGCTAGGTCCGGCGAGCCAAGATTGCAGGTCGTACAGTGACACCGGAATGTACTGGGTATAGTTCTTGTTGAATACCCAAATCTCCCCCGACTGAGTAGGGAGAGGAACGCCGTGGCCGTTGTAATGAAATAGCACTCGCTCGTCCTTGGCGTTACGTCGCAGAGATATGCAAAACTTTTTGGTCTCATCGACAGATGGGTCAAGATATTGCTTGTACCTAGTTCTTAAGCTAAGTGTCTCATACTGCTCTTGTAGTTTCTTCCCAATCTGTTCCATGATCTTGTTATGGCCACCGCCAGTCGTAGACGTGGGATCGACCCAGCATTCCAGCTTAGCGGTCGGATTCGTCTTGACCACATCGGGCGGGTCGACGCCAATGTTCAGGCATATGGCTAGCGCAGCAGAGACGGTCTTCAGGCGGTCCTTCATTCGCCAGTCTTGACTAGGCCAGCTTCCGACTGGATCCCTGGGGATGCCGTTCGTCTCATGGCGCTTCTCTGTGAAGTACATGTAGAAATTCTAGGAAGATCAGACCTCTGAATATTGACCTTCTTTGATCCGCTTACCGAGTGCAAGACTTTCAGATACTCGCTCGAAGTATACTCCTCCTGCCATCCATGTCTCATCGCGATGTCCTCTTCCTCATCCCCTGCAAAGGATTTATC